GATGAGGGGAAATGATGATGAAAAGGCAAATCTTAATTTCTTGCTTGCCCTCTAATCATCATCATCATCATCATGAGTAAATTGTAATTCTGTTGTATTGGAAATACCTGAAAATGATTAGTTGTTTTTTATTTACTCGTTATGTAATAACAACAACGAAGCAAACGAAGGTAAGTCCAGGTAGAAAAAGAATCAGCGTCATCATCATCATTATCATTCTCTATTCAGGCCAAAGAAGATGAAGAAGAGATTAATTATGGTCTCTGAAGGTATAAAGATGAGGTTAGAAGAGAGAGAAAGAGAGTAAAGGTTACTGGTCATTATCGTCTGGGTTTCAGGTCAACGGACTTTACGTCAAAGAGTGACCAGCAATTTGTGTAAACAGGGTAATACAAGATTGAATAAGAGAGAGAGAGAGAGAGAGAGAAATGCTAAAAAAGGTAAGATGAGAGGGGGCATAAGTCAGGTTACTAGCCTAGAACGAAGATGATGAGGATGAAGAAGGAAAAAAATAGCAACAGCAAGAAGCGAAAAATTTAGAACTGGTCAAGAGTAGGTAAAAGGTAAAGGTATATACGTATAAGGTTGAAGGTCAAAAACTTAAAAAAAACCTCACTGTAGACAAGTACAAGTAGAGGATGAAGATGATGATGATGAAGAGGAAAATGCAAAAAATTGCGAAATGTGAGATGATTAGAAGCACAAGAAGATAATGATGAAATAGACCAACAGCAAAAATAGGAAGATGAGGAAGAGAGAGAGAGAGAGAGGTCATCGAGACGAGACTAGATAAGATTGAAGATACGGAACAACATCTCAACTTTATCTTCATCATAGACAAAAGGTAAAAGGTAAAAAACTAAGGGATGAGAACAGGTTGGTGAAAATGTTTCTTTCCAATTGTTTGTTATTTTGTTGTTGTTGTTTGTTGAGGTCGACGAACTCATATTGACGTTTTTTTCTTACCTTTTACCTTAAGACCTTTTACCTGTAACGAAACAACAACAACAACAACAAGGGCAACTTGAGGCTGAAAGGCTCACACATCAAACGCAATAATTATTATATTTTTTAAGATTTTTTTCTCTTTTTTTCTACTTCTTCTTGTTTGGCTTACCTTTTACCTTTGTACCTGTTTGATGATGTTGACTTGATGAAGAAGAAGAAGAAGAAGAAGAAGAAGATGAGGATGATGAGGATGAGGATGGATGAATGGATAGACGATGATGATGATGATGATAGAAGGTCAGAGACGGTGGGAGGTTTGAGAGCATTTTCTTCGTTGGGATTTCGTTTTCTTCTTCATTTTTTTTTTGTTTTTCTTTTCTTCAACTTGTCTACCACTTTTTTCTTCCCCAAACACACTGACCATTGGTAAATTCAATTATTTATCAATCAATTGATCAAATGGAATGTGATGAGATGAGTTTACATCGATTGGTCACAAACACTGATTAGTAATTAGAAAAACTTTTTTCTTTACCGATGAACTTTGTTGATTCGGTCAGTACATTTATCTGATTGAAAATTAATTGTGTTTAAATCAATGGATTGAATTTGATGCACTAGAGTTAAATAGTTATTGAGACTCAAGAGATTTGATTGTGATCTATTTATAGCATTTGAATTCATTGATTCTGATTTACTCTTATTGGTTTAAGTTCAACCAATAGTAACCCTTTTAATTCAACCCCTTTTTTATTACTTTCTCTTTCACTTTCTTTCTCTCTCTCTCTCTCTCTCGCTCTCTTTCTCCCTTGATCCTTGTCTCTCTCATCTTCCTCCCACTTTTGATACTTTTATTATCATCTAAACCCTTTTAGTGGTTATGTTGCTTTTTTTGTCATCATCCTCCTCTTTATCTTCCTCCTTCTCTCTCACTTTCACTCTCACTCTCACTCTCACTCTTTCATCCCTTTTACTGTTACTATAATAAAATCCTTTCTCTCTCTCACACTTTTTCACTTTCTCTTTTTTTCTATTTTCGGGAGACTCTTTTTACTCCTTTTCTCCCTTTCTTCCTTCTTCATCTTGTTCATCTTCTTCTTTTTCCCCTTCTCTTCATCTCACATTACCTTAACATGATTTTAATAACCCTCAGCATCTTCCTCATCCTTTTCATTTTATATGATAACTTGTTTATCCTCTTCCTCTTTGATCACTCCCATTTCAACTCCTCTTTTTTTATATCTTGTAATTCAAGTCAATCCTTTGATCATATTATCATATGATCATCATTTATGTTTCCGGTTAGTTTTTTTCTATTTTTTATTTTTGTGAAAAGAAAAATAATTTTCTCATTGTTTTCATATTAAATTTCCGGTTAAATTTATATTTTAATCATTTTTTTTTCATTTCTCTTTATTCATTCATATAATTTCATTTATTTATTTTCACTTGTATTCTCAATCCCTACAAAATATCATAACGATCACATCATCATCATCATAATGATTAGTAGTATATGATATTTTGACGAGGATGAGGATGAGGACGATGATGAAGAGATGAGATTGATAATAATGATGAATAAGACGGAAAAATAAAATAACTGTTGTCATGATATTGTTACATTGATACTTTTTGTTTCTTTTAACTGGTGAATCTTTTTTTTATACATTTTACTCCATCTTCATCTTCATCCTCATCTTCATCATCATTTCCATCATTGAATTGACTCTCTCTCTTTCTTTCTCCTTTACTCAGTTTTTTTCTTCCCATTCCTTATTCTTGCTCATCTTTTACTCTTCCCTTCCCATTCCACCCCTTCCTCATCCTTCTCCTTCTCCTTCTCTTTCTCTTTCTCATCTTCCACCTCCATCACTTCCCTATAATCCCTTCATTCCTCGTATTCATGGACCTTCATCTCTTTCCTCATCTTCTCCTCTTTCTCCCTGTATCTCTCCCTGCTCATTATTCATCTTCCTTCTGATTCTGACCATTACCCAAAAATAAAAAAGTAACCAGACTCATAATCATGTGAATCTCAATTGTTATTTGCATTTTTATATTATTATTATTCCCAATCACAAACAAATAACCATCATGATAAAATGATAATCATGCTAATAATCAGTAGCATAAAAAAATACTATCAAATCCTAACGGTATCTTAATTGGTCAATGTTTCTGTCACATAATAATTACCAATATAAATGATGGGTATAAATTTTAATCAATAAAATACTGGTCAATATAATGGAGTCAATGTTATAACATTGAAAATGGTTTTTTATCCCTTCAATTGAATGATATGTAACTATCAACAAAAAACCAACCCAAAAATAATATCAACAGTTGAGAAAGTGTGTGTGTGTATATCGAGGATGCGGATGAGAAAAGTAAAGAGATGAGATGAGGATTATGATGATTATGATGATGATGATAAAATGAATGGAAAATGTTGGATAAAATTAAATGTAAAACGTTTTTTAGTATTTTATCAACCGAATTTTTTTACAATATTGAAAACTGATATTACAATTGGTTCTAAGGCTCTTTTAGCATCCCAGTTACCCCATTTCAATCTTACATCTGATTTCCTTTTTTTCACCTCCTCCTCCTCCTCATCCTTCATCCTCATCACTCTCTCTCTCTCTCTCTCTTCATCCTCTGTTGTCCATCTCTCTCTTTAGTCCTTTCACTTTCTCTCTCTCTCTATTCCAATGTTACACCATCACCATTGCCTAAAGCTTTTCCTCTCTTGTTTTTTCCTCTTTCTCATTAATCTACTCTCCCTGCATCTTGTGTAGTCTCATCTCTCTCTCTCTCTCTCTTTCTCTGTGTTTTTATCTTCTCTCTCCTTCAATTTCCCTTTCTATCTCTCTTTCTCTTTATCTCTCTCTAGTCAGCGCCCTCTAAATTCACAGAGAAATTATTGATCCTCATCAGAGTGGAATATACTTTATTCCTTCTCCCTCCTCCTCCTTCTTCTTCATCATCATCTTTTTTTACTTTGCATTCTCTTTCTTTTTCTCTATCTACACACTTTTTCCTCCCTCTGATTCTCTCTCTCTCTCTTTCTCTCTCTCTCTCTCTCTTTCTCTCTCTTTCTCTTCACCGTCTCTCTTTCTTTTTCTCTTCTGTTTTTTACTCTTACATCTCTCTCTCTTCTTCACCTTCGTCTCCTCTTTCTTTCCTATAACTTCACTTAAATCCCGCCTTTAACTACTTTCTCATCCTTACGGTTCTCTCTTTCTTTTCTCTCTATCATTTCGATTTTGGGTTTCTCTCTCTCTCTCTCTCTCATTATCATCATCATTTTCTTCTATCGACCAAGCTTTGTAAGAAATAAAGAGTCAGCCATATTCTTTCACTTTTTTTTCGCCTCTTTCTTTTCTCTCTTTCTTTTTTTCTCGTGTTAAAAAAATAGACGCAGAAAGAGAAAAAGGAAAGGAAGAGCCATAGAAGGAAAGAGAAAATAGAAAGAGAAAGAGAAAGAGAAAGAAACTAAAGGGAGAGAGGGCTAAAGAGACGAAAAGAAACTAGAGAAAGAGAAGAAAAAAGAGAGAAGATGATAAAGGGGGAAAGATGACTCGAGAGAGCGAGTGAGTGAGTTAGAAAGACACACACTCACAGACACACAAGTAAAACTGCATTCGTCCATTGCAATGGTTGTTTAGAGTTGGACCAAGATGGAACATTTTTTTTTATCCTTATCCTTATCCTCGAGCTTTTTCATCATCATCAACAACATTATCCTCAGCATCATCTCAATCAACTTTATCATCTCGGGGCCTTCCTCTTCATCCTCATCTTCATCAACTTTTAACTCCCAAACTCTCCACTCACTCTTCTCCTCATTATCATCTTCTCTCTCATCTGAATCACTTTTTTAAAACCAACAACAACAACAAAAATCCTCCTTTCAAATATTATCCCAATAATCAATTTCTATTATAAATTATTATTACATAATCGATTCGATATTTTTGTTTTCCTTTTATATGTATTTTATATTTCTAATAATTTTTTTTACCCTCCATCGTACTCCCACTAAGCTCACGAGGACGCCGATAACTACACCATGATAAACAATGAAATTGAAACCGTGAATCGTGATAAACCATTTCAATGTCCAATTTGTCATAAATCTTTTGGTTATAAACATGTTTTACAGAATCATGAGCGTACCCATACGGGAGAGAAGCCGTTCCAATGTCGACAGTGTCAGAAAAAGTTCACTCGAGATCATCACCTTAAAACCCATATGAGACTTCATACCGGTGAAAAACCTTATCAATGTGAACACTGTGAGAAACTTTTCGTTCAAGTTGCCAATTTACGTCGACACCTTCGTACCCATACAGGTGAACGGCCTTATGCTTGTGATTTCGCTGAATGTCATTCAAAGTTTTCAGACTCAAATCAATTGAAAGCTCATAGACTGATACACAAAGGTGAGAAACCCTTTGGCTGTGATAAGTGCCTTGGAAAATTTCGCCGTCGACATCATCTTAACTTTCATAAATGTCCTGCAGATGAAGCCAACATCGGTAAACCTCGTCGTGGACGCCGACCGAAAGCATATGAAAAACTTGGTACCAGTAGTACTTTAGCTATTGTAGGAGGAGGTGGTGGTTCAGTTAGTGGAGTAGGAGTTGTTGTCGGTGGTACTGGTATTGTTCCCGTTGGTTCAAGTATTGTTGGTGCGAGTGGTTCATCGCCCTCATCACCATCACCATCAACGGTACACCATTTACTACGAGTTAAAAGTCCAATTTCAATGGTTCAACCAACAGCTAATATTAATATTACTATAAATAATAGTAATGCCAATAGTAATATTGTTAATAACAATTCAAATAGTAATAGACCAGGTTCAGTTCATTCAATATCGGGATCATTAACGGGAGATGAGACAACTTCAACCCATGGGTCAGCTCATTCACCTGCAACCGCAACTGTATCTTCATCAACCGTTTCATCCATATCATCATCATCATCATCTTTTCCTTTGTTTTCTCATCTTCTTACCGGTGGACCAAGTGGTCATCATCTTCACCACCATCACCAACAACAACAACAACAACAACATGTTCACCATTCTCACCATCATCATCCTCATCATCATCACCTTTCCTCCTTATTACCAAATAATAGTTCTCGTAGTAGTAGTAATCATAATAACTCTTTACCTCCAGCAGCACATTCAGGATCTAAATTACCTCGAGCTGAATTAATTGCAACAAGTCAACCTCAACATCTTAAACAAAAACAAAGCTCATCATTAACTCAACACCATAATAGCGATGCCTCATCAAAATCACGTCGAAAACCAACTCATCCTCTTAAGATAATGTCCAAAAAGGAAGATGATAGTTTCTACAATTTCTCATCGAATGTACTTCAAATTCAACCTTTGAACATGTCACAACGGTCACCACCATCATACCCCATGAATCTGTCAGGACAACTGAATAACAATAACAACAACAACAATAATAACAATAATAATAATTGCAACAGTAAAAACAATAACAATAACAATAATAATAATAATAACAAGAATTATATCAATCAGGAATCATCGAGTTGCATGGACAATGATGAAGAGGACGAGGATGACACCGAAGATGTTCTTGACCTTTCCTCCCGTTCTCGCGGGGAAATTGACCTGGAAACAAATGATGTCGACGATAGAGATGCTCTTGTTAATCATAATCTACACCTAAATCATCATAATAATAACAACAACAATAATAATAATAATAATAACAATCATCTTCCCGCTCATCAAACTAATCATTTACCAATTCATCAGCAGCATCATCATCACCGTCACCTTGTTCATGATGATATTGATCTTGCTAAATTGAAAATTAATCACTCACGTGTGATAATATCTGGTTAATTATCTTTAAATAATTTGGTGAAGAAACAAAAAATCCTTAATATTGAGGATCATCAAATTATAATTGTTTTAATTGTTGTTTTGCTGCTGTTGTTTTGGGATTTGTTTGTAACGCTGATGATGATAATCAATATCCAACAATTATCATGGAGTTTATTATTATTATTATTATTACTTTTACCATCGGAATCGGAATCGGAATCGGAATCACGAATCCATCAGCTCGGAATAATCAACACATACAACACACACACATTGGAATCTGTTTCTACCTCATATAAATATATATAAATATAAATAGAAATTTACAAACAATTTAATTTGATTACAATGATCAAAAAAAAAATACTAAACACAACAAATGACCAACAATCAACAACGATACAATTGAATCTACCTCAACAAGAATCAACTACCTCATGTTGGATCCAATTGGTACCTTTGAATGTCAATATAATTTATATATTTTGTTAATTCATGCAATTGATTTTCACGTAATTAAATCAATGAAACGGGTAAATGATTAACAAAATTGTGAGACTTTCATTGACCAACAACCAATTGGAATCTTAACATTTTTTTTTTAAATTTTCTATTTAAAACAACAACAACAACAACAACAACAACAATCAACTGATCAAAAAAATCAACAAATCGACCTCACAATCAACAACAATTTGACCAAAATCGGTAAAAACATAATGATCACGATTTACAAACCAACTACCTCGTATTCATCACAATCATACACCTCAACCTCAACCTCACACCGACACACACACACACAAGTAAATCAAACTGCTTCAAAAGAAACAAAATGAGATGATAATAATTAATAATTAATAATAATTGATAATAATAATAACTAAATGAGTGATTTAATAACTTTTTGAAACTTTTGAAGAAAACATTATATCAATTGGATTATTATTCACTTATTAACTATTAACTTTTAAACACTTTCTATTATTATTATTATTATTATTACTGTCGATTATTATTAATTATTATTACTATTAACTATTACTATTATTTATATATTATTATTATTAATTGTGAAACTAAATTAACAATCTAAATTTAATTAATTATATATTGTAACTGACAAACAAAACTCAGATTAAGACACAGAAACAAAACAAGAAAATTACACTTTCTATTATATATATAAATATATTGTAAAAGTATATAATTTGATTATATGATTTTAGGTTTTAACTGAACAATTAAGAAATCAACTAATTTTAAAAAGGTAAATTTTTGTATTATATATTGATAATTAACAGCAACCAATTTTGAACCAGAATAAAATGATTAAAAACAATAAATAATTCCACTGAATTAATTAATCACTTTTGAGAATAGAAAACAATCAAAAAATTAAACATGAGCTTAAATTGATTGATTATCTTAATTTTGAATTTGAAATTATCTTTGTTAATTTATCAAAAGTTTGTTTGGTTGAGATAAATAAATCTTATTATTATTTTCTCTCTCTCTCTCATTTAATCAGCTAATTATTATAAGTTAATTAGTATTAATATGAGAGTACAACAATTGAGAACATTGTAATTGATTGTGATTATAATTTTTCGTATTATTATTTATGGAAATTAAATTGATTAAGATACATACAAATTATCGAGTCAATTTTTTCATAATTTTCTTCACTTTATCAGTATTCTCATCGTAATAATCAGTTAATTGTCTTTATTTTCTAACTGGAACCAGAATTCTAAGTAGTTGATTAACTCAATAACTAAATTAACAGAGAGAAACAGAAAGAGATAATTGTTAACTTACTTAAGTTAACAATCTAAACTTTTGATAAAAAGAAGAGGAAAAAAAGTTTTGGAGATTCGATTGATTGTTTTTTTGAGTTTTTTTTATTCTTTTTATTATTTAGAACATTTTTTCTTATATATTATCAACATCTTGATAATCACAAGGAGATGGAATTGTATTGGTACCAGTGTTAGAATTTGATAGTTCATAATGTTGTTTAACGTGTTTAGTTGAATGGTCACTTCTCATAAATCGCCTCGAGCGAATTGAACAAACAAACTTTTTCTTCTCGGTGTGAGTTCGTCCATGTCGAGATGGTTCATCAGATCTTAGAAATTGTCGAACGGGTTGAGTTTTTCTTGTTTTGAATTAGTTGTTGAGGTTGATAATTAGTTGGTTCTAAAGATTCTAGATTAGAGAGAATGATGAGAAACTTATTACATATTCCATTGATAAGGATCGAATTTATTATTCGAAAATCTTTTTTTCTTTTTCTCCTTTTTTTTCTCTCTCTCTCTTCTTCCTTTTTCCTTATATCAAAGGCTTCCTCATTCTCATCCTCAGCATCTTCAAATTTTGACCCTAATCATAATCATCAACGCCGAGCCCGTAAGGATCTTAACGAAATAACGAATGGTCAATCAAACGTATTGTGTATTGATTATGTTTATGGTGGACAGTGAGAGAGAAAGAGGGCAAAAAGAGCCTTGCCCTGACCCTTTTTCATTTCTCTCTCTCTCTGTTATTGCATTAGTTTGGACGAACCCGGATTACTGGCCAAGCCTCAGACTCTGCCTTGTCTGGGACATTCAACCTATGACCCTTTCTACCCTTTCTCTCTCTTTCTCTCTCACTCTTTTCTTTCATTTTTATCATCATCATCTCTCTGGTCACTCTTTTCAATTCAATTGTTGCTGGAAAATTTTTTTGTTGTTGTTAAAAAATGTCTAACCCATAAAAAATGCTGGTCAACCCAGTTGTTTACTCGAATAGTTTTTTTTACTTCTCTCCACTGGTCATTTCTCTCTCTACTGGTCATCTCTCTCTCTCTCTCTTTCTCCTTTCGTGTTGTTTTTCTCTCTCTCTCTTTCTCTTTCTTTCTTTCCTCTCTTCTTCTTGACTTTCCTTCTTCCTCAAGGTTCAAGGCCCTTTCGTCCTTTGCCTTTTTTATTAAGCCCCTTTAAGACCTAAACACAAACTCGTTCCTAAGATATTTGAGCTTCTTTTTTACTCTTTATACTTTCAAACGAACTTTTTTTCCTCGAGTTCAACTTGTTGTTTACCTTTTTTCTTCTTCTTCTTCTTCCTCCCCTTTTGTGCTCCTCCAGTGATTTTTTATTCTTCTTCTTCCTCATTTTTTATCTTTTATCATCCATCGACATCATCATCTTCGTCTTAGGTTGTTGACATAAGATGAAAGGTACAATTTATCAACGAGAGTAACAATTACCCTGGACAAGAAAAAAAAGATTAACAAAACTTTACTCTCGAAAGGTGAATCTTTTTGTCTCTTCGTCGATTTTGTAGACAAATTGTTTTCTCTTTGATTTTTTCTTCTTCTTCTTCTTCTTTCCTTTTGGGATGACCCTTTTTTCACTTGTCTTTTTCTCTCATTCTCTCTTCCTCTGGTCAGTGTTCTTTTCATTAGATTTGTCTTTTTTTCTCTTTCAATTTTCTGTTTTTTTCTCTTTACATTTTGAATTCGAATCTTGGAGTTTTTTTTCTTTCTCTTGACAGGGTTAATTATATGTGGAAATATTTAACATGATGTATTGGAAATTAGAGGAGGGTAATTAATTGTTTAGGATCGTTTGTTGTTCGTGAGTGGTCAGTCAAATGAACGGGATTAATTATGATTAATGGTTTTCAATTTTTTAAGAAAAAAAACTTTTTCTCACTTTTCTTAGCCAATAGATGGCGCGATCAGTTTTCTCCATTTGCATGTTACATGTGCTGCCATCTAAACGGAAAATTTATCAACTTTTCAACTTTCGCGCTAAAAAAAATTCCTCATTGTTTTTGTTTTGATTTTGAGCTTTTTTTTAATATTTAATTTTTTATTTTCTCAATTAATTAACTTTGTTTCTCTTTTTAGTAAATTTTATCGATTTTTTTTAAACTTGTGTATGTAATTTGACTCTACTAGCGATGGATGATATCGATTTGTATGGAGATTTAGACTTTGTGGACAATAAATGTGTTCCAAGCGTTAAAGGTGATGGAAAACAAGAAATGGATCAAGGTGATAATCTTAATGATATTGCGATTCTTCAAGATTCTCATGATAAACTGGAGAAAGAGAATGAGAAAATTATCATGGAACTTGGACAAATTAAGGAACAATTAGCTCGAATGACGCGAGTTAACAAAATCTTAAAGTCCAACATCTCATCGCTCTACAAAACGGCAAAAGCGGAATTGGACAGGAAAAATGATCGAATCGCTGAATTAACCCGACAATATGATGATTTGATTTTCCGAAGGCATCAAGAATCAATCCATAGATAATTGATTCAACTAGTTAGTTAATTGTTGACTTATTTTTACTTTAAATTAGCTGAATCATTATCTTCATCATTATTTAATCATCATCATGGTTATGGTTTAACTGTAAAAATTTCATCTGATCAACCTTTTGATTTTTATAATTCATTTAATGATTACAACCACAATTATGATTATTATCAATATAATTTATATATATATTTTTTTTATTAACGGTTATTGGTTGATTAGTTAATAGTTAATAAAATGAATTGTATAAAAGTATCTTTGTGTATTTTGTATTGTTATTAAATCTAGATCATAATTGTTGAAGATCAAATGAAGATCATTGAGAAAAATTAAATCTATTAGATGGTAAATATTAGAGAGAAAAAAAAAGAGATCACAATTAACTTTATACACAACAATCAACGAGCTTCAGCTACAGCAATTAAGCCTCATCTTTTAAATTGTTCAATCATATCAATTAGAATTCATGTCAACTAACTGTTAATGATTTAGAATTTAAATGAGAATTAATTGTTTCTAAAGGATTTTCTTTTTCTTTTTCATGTTTACCCAAACTCCATAGATTAACATGGAAAAAGTTAAATTGTTATCGCACAGAATTAAATTAATCACGTTAAGTGAACTTATTAAAGCCACTGACAGTTAATTTTAAGGCTTCATCATCATCATCATCATCATCATCATCTTCATCTTCATCTTCATCTTTTAATCATATGTTACCTTAGAAATGGGGATTAGTGAAAATCTAAAAATAATACTAATCTAATTTAATTTTGTCTCTTTTGCTTACAGAACTTAATTGTTGTGTATTTATATTTAGGTCTTCCAACAATTTACAACCACTAAGAATCTATATTTATATAATTAAAGTAAACTAAATGTTAATGATTAAATAATTAACATTGGGAATGAACCAAAAGGGTTAACAGCTGATTGGTGATTAAGACATTTAGATTTGATTGTTATAACAATTAGCACTTGATTTTTGTAATGAAAACAAAAAATTCACCAAATAAAAAGCTTACTATTAGAGTTAATTGTGATTTAGACACTTAATTGGTTGATTAAGATAAGAATCGGAAAAGGAAATCAAGTGAATAAGATAATGATTAATATTGAATTGGATTTATATAGTTAATTCTGATTGTAACGGATGTGTAATTGTTACTTTACCAAGGGAGTTAGAAAAAGATTATCAAGTTGATTAAGATGATTACAATTGTAATTGATTGATAATGGTTTAAATTTACACTGGTTTTTTGTTTGTTTATTTGTCTATGTAAGTTTATTAATGGTTGATTCTTGATGCTCTTGATTGTCGTAGACTTTGTTAGATTAATTGTGCAATTAAGCGGGAATAAGAAGAAGAAGGTTAAATTGTTATATTCCAATTGAATTACATTAATCATATTCTTGATTACTGAATTGACTGTCTTCCATGGTGAAGATCAAGATGATTATCATGATGATGAGGAAGTAGGTTGGCTTATACTTGATTTAATACCCATTTCCCGTGAGTTTTATATGCCTTTAATTTGATAATGGTAACAATATAATGTAACACCAACAATTTAGCTTAATTGTTGTGAGTTGGGAGTCTCACATCAGCTTAATTTATAAGCTTAATCATTAATTCTGATTACATATTATCATTGTACTTTAAATCAGTTTCATTTCTCAGGTATTTCTAACATCTCTATTGATTAACAATCTAATTTAGTGCTAATTGTTACAATTACTATGCTTTAATCGGTTACCTTTTATATTTAAATCTACAATGATTACAATGATTAACTGAATTTAACAGTTACGATTAGTTTTTTTTTCTCTTTCTTTGATCATGATTTACAGAAATTAAGCAGATAATCAAATCAATTGATTCGTTGAGTGATCTACTAATCATTTTGAAGGGAAAACAATTGATGATTTGGATTAAAAATTGATTACTTTTTGGTCAGCAAAGTTTGTCAGTTAATCAATTTCATATTATATTTAATAACCTTTAGTGTAAATTAATATCTGTTGATTTCCTATCAGCAATTTAACCTAATTCAGATTTCCATATCATCAGCAAGATAATTAGGTTTACTAATTCGAGTTGATTAACTATTAATATCATTTCATCAATGGTTAATATCATGATGATGATGATGATGATTAGTACGATTAAACGGTTAATTGTCAACAATTTCTAATCAGTGAAAATCTTGGCAGCCAAATCAACAATATAACATAATACAAACTCAAAGAAAATCAGAATTTTTCTCAATCCCATGCTAATTAAATTCCAAACAATTAAGAGGAACTAATTAATCAACAATTTAACATTGTCCTTTTAACTAATATAAACAATCAAAGAATCGGTAAAGTTGTTGAAGTTCAATTGAAAAAGGAAAAGTTGAAATTGAGTAAAAAATATCAGATGAATTTTCTGATTATCATGAAAACTTTGCTGTCGATTAAAAATCCTATATGAAGATAATTTGATTCCTCCTCCTCCTCCATCGCTCATCATCCTCATCATCTCCCATTTTTTTCCATGATGATTCTAACTAACAATTAGTTTGTTCTAGTCTCTTAACGTTGAGAGTTGTAACAATCATCGTGGTGGAAAAACTGAATCAGAAAGAGAAAAGAAAAAACCAAATTCCCTCTTCGATTAACCCGGAGAATCCCTGTTAACACAGAATCGAAGGGATAATAATCATCATCATCTTCTCATCTCAATCAAACAGACTGAGAGAGAAAATCAATTTGAAGGATTAGTTTGAATCTTCACTCTTTCAAACAACCGTTAACCTCAATCTTAATCCTAATCTGTGTTTGCCCTTCATTTCTATTCTTAGTTTCATTTGGTTTACATTAATCTCTTCCTAATAATCATCATCATCGTCATCACCATCATCATCATCCAATATTAAAATTGTTCCTTAATTCAAAGTCAACATGGCTGAGGTAAGTTTCAGATTATCTCATTACAACTTTCCAATGTATCAATTTATTTTCCTTCCTCCAAAAAGATCATCTTGATTAATCTAATCCAATTGATCCAATTAATCCATTGACTTTACCTTTTCATTGATTCTCTTGTTATAATCTTTTGGATTTACTTTTCCTCTTTTCTAATCCTTTTTGTTTTCTTCTCATTCTCCATGTTCATCTCATAGAAAAATTCACCGAAAAAGTCCAAAAAAAAGACTGAATTAGATGATCTCAAACAAGAACTCGAAGTCGTAAGTGGTTTTAAATTGTTCTCATGATTAGTAAATCATCTTAGACAGGAAATTTAATCACTTTCTACGTCAACCCAAAGACCTTTTAGTTAATTTGTTTAAATTAATTCTAATCATTTGATTATCGTTTTGTATCTTCTTCGTCCTTTTCTGCTGAATCCTTCGTTATGGAAACTTTATTTCATCTTTATCATCATCATCTTCATCTCAATCAAACAGACTGAGAGAAAATCAATTTGAAGGATTAGTTTGAATCTTCACTCTTTCAAACAACCGTTAACCTCAATCTTAATCCTAATCTGTGTTTGCCTTCATTTCTATTCTTAGTTTCATTTGGTTTACATTAATCTCTTCCTAATAATCATCATCATCGTCATCACCATCATCATCATCCAATATTAAAATTGTTCCTTAATTCAAAGTCAACATGGCTGAGGTAAGTTTCAGATTATCTCATTACAACTTTCCAATGTATCAATTTATTTTCCTTCCTCCAAAAAGATCATCTTGATTAATCTAATCCAATTGATCCAATTAATCCATTGACTTTACCTTTTCATTGATTCTCTTGTTATAATCTTTTGGATTTACTTTTCCTCTTTTCTAATCCTTTTTGTTTTCTTCTCATTCTCCATGTTCATCTCATAGAAAAATTCACCGAAAAAGTCCAAAAAAAAGACTGAATTAGATGATCTCAAACAAGAACTCGAAGTCGTAAGTGGTTTTAAATTGTTCTCATGATTAGTAAATCATCTTAGACAGGAAATTTAATCACTTTCTACGTCAACCCAAAGACCTTTTAGTTAATTTGTTTAAATTAATTCTAATCATTTGATTATCGTTTTGTATCTTCTTCGTCCTTTTCTGCTGAATCCTTCGTTATGGAAACTTTATTTCATCTTTATCATCATCATCTTCTTCATCTTAACAATCAACATTTTCAATTAATGGACAACAACAATTGGTTTGCATCATTTATTTTAATTGCTGTGAATTAAATTTATTGTTTGTGTGTCTATTTGTGATCTAAGGATGATCATATTATTACTCTTGAGGAATTGTGTTCTCGCCTTAAAGCAGATCCGATCAGAGGGTTAACCCAATCCCAGGCTAAATCTGTTCTTGAACGTGATGGACCCAATGCCCTGACCCCACCGCCAACGACCCCTGAGTGGGTCAAGTTTTGTAAACAGCTTTTCGGTGGATTCGCTATGCTCCTTTGGATCGGCGCTTTCCTGTGTTTCCTTGCGTATTCCATCTCAGCTTCGACCACTGAACATCCATCGCCCGATAATGTAAGTGTCACCAATTATCATCTCAACTATACGACATTTCAATGCTGGATGACAAGAAAGTTTTGCACGAAAAACTGACCTGCAAATGAAAAAGTGATCGAGGCGAGATTATTATTCGTGATGAATCAATTTTACACAGAATTTTAAATTCACAGTTTTCTATAAGTGACGAAATTCAAATTCGAGATTCGAATTTTTTCACTCGTGTTTGAAAAGGCCAAAAACAATATTTTCGTCATTTTTTGGTAGATTTTAGAATGTTGGTCTCAAATTTAATTCTTTAATCTTTTTTTTGAAATCAACAATCAGCTAATTATAGTTACCGAAAAATCTGAATCTAAATTAGACTCAATAGTGGATTTTTCACTTTCGTACAAAACTTTCTGGTCTACTTAATAATCTTTGAGATTATTATTAGAATTGGAAAATTAAATTCGATATTTTAATCTTAATTCCCTTTCTTAGCTTTATCTTGGTATTGTATTAGCTGTTGTAGTTATTGTCACCGGAATATTTTCTTATTACCAAGAGGCCAAAAGTTCAGCCATCATGGAATCATTCAAAAGTATGGTACCTCAATATGCTTTGGTAGTTCGAGAGGGTCAAAAGTTGACCATTCCAGCGGAAGAAGTTGTCGTTGGGGACGTTGTTGAAGTAAAAGGAGGTGATCGTATCCCTGCCGATATCAGGATTCTCTCTTCTCACCAATGTAAAGTCGACAATTCTTCCTTGACCGGAGAATCCGAGCCACAAACTCGAAGTCCCGAAAAAACCCATGACAATCCATTGGAAACTCGTAATCTTGCCTTTTTCTCGACTAATTGTGTTGAAGGAACTGCCACCGGAATGGTTATCCAAACGGGAGATCGAACTGTTATGGGCCGTATCGCCAATTTAGCTTCGGGTCTTGAAATGGGACAAACTCCGATCAATCGTGAGATTGAACATTTTATCCACATTATCACCGGTGTTGCCGTTTTCCTTGGTGTCTCATTTTTCATCATTGCGATCATATTGAACTATCCTTGGCTTGACGCTGTTATCTTTTTAATTGGTATCATTGTCGCCAATGTACCCGAAGGTCTTTTAGCCACCGTCACCGTGTGTTTAACCTTAACTGCCAAAAGAATGGCTTCGAAAAATTGTTTGGTCAAAAATTTGGAAGCCGTTGAAACTCTTGGTTCAACCTCGACAATTTGTTCTGATAAAACTGGTACTTTAACCCAAAATCGAATGACAGTGGCCCATATGTGGTTCGATAATCACATTATCGAAGCAGATACAACTGAAGATCAATCGGGTAATTTCTCTTAATTCTTCTAATTAGTGGAAGATCGTCATTCTAATCAAACTTTACTTTTACTTTTTCGACAGGTTTATCATATGATAAATCATCTCCAGGGTGGAAAACTTTAGCAAACGTTTGTATGCTTTGCAGTCGCGCTGAATTCAAGGGAGGCCAAGAAAGTGTACCAATTCTGAAAAGGTAATTCTATTCATCTGAACTTTTCTCATTTTCTTTCATGTAAATTATTTTCTATTAATTTCTCAACACAGAGATACTTCTGGTGATGCATCAGAATCTGCGATCTTGAAGTGTATGGAATTGGCTGTTGGTGATGTTCTTGGTTATCGAAAAAAGAATCCAAAAGTTTGTGAGATTCCCTTTAATTCAACCAATAAATACCATTTAACTATCCACCGACCTGAAGATCATGATGGTTATTTGCTCTGCATGAAAGGAGCACCCGAACGAATTTTGGAAAGATGTTCAACGATTTTCATTGATGGTAAAGAAAGGCCTCTGGACGCTGAGATGAAAAAAGCCTTTGAAAAAGCGTATATGGAACTCGGTGGTCTTGGTGAACGAGTTATCGGCTTTTGTGATTTCAAACTACCAGGAGATAAATTTGGACCTGATTACACTTTTGATCCTGATGATGCAAATTTCCCTTCGAGTGGTTTACGTTTTGTTGGACTTATTTCTATGATTGATCCTCCTCGAGCCGCTGTTCCTGATGCTGTGGCCAAGTGTCGTTCCGCTGGTATTAAGGTTATCATGGTTACTGGTGATCATCCAATCACCGCCGCTGCGATTGCCAGAGCGGTTGGTATCATTTCCGAAGGTAATTATACCGTTGAAGATATCGCTCAGATGAGAGGAATTCCAGTTAGTCAGGTTAATCCAAGGGAAGCGACAGTTGCAGTTGTTCATGGAGGTGAACTTCGTGATCTCTCATCTGAACAACTTGACGATATTTTGAAATACCACAAGGAAATTGTCTTCGCTCGAACTTCTCCCCAACAGAAATTGATTATCGTTGAAGGTTGTCAACGATTAGGTGCCATTGTAGCTGTAACCGGTGATGGTGTCAACGATTCACCGGCTCTTAAAAAAGCCGATATTGGTGTTGCTATGGGAATCGCTGGTTCTGATGTTAGTAAACAAGCTGCTGACATGATCTTATTGGACGATAACTTTGCCTCCATTGTGACCGGTGTTGAAGAGGGTCGACTTATCTTCGATAATCTTAAAAAATCAATCGCTTATACTTTAACCAGTAATATTCCCGAGATCTCACCTTTCCTATTCTTCATCATTTTCAACATCCCTCTTCCTTTGGGAACTGTAACCATCCTTTGCATTGATTTGGGTACTGACATGGTTCCAGCTATTTCATTGGCTTACGAACAAGCCGAAAGCGATATCATGAAACGTCAACCTCGTGATCCAACGAAAGATAAACTTGTCAACGAAAGACTTATTTCCATTTCCTATGGTCAGATCGGTTTCATTCAGGCCGCTGCGGGATTTTTCACCTATTTCGTGGTCATGGCAGAAAATGGATTCTTACCTGGTGACCTTTTCGGAATTCGTAACGATTGGGATTCCAAAGCTATTAATGATGTTAAAGATTCTTATGGACAAGAATGGGTAAGCATCTTAAATCTAAATTCTTTACAATTAAAAAAAATTAATTCTCTTCTCGGAAATCTAAATTTCAAATTCTAAATTCTTCATATCAGACATACAAAACTCGTAAACAATTAGAATACACTTGTCACACTGCCTTTTTCGTCGCCATTGTTATCGTTCAATGGACCGATTTGATTGTTTGTAAAACAAGACGAAACTCTTTAATCCAACAAGGAATGAAGTAAGAATTTCATTAATCCAGTTTCTATTCAAACTAATGACAATTTAATCTAATCATTACCCAAATTAAATTTTAATTGTAAACAGAAATCACGCTCTAACTTTTGGAATCTTTTTCGAAACTGCCTTGGCTGCCTTTCTCTCATACACACCGGGAATGGACGTCGTTCTTAAGCTATACCCTCTTAAGTAAGACAATTAAGATCAACAATCTAATACAATCAATCTAATTAATTAAAACCTCTTTCTAATTGCTCAGACTCTCCTGGTGGTTCCCTGCCATGCCCTTTTCTCTGTTAATTCTCATCTATGATGAGGCTCGACGTTTCCTACTCCGACGTAATCCCGGTGGTTGGGTCGAACAAGAAACTTATTATTAAAACTTTTATCGAGTTCTAATTGTTTTCCTGTTATGTAAACATCGCAATCGACAATTTAAAGTTATGATTAGATTTTCAATTCTAGAAGGAGAACAAAGTGGAACAAAAAAGAGAACAATTTTTTAGAATAAATAATAATTGATTATCGATCATCAAGCTTACCCCATCTTCGTCTTTAATTGGAAAGATTTCGAAAAAAAAAGTAAATTTAATTTTCGAAATGTTCGTAGAAGGAACAAAAAAGGAAAACGAATCTTTTTTAATCTGTCAGATATTCCATTCCATTTGAAATCAAATAACAATCAACTGTTTTTAATTTAATTACCTTTACTATTAGTACAATCAACGAATGATGATAAAAAAACAATGAGCTTTTAAACATTGCCGTTCATTTGCCTAAGATGATTAAAAGAAAATTATTGAAACCATTTAGATGTTGATTTAAATTGTAATGATTACGATCAATTGTAAATGGGATGAGCTCGATTGTTAATTACTTTTTTCTAGTTCACTTGATTTAAATGTTGAAAGATAAATTATAACCTAAAGATTTGAGAAACAAAAAGCAAATTGTAATTGTTAACAAATTGAAAAATATAAAAAGTTAATACCTGATCAGTCTAATCATCGAATGATGAAATTATTAATTAATTCATTGAATTTGAAGCTCTGATTGATTTTCAATAGGATGGCTGAGAGAATCTGTGAAGATAATTATTGAGATGATTGGTTAGATATTGATCGGTTTTAAGGCTGATTGAATACGATTTTTAGAGACTAATTGTGATTAGGCTGATGGGTTGATTGTTTAAAACTTTGATGACGCGTTTGTTTTTACCGGTTCGGGAGGTGGTGAGGAAATTGAAACAAAGCAACACATGAGGAAGGTTGATCTTTGTTAAATATAGTACATTTAATGTTTTACTAGGAAATTTAGACATTTTCAATATGTGTCTTTTCCGAAACGTAAATTCCGTCTAAAAATTTACGAATATCTTTGTCTTTGACAGTTGTTGATTGTTGGATCCTAGCTGCTGATCTTGAAACCAATTCGATGTCATTTCCTTCCAAGATAAGTTCGTCTTTAAGAGCAGTAGACAATTGGCATGTTACACCAGGTTGCATGGTTACTGATCGGAGGAATTTCTCACCAAGGAAATTACGGATCTCAACAAGTTTACCACCATCATTAATGGTAACGTTAATGGGGAAATGTCTGTAGACTGATCGCATCTTGTATCGATAACCAAGAGTAACACCTTTAATCATATTGGCAACATGGGTTGACACTGTTCGAACCAAGGCCAATTGTTTCTTATTTCCAAACCATTTTTGGACCAATAATCTTTTCTTACCAATCATTGATAATTGAAGATGAGCATGAGAAAATTTTCGGGTTAAGGTTCCTCTTGGACCAGTTACTCGGACAATTCCTCGTCTAGTGGTCACAGTGACTCCTTTTGGTACTACAACTTCCTGTTTAGCGTGAATAGTCTTCATAATTGACTAAATTAATTACCACAGGTAATATAAAAACACAATTAAATTAACAAAAATTAAACCAAAACACAGTCAAGATTTTACCATCAAAGTTTGATCAACACAAAATCGGAAACGGAAAACCAAACCATCAACAGAGTTCCCTTGCGGCGGTAACCATGGTAACCAAGATGCTCCATCTACCTTATGGCGCGAGAAACAAAACTAAAGATTAATTTTTTCATCGAAAATTTAATTTAATTGTTTTGTAATTAAGATTATTTTTTACTGAATTTAGTTGATAATTTTGTCTTTTAATTGAACTTAAATCAATGTTGATTTCGTGTTTTTTGAAAGCTGCTTTTACATTTACAATCCAATAGATTGTGATGGTTGAGGATAATTATTAATAATTTTATCAATCAATTAATCAATTCAACTGAATAGTTTATATTAGTTTATATTAATAATTGATTGTGGGGAAAATCAAAGGTTTGGATTGATTAAATTTTCGGATGAAACTTTTCGTTGGGAGATGATGAAGTTTTGAGTTCGGTTGTTGTTTTAACTAAAATGGTGAGGAGTAAATTATTGATTTGATTTTGAGAAAAGACAAATTTGAATTATCATTATGATTTTGATTGAAGATTAAAATGTTAATTCATTGATTCAATTTAGAGGTAATTGATTTCTTCTCTAAATTTGATTTACATTTTGAGAACAATTTTGTTTTTTATGGAACGAAAGAGAGGGAGAGAGAGAGATATTGATCAATATTCGTTTGATTAGTTAATTGTGGTAACAACTAGAGAAGTTTTAATTGTCCGGTTACTTGATCAACTAAATCAATTGGACCGAAAATTGATAAAACTGTTACAGAACCAGCGGGAATTTGTGTTCGTCCAGCATCAGCAACAAGATAATTAGGTAATCTAAATGATTGCGCTTTGGCTGCAAGAATGTTTAATTGTTCAGCATTTTCGGCCTTTAGAACAACCTTAGTCTCTCCAGTTTCATTCCATCTAGTTAATTGACAGCCAAAGATTTTATCATTTTCTAATAGAAACATTTGAAGACCAAGAGCTGCATGAGCGACCTGAGCAGCGGTTTTACCAACACCCATATTCAGGCTACAATTAACAGCGAAAACCATTTTGTATTCTTGAAATGGTGCAGCATCAAGATTCCCAATCTCAGCAGCTTCAGGTCCAGAATCATTATTTTCAAATATCCAGGAAATAGCAGCTTCTACATGTATAGAAAAAAAATGATAAAGAGAATAGAAAATAATTAGAAATAATTTGTATGAAAATGGTTTACAAGAAAATGAAGAAAACTAAATCGCTCACCGACTGAATTGTTCCCAGTTAGATACAAAGCTCGAATTGCTTTTTCTTTACTAATTCCCATACTAATTATTTGATTAAGAATCTCAGCATTTGGACTACGATCATGTTTAATTGTTGATTTAGAAGCTTCAATTTTATTAACTCTTTCCAATGGATTGTCTTTACCACCTTCAATTGGTTGACTACAAGCACCAGATAAATTTTGACTAGAATCGTCATCACCTCTTCCTCCTGAACTTGACACTGGTGGATTTGTTGCTTTCTTACTTTCATCACCTTCCGAACCATCACCAACACCACGTTCAGGTAAACCAGACATCTTAATTTAACTACAATTAACTTGAGAAGAAAAAAATCAAAAGGATAACAATATGTGAGGAAGAACAAAAATTCAATGACAATTTTACCTTATCAGGAATTAGAACACAAATGTAACAAATTGTTAGTCTTTACGATGGAATGAAAATTAATCAGGCAAAATGAGAATTTTATATAATTGAGATCATTGATTAAAGTTAAATGATTAATTTAATTAAAAGAAATTCATTATCTCGGAAAAAAGTAAACATCAATCGGAATTCATTTCTGCGCATGCGCAGTTCAATCGATTAAAATTTTACTCAAAATAAATCAAATGAATCATTTAAAACAAGATGATAATTAGAATGATTTAATTACCACTCGGAAAGTCTAAATTTAGTTTAAATAATCAGTTGACTAGAAGACAATAATTGTTAGTTATTTACAAAAGAAAAGTCAAAGAAAACAATAAGATAAACAGATTGAGTCCCAATAATAATGAGATCAATTAATTGGGTTGATTAAAATTGACACACAGAAAGAGAAAGTTGATTAAATTATAATCAATCGATTTTTTCAAGAGAAATGAAATTTAAAATATTGGAATGTAATGTTCACGCTTATTAGTGTGTATCCTTTGAGCGATACACTCGGCGATCCAAACGATATTGCGACATTCTTGTTCCTTTAGCTTGAGATACGCATAGAAAACACCAAAGTGAAATTGCTGTAGAAACGCATTTACATTTAATTTCACTTCATATTCAAAGAATTTATCTTCCAATGTTTTCTCATCAACATCTGACCCTTGACCACCACCGAATCCCGATTCAAATATTGATTTATAATCAGAATAGAAATCAGCAACCGCATGAACTTGATCATAATCATCACAACGAGCTAAAGCAGCTAAACCATCAGGATTTAATTTACCACATTTAGGATATAATTTGGTTCGATCTTCTCGACTTAATTCAGTTCCAAACGAGTTAATTGTAATGATAAACGCTCTCCTATCAGCTTCAAAGGCCAATATTTCGCACATCACCTGACGGGTTGTACCATCGAGTTCATCTTCACAGAATTTGTAAAAGCTTTCAAGGTAAGCCTTATACAGAGTGTTACGAATAATTTCAATGTTCATTTCATCCATATCCTGTTCGGATAAACAATCAACGAAATATGGAGCCAATGGAGTATCAACAAGAATAGCATTGTAAAGATCGGCCGGAGTTGTGGCCACGTTAATTGCTTCCATTTGATCAAATATTCCAAGTGGATGACATTTGTCAATTAACTCTGGTATTGGTCTTTGGTGTAGAGTTCCGGTGATCAATAGGATAATGTTATCAATCATGTATGAATAAGTGATAAAATCGAGAAATGTTGATAAAGGTTCAACTGATTGATTTCGAATATGATGAAATTCTGTAACCAATTTCTCTCGCAATTTATCCTCAATCACGGAAACAGCCAAAGGTGAAGGTTCATTAGCCAAGAAATTACCATAATCGGTGCTTTGTAAGTGAATCTTCAAATCTAAACCAATTAGAGGAACAATTAGGATGACAATTAACACACAAACACAACAATTACTTACCATCCAATGAATCACATTGAACTAAATTAAGGTAATCATTTTGTCTCAATATGCCACATTTAAAGCCACGAAGGAGACCCTCCAGATAACCATTCTCAACATTGAATAAAGCTTGGAGAATCATCGCTGATTTAGATGCAATTTAGTTGATTAACTGATTCCAAATGAATTCCAATTATCCAGGTAGACCAGGAAAATGATTTTCTATAATAAACAATTAGATAAAATGAGAGGAAAATGATTAAAATTGAATAGATTGTCAAGATACTGAATGTAAACAAAAATTTTCTGACAATGTTAAAAGCATGACAGTTAACCCTTGACAACAGGAGGGAAAAGTGTCAACCAAAATAATTTACATGGCAATTGGATAGAATAAAATTTTGGAACAGAAAATCAAGATTAGATTAAGTTGATTAATTAAAACGAGAACAACAATACAAATGTTAATCCAGTTATTTTAGTTTCAACCGGTCAATTGACATCATAACATATTTTCACTTTGTTTTCCAAATGAACCACAAGATTAACTGATGATCAATGAATTTAATCAAAAGGTCAATTATTACCTTCGGATGATGGATTTATTGATGAAATTGAATCAATAATTAGAATAAAAATTTAAACGAGAACTGATTGATTGTGATTAGACTATTGGTCTAACTCTCTGATTCTGAAAGCATTTGCTTCTTCATACTCATTGTTTACATCGACTCAATTCAATTTCTTTTTTATTCCATATTGAAGCTTTTCTATTATTCAATGGGAGAAATGAATTTCAATTCCTGATCCCAATAAACTCAAGAAATTCAATTGGTTAGTCAATTGAATTAATTAATCAAGTTAATCAAAAGGTTCCATGGTTTTGTTTACATTCAAGTAAAAATGAAAATGAATTTGGATCAACATTATTACTTGAGAAATTGTAACTTACATGATGAAATTGAGGTTGAATTTTGAGTAATCCAAATGCAAATGGTGAACAGATGAACAGATGAACAAGTGAACAATTAATATGAGATAATTAAAGAACAAGTGATTAAAATGAATCCACCAGAGAGATTAACAAGAGTATCGATGTTAATCTAACTCTTTCTCTCTAAAAAGCTTTTCCTTTTTCTTTATCCACACTCACAGTTTACACTTCGACTCACTTTCTTTTCTCTGTCTATTTTTCTATTCTTGAGCGACAAAAATTCATTTTCATCTCAAACAATTAACATGAATTCAGTTATTCATCTCAACTGAATTGCTCTACAGTTTGTCTTTATTTATAGTTCGTAAAATAAATTCAATAGTACATGTCTTCAATTTGATAACATGATCAAATCACTTGATCAACAAATTGAGTCAATTTGTTTTCTTTTGTTGTAATTGTAAAATCGTGAATTTAATGTATTGACCATTTAATTGATTGATCAACTAAATCGGTTCATTTATTTTCTTCATCTTGTTACTTTGATAGAAAGGTAAAAGTTTTCCCAAAAGTTTCGAACTTTAAAATGTCCAATCCAACTCTACGATCCATTTAATTGAAAGCGTTCATTTTAGCGCTTAAATGTTTGAATCAATTCAAGTTCTTGACATTTATTGGCATCATTACCAATCAACTCGGGTAAATTAAGATTTACAATTAGACATTCGGTGGTTAATCATGCTGATTGATGGCCCAATACATAGTTCCAATGGAAAAGATTACAAGTTCACCATGATGGTTACCAGGGATGAAGAAGAATGGAAAACAATTAGTTAATCATAAGAATGAAACTTTGAAATATTAATATTTCCATGGAGTTTATCCAATGGAAAGAAAAGAAAATGAAATTAATATTTACAAATTCATCTTCGTCTTTTTGACTCGATCTTTTCATTGGTTCCAAAGTAGAAAGTTTCATTTCTTTTCCTTCAACGGAATCTTCATTTTCTATTGATAATCAATTATCGATATTAAAGTTAATTTTAAAAGTCAACATGATGAAGAAACAGAGTGAGAAAGAGATCAAGGCATTTAGGAGATTTTAATCATCAAGCCGATCAAAGCCATCGCAAAGACTTAATCCAAAGTTGCAAGATTAACTGTCGTAGGCAAAGGATTAAATGACGATTATTTGATAATGAGAGAAGAAAAAAATGAAGAAAATGTATTAATTTCATCTATCAATAATTACCAAACAAGTTACAACTCGAATCATTTGTGATTGTGGTTACAATTGTACTGGAAAGGAAAAGACAACGAAGGTCAAAATGACTGGTGCCCGAAGTTTACCCCGAAATAGTATCATCTCTATTAAATCAGCGATTCAAAGTGTGGCCCGATTTCGTTGGCTAATCTTCATAATCGGAAATTTAGCCAATTTCAGTCTCTCCATGGTGAACACCAGCTTGAGTTTGGCGATCGTCGCAATGATCAAGAAAAACGAGAAAGAAGGTAACATGACGATAAGTTCAGCGCTTAACGGTTCGGCTGAAGTGTCCATAGAACCGATAACAACTTGGTACTCGCCTTTATGGTTAACATCTTCTTCCCCTGATGATGATGTTCACGTCGATTGGACAAGTACTGATAAAGATCGTATGTTACAAGCTTCTTTTTGGGGAACACTCGTAATGTCTTCTTTCGGAGGTCGTATTTGTGAAATGGTTGGTCCTCGACGAACAGTTTCAATGGCACTGGTCACAACGGGAATTAGTAACATCGCGTTTCCAATGGTGGCGAAAAATCGTTCATCGGTGCTTATCTCATTAGAATACTTCAAGGAACAGTCACCGGTGTGACTCAACCATCTTCGTTTGTAATGATCTCACGTTGGTCAACGGCAGAGGAACGGACACTTTCCAGTGCCGTCGTAACTTCGGGTGGATCTTTAGGTAATCTTATTTCTCTTCCATTGGCTGGTGTTCTGGTTTCCAGTTCTTTCCTCGGTGGTTGGCCTTCAGTCTTCTACATATTAGGTTCACTTTGTTTAATTGTTTCCGTTCTTTGGTATTTTATGATCTACGATACACCCGAGGAACACCCTCGTCTCAGTCCAGAAGAATTGGAAGAGATATTAACCAAAAGGTCACTTAAATCGGGCGAAAGAGTAAGTTGATCAATTACCGATTTTCTTATTCAGACAATGAACTTCATCTAATCGTTCATGTTTCACCAGGTTCCAGTTCCATGGCGGTCGATTTTCACTTCGCTTCCAGTCTATGCATATTTGGTACCTCAGTTCACTTATGGTTGGGTTGTCGCCGTTGTCGCTTCTCAGATCCCGTCATTCTATGAAGAGGTGTTAGGATTTTCTCATGAAGCTGTAAGTATTTTTGTTTGGTGAAAGTTTCGATTTTACTAATAATCATTACCATTAGAACGGATTTGTCGCAAGTTTACCTTGGTTGGTATCTATGGGTAGCTCTCTAATTGGAAGTTCGATCGCGGACAAAGTTCGTAGGACTAATCGTTTCTCTCTGTCTGCAGTTCGTAAATCATTTACTGTCATTGGTAAGTCGAGATTTTTTTTTCGACTTTTGATGAAAAATACTCATAAATTATTCTCAATATTTTGTCTCTCGAAAGGTCTTGGTGCTGTTTCTTTAGGCTTATTCGCAATCACCACATTGGGTAAAAGGAAACTCGCTGTTGTTTTAACTCTCGGCTTATCCAAAGGAATGGGAACTTTAAGTGTCGCTGGTTCAGGTGCTAATCACCTCGACATAGCGCCAACATTTGCTGGGACATTAGCTGGATTCGCTGGCATGTTACAAAGTATCGCATCTCTAGCGGCAAACGAAGGTGTCGCTCGTATTGTCGGTGATGATCCGACACCAGAAAATTGGTATCGCTTTTTTTACATCTCAGCAGCAATTAACGCTTGTGGTGTCATCATTTTCTGTCTCATTGGTTCCGGAACGACACAAGATTGGGATCCATCTTCCGTTCGTAGGCAAAGTGTTAAATCTGTCGTTAGCATTAAATCTCGTAAATTCAGCACCAAATCTGAAACAAGTTCACGTTCAAATCCAATGTCACAACAACCTCATCAATCTAATCAACACGAACAAAACAATCAACATCTGACCGTGGCAGTGATTGGAGATAATAAAGAGCAGATCAACAATTAATAACAAATCAACTGAATAGTTTGTTTTTCAATGCGAATAACAAAAAAAAACCTAAACGGCAAAATTTTCCTAATACAATGTAAACAATTAGATTAACTGTTAAAATAAGAAAACCTTGACATTAATTGTTGGATAAGAAAAGATTAACTTCCAATGATGGTAAATAAATGAAATATTAAACTGATCTCGTCTCACAATTCAAATCATTTATCATTTAATTCCCAAGCTTTTTAATCAACCAACTGATCGTTGAATGAGCAAAGGAAATAAAAGTTTTATCAAGTTTTCAATTACAATAGTAATCAACTAATCACGAAGAGATTAATTGAATTAATCGATTACCTTGTCGACATAAATAGATCTCAACCTGAATACGATCATATTGATAATTAACATGTAATTTCAATTCTAAAAGTATGACAATCACTTTCCATCAGTTGTTTAGATTAATTAAAAGGTTATTTACCCTCAGGTGAAAATGTCAACCAATTTAGATGAAGATTATTACATGAGAAATTGTAACATTTACATGATGCAATTGAAGCTGAATTTTGAGTAAGCCAAGTACAAAAATGAGCTTCAATTATTTGTTTGTGTCGCTTTTTTGACGAGGTCAAAAGTGGCCTGAAAAAAATTTTCGAAATTTTTAGTTTATCAAAATAAAATTCAACACTTTTACTCTGATTTGACTCCAATATTAAATGAGAGATGAATCTCTGTATCTGATCCCAAAAAAACTCAAGAAATTCATTTGGTGAGTCAATTGAATTAATTAATCAAGTTAATCAAAAGGTTCCATGGTTTTGTTTACATTCAAGTAAAAATGAAAATGAATTTGGATCAACATTATTACTTGAGAAATTGTAACTTACATGATGAAATTGAGGTTGAATTTTGAGTAATCCAAATGCAAATGGTGAACAGATGAACAGATGAACAAGTGAACAATTAATATGAGATAATTAAAGAACAAGTGATTAAAATGAATCCACCAGAGAGATTAACAAGAGTATCGATGTTAATCTAACTCTTTCTCTCTAAAAAGCTTTTCCTTTTTCTTTATCCACACTCACAGTTTACACTTCGACTCACTTTCTTTTCTCTGTCTATTATTTTTTTCTATTTTCTTTTTCCTCTGTCTACTTTTCTTTCTCTTAGGTCAGATGGAAACTTTTTCTCATTTCTATTGTGTTCATTTTAATTTCTAATTAATTTGATTTCATTTTTAATCCAAGTAATTTACAGTTTTCGTTTCTCTACAATTTAGTGTAAACTTAAATTCTCTAAATTGGTATTTCTATCAACCATTTAGAAATAATTTTCTCTCTGTGTTCTCATTTCCTTTTATTCTCTGTCTAGTTTTTAGATATTTGCTCTTCCATTGTTTTCATCTTCTCTCGATATTTCTCTTATACCTATTTTTTTTGTTTTCGAATTTGCAATCAATCAATCGTTTCGAATTCACTATCTCTCTTTCCTGTTCATACATATTCATATATTTCTCTGGCGATTCTCCTCTTGAAGTGAACAAATTAACCATTAACCCGATTCGTGATATGAATGTGCAGCGAAGCCGTTTACCAACCTACACAGCTAATGGTAATACTTATGGTTACAATTCACCATTAACTAATCGGCGAGGTTCTCTATCAACACCATCACCTACTAACAATATGTTCAGTCCATCTCATCGAGAGTATCATCAAGTAACCTCACCTTTCTATCAAGTAACAACACAATTAAATAACAATTCTAATTCCAATGGTTGTGGTGATAATTTACTATCTTCTACTAGAAACTCTTTACCCCGTGAGACAAACCGTCATTATGCCACTTCACCTACCTTGAATTACACCAATCACAATAGCTGTACTAATAATAACCATAACAACAACACCAGTAACAACTCTCATCGCCACCAACCAAAATTACAACAGCAACAGCAACATCATCATCATCCACATTTTCATCATCATCATCATCCATACAACAACCAAACCTGTCACGGTGTTGCTTCTTATAATAATACTAACAATGTTTTCACCAGTAACAAAAATTACAACAATAATAGTTATTTCTTTCAATCAGCTCCTTCAAGTACTCTAACTAGTCCAAGGTGCTCCTTACCTGGTACACCAAACGATCATCATTCATCACCATCAAATCAATTTAAATTAGAATCTCCATCAATTAAATCATCTTCTTCAACACCTTCCAGAGTCATGTCAAGACAAACCTCATCAACAACCTCTTCCTCAGCAACCAAAAATCGTAAACCAGGCCTAACAAAATCATCAACTGTCGCCTCTGTCCTATCCGATTCATCAATTAAAACGGCCACTAGTAGTGGACTTAATAGTCGCCGACAATTTGACAGTTACATGCCTTTGTGTGAAGTCCAATCAGCCCTTAAAAAGGGTGAAGTCATTGAGGTAATTATAATTTCTGTTTTTTTTAACTCTCTTTATTTCCTCTTACATAATAATCAATCTATTAATTTACTCTCTTTATCCATTTTTTTTACTCTACTTACAGGGCGTCCTAAGGATCAATCCAAAAAATTTTGAAGATGCTTATATTAGTGCACCGGTAATCATTGGTACCCAAATATTTTCACTCGTTCAAAGTCACACAATCCTATCCTAGTTATATTAATTGTGTGTGCTTGACATGAATGTTTCCTTTGTTTCTATTTAATTTACAAAATTAACCTTAGTTTGCATCAAAATTTTGTGCAGGTTTTAAATTTTTATCCACATTTAAACCAATTCATAAAAATAATCATCTCATAAAACTGTATTAATTAGATAAGATTACAATATTGTTAACGTAGACATTGTTACTCTTTATACTATCCCTATTTGTAGATGAAACTTTAAAGTGTATTTCACTCATGAGAGGATTATTTTTTTGTATTTAGGTTTGTTACCAAATTGATCAGTGAATCTGATTATCGATTTCTTGTTAATAATTAGGTTGATCGGATTTATTTTCTCTGTTTTGCTCTTATCAGGTTTACATCTCGTTACTTGTTTTCTCCCTCTGTTTTTATTTCTTTTTTTTTATTACATTTTGTCTTATTTTCTACTTCCCATTCTCTGACCTCATGTAAATTTGCTCAAAAATTATGATTTAATGAGATTTTATTTGTTTTAACCAACAGGACGGGCGGATGGACATATACATTGCCGGAATAGAAGGTAGAAACAGAGCGTTCAATGGTGATAGAGTTGCGGTTGCTTTGAATCCTCCAAAAAAATGGAAGGTAAATTGATTCTCTCATATGTATGAACGTTTTTTCCATCTTTTTTTTGTATCTTCCTTTGCCTTTCTTGTATTAGATTCTTTATGAAAAGCTTCGTGTTAAGTGGAAAGATTGGGGCCAAGAAATTGATGAAACCTTACGAAATCAGTTATCCCTCAAGGAAGATGCTCACCCCAAAGGATTTTGGCCAACACCAGTTTCTGGTCAGGAAGAGTCAGAAGAAACAAGTCACAGTACAAAATCAAAATCGTCAAAAGTCAAACGAAAATCTGACCCTGTGATGGACCCTCAACCTTATGCTCCATCTTATGCAATCACCGAAGAGCATATTTTAGACATGATAAATGACCTTGAAGACTTTCATTGCTCTATTTTCTCCAATGAACAAGAACCAATTGATGATGATGATGAAGAAGAAGAAGAAAATGGATCTGATGAAGAGAAGACTCCTCACAAAACTCCAACGAAAACAACGTCTTCTAAAAAAAGTAAATCGGAATCAGACACCACTGGTGGAAAAAAGAAAAAGAAAATAAAATCTAAGAGCAAAGAATCTTCTAGTACCACACCAAGTAAATCCAGGAAAAAGGAAGAGGTGAAAGTTAACATTCCTGAAGGTTTACCTTCATACTTTGTTGACCTCACCGCTGAAAATTTTGTCGGGTGTCCTCACTGGGAGGAATTCATTCAGAGAACTGGTCAAGTTAAGGCAATCATGTCGGAAGTACATTCTCGCTTTGCTGGAGGTAAATTAAAATTGGCTAAAGATCGTAATACAAATTGGGCCTTATTTTGTCCAACCGATAGTAAAGTACCTCGAATGTTAATTCCCATGGATCAGTGTCCACCCGATTTCATGGCACATTCTAACCATTATGATAGCACCATGTTTATTGCAAGAATAGTCTCATGGGAAGATGACAGTAAATTACCAATTGGTACATTAGTTAAAAAATTGGGCTCATCTGGAGATATTAACGTTGAAACTGAAATTATTTTAACCGAAAATGGTATTGATGATAGTGAATTTGACGAAGATATTATTATTGGATTACCTACTGTACAAAAATCGACTGATTATAAAATACCAAACAAGGAACTTTTAACAAGGAAAGATTTTCATGATGTTTGTGTTTTCACCATTGACCCAAGTACAGCTCGTGATCTTGACGATGCGATATCAATTCGTGACATCGAAAATGAAAAAGGTTTAAATGGATGTTCATTGTATGAAGTTGCCGTTCATATTGCCGATGTTTCGTACTTTTTGAAAGAAGGATTACCAGTTGATGAAGAAGCTCGTAAACGAACCACATCCTTTTATCTTGTCCAAAAAATGATACCAATGCTTCCCCGTGTTCTTTGTGAATGTTTATGCTCCCTAAATCCAGGTGAAGATAAACTGACCTTTTCTGTTATTTGGACAATGGACGAAGAGGGTAATACTTATGGTGAACCTTGGTTTGGTCGTAGTATCATTCAAAGTTGCGTTAAATTAAGTTATGAGATTGCTCAAGATATGGTTGATGATCCAGAACGTGAATGGACTGAACAAGATTTCCCAAAAATTTATGGCAATTGGACAGTGGAGGATATTAATCGTTCGGTTAATTTATTCATGAAAATGGCTCGAAAAATTCGCAATCGAAGATTGGAAACTGGTGCTTTAAACATGAGAGAAGCTAAATTAGCATTTGTACTTGACTCTGAGTCAGGTTTACCCTTAGGGTTTACTCCTCATAAACATTTAGAGTCACATTTTCTCATTGAAGAGTTTATGTTAATGGCTAATATGGCGGTGGCAAAAAAGATTCATGATACTTTTCCCGAACACGCTTTCCTCCGTCGGCATGAACCTCCTGATAGTCGAATGTTGAAACAGTTTCAAGAATATTGCGTCGCCAATGGAATGAAAAATATTGACATTTCATCCGCTAAAAGCATTCAAAAGACGTTAAACTCAATCGACGATCCACTCATCTATACATCTTTGTCAAATGTTCTACTTCGATCTCTGACTCAAGCGAAATATTTCTGTTCTGGATCAGTCCCACAATCACCAAGCTTTTTCCGACATTATGCTCTGAACGTTGATCTTTATACTCACTTTACATCACCCATTCGACGTTATCCCGATGTGATTGTCCACCGACTTTTAGCTGCTGCTCTTGATTGTGGTAAAATGATTAAAGATTCACCCGAAGAGTTACAACAATTGGCCGCTGTTTGTAATGTAAAGAAAAACGCTTCCCGTTTAGCATCAACCTCCAGTGGCAAACTATTTGTCGCTCTTTACATTAAACAGTGTGGCATTGTACGTGACGAAGCCGTGGTAGTCCAAATTTATGATCACTCATTTGACGTAATGTGTACCAATTGTAATGAATTTTGTAGAGTTTATTGTGATAAATTGGAAGTTGATCATTTTGAATTTGAAGAATCAGTCTCAGGATCTAAAGTGATGAAACTTTTCTGGAAAGGAGCAGGAGCTAAAGTTCAAACAATTACTCCATTCACCAAATTGAATGTCGAAGTGTCTATAAGTCCATCTGATATTCACAAATGGATTGTAAGTTTCCACTTATCTTTCATGTTAATCCTAATCTCATGTGGCAATCATACACTTACACATATCTTAATCTTTTCTTCACATGTGTGTACCAACATTTATGATATCTAATCTTTTTTTCTCTCTTTTTCTCTCTCTTTCTTTCCATTCTTTTTCTAGGTCATTGCTGTCAATCCATTTACCAACACTGAAATTAGTGATTAATGAGATTACCAAATTTCTTGTAAAGTGATTGATACATTTTCGTTTATGATCACAATCCTTTTGATCTTAGAAAAAAATTGTCCATGAAGTTCAACTTATGAAAATCGATGACAAAAACCACTGCCATTTTATCATCAATTCATATGAATCAATTTTTCATCTTTAATTTTATCCCATCTCTTTTTTTGCTGGATCTTCATCCGATGATGAAAATGAACAAAATTTTCTTATGTTAGTTTAGAATCTAAAACAATTTAATTGTCGTTTCATGGTCAGTTTTCGCTCTGTGTCCATCTAAAAATCGACTATTTTGACACTTTCACTCTCACTCTCTCTCTCTCCCCTTCCCTTTTTACAACCTAAAACTGAGATTATATTTATCTAGTTTCAGAGCATAAATTTAATTATAGTAAATTTAAATTAAGAGCATCAAAATTAACACTTCTAGTTAATTGTGCTAAATCAGATCTCTCTCCATTTCACTTTCATGAACAAATAATTCAGATCAAATTGGGTCAATTTTGCCAAGTCACTTTGCTAATTGCTTTAATTTTCTTAAAAAAAAAATGTTACAACACTTTTTTTTATTATTACATTTAATTGTTGTTACCAAGATCAAAATAAGATCAAATAATAATTAAGAGAAAGTGAACAAAAAATTAAACAAAAAAAACGAAGATTTTATCTTCAAAATTGATTGTTGTCCATTTAATTTAATCAACTTTACCAACAAACTTGACCTTATTTTCATACTGATTGTAATTGATTAATTACAATAATCAATTGTATAAAAAGGTAAATACTTTGCTGACCAATTTACATAAATTAATTACGATCCAATAGTCAAACTTGAATGATTAACAATCAAAAACTAAACAATCATTTTGATTATCAGACAATGAAAAGTTTAACCATTAAAACAATAACTTGATCAATCGTTTAAATCATTTGATTGAATTAAATTGCTTGTGATTCAATAATAATAATGATAATGATAATAAATAATTGGAAATAAGTAATTAAGAAATAATAATTGTCTAATGATTGGAAAAATCAATCAATCAAATTAAAAGTTTTCAATTTTTTCTTCTTTGATTATTGTTGTTAAAATGATTGTTACCTAATTTATTATTAAGCCTTGTAGAGTTAATTGTAGTTAGACTATTGTTAATTGTCACAAGAACTGGTTGATTAGCACGAGAAGTGACCGCTCGTTTCCGGGTGGAATTGTACCTCTCCAGAGCGGAGGGAATAAATCGTGAGAACAAATTTCCACCGGGAAGATTTTGCCCACCACCGAATAGAGATGAACCTCCACCAAGTCCTCCACCTCCACCACCACCGGTGAGTCTATTGAGATTACCAAAAGAAAAGGTCAAAGGTGAAGGTGGAGGTGGAGGTGAATTCGGTGTCTCTTCAACTTCCACCACGGTGATACCTCCATTCGGCCTTACATATCGGCGCCTAACGATAACTGACCTTCGAGTTGTTGATTGTCCGAATCTATTATAACTAATTGGATTCCCTTGTAAATTATTGATTGATGAAGATGAAGATGATGATGGTGATTGAGGTGATGAACTTGATTGTTGCTGGGATGATGAATCATCATAAATTTCAGGATAATCAGAACCAGAATCACAGGAACAACATTCACTGCAAGAACAACAGCCCGAAGGCAAATTGTTATGTAAACCAAAAGACAATTTATTGTTATGGTTTAAATTGTTACCATTATTGTAAACACTTTGTTGCCTCTGAAAGGATCGAGATCTCGCCGATGTTGATGTTATATCAGTTGATTGTTGTTCATTAAGTAATTCAATTGAAGATGAAGATGAAGATGTTAAAGTTTCCATTGAAATGATACAGAAAATGGAGACAAATGATAGAAACACCGAAAATTGATACGAGAACATTTTTTTTATCTTCTTCTTCGTTGTAACTGATTAAATCACTAATCTCATCGTTGATTAAAAGTGAAATGATTAAAAATTTAATCATCTGATTAACTGGATTAAATGATCATCTCCTTTTTCAATTCATAATGAAAACTTTCATGAAACAATTGCCTAAGGTTTTTACCAAAAATCGAACAGGATTTTCCAATTAATTGTCTAATTGTCTTTGATTGTTGCAGTGTTTTTGTTTCTAAATCAACAGTTTCCTGATTAATTTTCGTCCTCTATTCAACTACAATTAAACACACACCAAATGGATTAACATTGTAAAGGTAATTAACTGATTTTGTCTCTTTTTAATTCCAATCTAATGTTAAACCATTTTGATTGTTTTCCTTTTTTTCCCTTTTTTTCATCTCTTCCTTTTGTGTTTATGTATTTTGGTAATTCTTTCACTTTGTAATTGTTGTTTAATTTAATTGATTATTTTGATAATCCTTGATTACGAAAGTTATCATTATTATCTCTTGGAAACCTTGGTGTAAATTCTGGTGATTTATTTCCTTCAGGTAGAAGTTTTTTTTTTCCATCAAGATTCAATTCTTACAATTGTTATTAACCATCAAGGTTAACACCTTGGCAAGAATCAAAATGGTTTACAATGTAATCATCATCCATTAATCCTAAACAATTATCTTAACCATTAAGACTAGAAGACAACAATTAACCAAAGAAATTAACTGGTCTCATTTTATTTGATAAACCATTTGATTAAATTGAGTGTTGAATAATCAAATGTTTCCATGTGAAAACCTTGATTCAGTCTCGATGTTTACATCATCATCATTATGATGAAGGATTTATCAATGTTTACATTATGATTAGTTAATTATTTTCCAAATCATCAATTTAAAATCTAGATAAAGTTAATTACTATTAATTATCAAGATATACGAAGATGATTACGATTTAATCCTTGAAAGGATTAATGTAATGGTCAGTTAATATTATGATATCAACAAGGTAATGTAATCATAACATTGGAAACTTAATTTTCATTATCAATTGTAATCAATCAATTTCTATTGTTTAATTAGCTACACACACTGGTGTTAATTAACTTACGATATTTTGATTGATTGAAAATGTATAACAATCATTTGGTATTCAATTGATTGCAAACTTTTTCAACTAAAACTGTAATTGTTTCGTTGATAATCAAGTTCATTGTGCTTCAACAGGTAACAATCAGTTCATCCCTATCATCAGGATCATCATCATCATCACAATTATGATTATTATTTACACCAGACAATTTAAAAGAAAAAAAAGAAAGAGAAAAAGAAAGACAAGTTTCAACTTCCTTTTCTTTCATCAGCTTTAAATCATCATCATCATTATCATGATTAGTTAACTGCAATCGCCCACTGATTGTTATTAAAGTTTTTTCCAAATCAAAAGGAAGTTAAATCCAATGTAAACAAGAAAAGTTGAATAATCTATGGCTTACAATTAACTTTCGCAAGGGACAATTACCTGTTAATTGTAACAAAATTAACTCAACCTTTTATTGATTAAACTTGTCTGAAGGTAAAAAATTAAACCATTTTGGTTCATCAACATAGATTTTGTTTAATTGTTGTTGTTGTTGTTGATTTTGGGTTTGATTTTCTCACTGATTAAAATCACAATTAATTCATTAAATCATCAGCATCATCATTTCAATATCGTAACATCATTTTTTGTTTGTTATACAACATTAACCCAGGTAATTAACGATTAAATTTGATTAACCTTTTTGATAACATTTGACTTTGTTTTTATTGCTTAATTGTTTGTCTCACTTGGTTTATGTTGGATTTGTTTTTTTTTAATCATTTTGGGAACTTTATTAACCTCAATGATTACCAAGATTAGATAAATGAATTGATTTTACTTTCATAATTATCACCTGTAATCAATTTCATCTTTACGATAGTTTGCTGATTAATTTAAGCCATTCTGAGCTTTATGAGGCTTAATAATCTGCAGTGAAGTCCATTAAAAGTGATATGTATCAGAGGAAGAAGTCAATTTGTGGTGATTAGCGAGACAATTAAGTCACGATCAATGGATAATGACCTTAAATAAGAGTTGAGGCCATTTTTTCAAACGGTAAATCTGAAGAACTGGAAAACAACAACGATCTTTGAGTAAACATGCCAACGAGATTCGAGATGATTTTGATAATCTTATTAGAATTCAATATTATTAGAATACAATTACACCCGAAAATAGATAAAAAATATATTTGGATTTGGTTTGATGATGATAATGATGATATATTACCACTTCCGAGCTTAATCCTTATCAGCTAATCCATAAAGAAATGTACTATTTTCAACAGTTGACTGGATTGATGAGCAATATAACCAATTAATTATTAACATCAAGCAAACTTCCTCAGAGCAATTAACAGGGAATCAACATAGATAAAAATCTATATTTAAATTATAAATACCAATCGAAAGCTTCCTTTTCCTCCTTAACTAAAAAAACACAATTTAATCCATTTGAATGATTGACTTTTTGTTGATCACTTTGATTGTTTTTCCAATTGTTTACAATCATACTGATGTTACTCATTCTGGATTTATTTGCAAACTGTTGCACCATTAGAATTGATATTTAACCGTCGCCAAAATCACCATTATTGGAACCTGATTACATCCTGATTACAACTTGTTCCCGAAAAGATTATTAAATATTAAGGGAAAACTTTAATTATCCTGTTTTCCATCATCATCATCACCAAACCCAAACCCAAACCCAAAAGAAGAGGAAAAAAAAACCAAAACAAAGATGAAGAAAAAGAAAAGATCAAAGTATTAACACCAAAGAGAAAACGCAGACAAAACCAGGGTCAGTCATTCGTAAACTTGACCACAAAGTCTAAAATGAAAAAAGTTTCAAATTAATGGACAATCAAATTTTCAATGTCACCAAAATAAATTAACAATTAACCATTTGAATAACAACAAAACCAAAGAAAAAAACACAACAAGATCACTGCGCATGCGCAAAGAGAGAGAGCTTGTCATCCGCTTTCACAATCTCTTTCTCTTTGCTGTTCATTTGTTCATTCATCATGGAGTAGATGGTTTTTAATTTGTTTCTTTTTCATTTTTTAGTCTTTCAATTGGTTTTAATTATGACTTTGTTCAATATTTAATTCTTTCAAACTATGAACCTATTTGGATTATTAACTTTCATACTATTATCCTTTCTAATCGAAGGAATTAAAGGTAAGATATGAATAGATTTTTCTAAAATTCTCCATTTTCACTTCTCTTTCCTTTGCTTGTTGGTTCCTTTTTTCTTCTTCTTCAAACTGACTACTGGTGTTCTGTGTATGCTGAATGTTGGTTGTTCTTTGTGCAAACAACCTTCAACTGATTTTTTTCTCTCTTTCTTTTTTCCATTTCCTTTCTTTTCTCTCTCTCTATTTTTCTTTCTTTCTATCTCTATGTGTATACTTTGTGTGTCTATCTATGTGTTAATTTGTTTATTTAATCAATAGACTAATTTGTTGTGTTGTAATTTCTCTCATTTCAAATGGATTATTTTCTATTCTGTTTACGTGATTTGTTATTGCATCAATTTGTTCTATGGAGAATTTATTTATATTGGTGGATAACCTCTCTTTCTTTTCTCTCTTCTTTTCCCTTCTTCTCTGTTAGTGTTTCTCTCTATTTTTTCTTTGTCTACCTGATTCTCTTTCTTCTCTTTTTTCATACAAGTTTCATCTTTCTCTCTTTCTCTCTTTTCATTCTCTCCGTTCTTTCACCCCTTCCATCTTTCTTTTTATCCCTTTTTTTGTTGACCCTGTATAATTTTACTATTCTTCAATTTAAACTAATTTTATCACCATTTTCTTCTTCTCTTGTAATCTTATTTTTTAGGCTCTAAATGGAAGACTCCGTTAAACTCATTTATATTAGATTATGATGTAGTGGAATATAATGCTCATCACGTCCATCATAAAGTCAAAAGGCACATTGAGGCCATTAGATCATCTTCACCACCTCCACCTCCACCACCAGCATCTACATCTTCGCCATTGTCTTCATCCTCACCATCTTCTACATCAACATTGCCATCGCAAGGATCAACTGGACCTTTATTATCAACTGTATCACCTTTAGATCCTATTCAAATTAATTTTAAAGCCAAAGGAAAAATATTTAACCTTAGCTTAAAACCTGAGGTACGATCAGCTTTCTCTGAAACCCTGATTGTTGAAGATTCCTCAGGTAAACCAATCACCATTAATTTTGATCATATAGTTTCTGGTCAACTTGAAAATGAACCTGGTCACACCAAAGTGTATGGCTCTATTCATGATGGTGTATTTGAGGGTAAAATTCATACACTAGATCAAACCTATTATGTAGAAAGAGTTGGTAAATATGGTAAAGATTTTAAAGAAAAGGGACATAATGTATCCAGTCATTCAATCATCTATTCAGCGGATGATGTTCACCATGATCATGATCATGAAATTGGCGCTGGTTGTGGTAATGATGAGATATACAAATGGATGGAGGAGATAAGTAATTCTGCTGTTCCTGAACCGGATGGTAAAAAGCAGAAAAAACCAATTATTGTTGATGACGAAGAAGCCCATCATCATAACTATTATAGTGAACCAGTGAAAACTGTCATTCATCATCGTAGTAAGAGAGATTCTTCCTCCTCCTCCTTTCAACCATCATCAAGTTCATCTTTTGAACCTTCTGCTCAACGACTAGACCATAAATGGTTTGGTGCTGAACCTCGAATAGCTCCAGATAAATCAAATAATCTCAACAACAATCCAACTCCCAATTATCCTAGAGAAATAGTCCCTCCTGCCCATAAGAGAGCTTGCTCACTTTACATTCAAACAGACACTTACCTTTGGGATCACATTCGAAAGGATGTTTCTTCCGATACCAAAGCCAGAGAGGAAATCGCTTCTCTGGTGGCACAACATATTAAAGCTGTTAATCATATTTACGAGAGTGCCAATTTTCAAGGTATTCGAGGACTTAAATTTATCGTTCAAAGACTTAAAATCAATGAATCAACTGCTTGTGATGACCAAAGTAAAAGGGATCAAAATCCTTTTTGCTCACCCAACATCGATGTTTCTAATTTCTTAAATCTTAATAGTCAATTTAATCACAACGATTTCTGCCTCGCTTACATATTTACTTATCGTGATTTTTCTGGAGGTACCCTTGGTTTGGCCTGGGTCGCCTCTACATCGGGTGCATCAGGCGGTATCTGTGAAAAATACAAATCTTACACTGAAAATATTCACGGACGTCAAGTTCAAACAAAACGTAGTCTCAATACTGGAATAATCACTTTTGTTAATTATAATTCACGGGTACCACCAAAAGTTTCTGAATTAACTCTTGCCCATGAAATTGGTCATAATTTTGGATCTCCACACGATTTCCCACCAGCCTGTAGACCCGGTGGAGCAGCGGGTAACTACATAATGTACTCATCAGCTACTTCCGGTGAAAGGGCGAATAATAATAAATTTTCTCCCTGTTCTGTGAGAAATATTTCCGCTGTATTAACTGCTGTTTTCCACCAAGAAGGAAAAGAAAATTGTTTCGAGATAGACAATGGTGCTTTCTGTGGTAACAAGATTGTAGAAGAAGGTGAAGAATGTGATTGTGGATATGATGTTAAAGAATGTACTGAACAGTGTTGCTATCCAAGGGAATATGATGTTTTCCTTAACAGTGATCCAGACGCTAAACCATGTAAACGGCGTTCACGAGCATATTGTTCACCCTCCGAGGGACCTTGTTGCAATGAACAATGTGGATTTGAAAGACCCCACAAGATTTGTCGTTACGAGACTGAATGTACATTTTTATCATTTTGTGATGGTAAAGCAGCCCAATGTCCATTGCCACCAGCGAAACCCGACAAAACGGAATGTAACGGCGGTACCCAAGTCTGTCTTAGGGGAACATGTTCTGGTTCCATTTGTCAAAAATACGACATGGAAGAGTGTTTCCTTACCTTCAAGAATGGAGCCAAACCCGATGAGATGTGTGAAGTTGCCTGTCAAAGGCATAAAGATCCTAAATCTTGCCGTCGAACCTCTGAAATTGAACAAATGCGCAACATTAGTGGACTCAAATTACGTCCTGGATCACCTTGTAACGACTTCCAAGGTTATTGTGATGTTTTCCAAAGGTGCAGAGCAGTTGATGCTGAAGGACCTTTAGCTAGATTAAAAAATTTACTCTGGAATCATAAAACTTTGCTTACAATTAAACAATGGGCAACGGTAAGTTTCTTAAAATGACAATTTAATTAATAATCAAAAAGAATAGTCAACAAACAAAGGAATTGAATTGAAAGCAATTTAATACTTTTGTTTTATCAACAATAAAACAACCAAATAATATAACTCAAATCTTGACATTGAGAAAGAAAAATTTCTATTCTAAATAGCATTTTCATTCATTTTCAACAATGTTGATTTTTCATAATTATTTTTATTCGCTTGTTTTATTGTTCTCTTCCTCATCTTTCATCCTCATCCTCATCTTTGTATCTCTGTTTTTTTCATTTCTCTCTCAACCATTAGACCTACTGGTGGGCCTGTATGTTAATGGCTATTGCTATACTCTTATTCATGGCAGCGTTCATCAAATGCTGTGCTGTACATACTCCTAGTTCAAATCCTAAAAAGCGACCTGCGCTCAAGATCACCGATACTTTACGTCGTCCTGCGGATACTCTAAGGCGAAAGGTACAGTAAACGAAAAAAAACACAATACGAATTAACTTTTTATCCTCTTTCCTTCTCCCTCATCATAATCATTTTTTTTTGTTGTTACTCTTTCTGTTTCTCTTTATCCCTTACTGACAACTCCTTTTTTTCATCATTCTCATCTTTCGTTCATTTACGTTTCCGTGGAGCATCAACAAGGAAATCCTCTTTACTTGCTCTCTCTCTCTCTCTCTTCATTGTTCTGACTTGTATTTATGAGTATGTTGTGTGAGTGTGGCTATGAATGTCTGCTGTTTGTTGTTTAGTATTCTTTGTTTTGATTTTTGGATATCAAACAATCAAAATTGGCAGTTGAACGTCTCTCTATCTTCATCTCTCACTTTTATTTTCTTATTCATCTTCATCTTCATTATTACTAAATCTTGATTCTCTCACTTAGATATTTTTTTCCTTCACAATACTATCAAACTGATCTGGTTATATAACTTGTCAATTGTATTTCTTTCTGATTGATAGATCAAAATTATGACTATCCAATTATTATCTTTTACTCTTTTTTTATGATTCTCCCTTTTGTTTGTGTGTTGGTGAGCAACTATCATCATTACGAAGTCTAAAGGTATAAAGATTACTTTCAGGGTGACCTGTAATCAATCAAAGTTTACCCAAGCTCTTACCTGATTTACCTGATTTACCTGACAGTTGAACGTAATAATGAACTTAACTTTGAGGGTTGTGTTTGTGTGTGTGTGTATTGAGTTGATCATTTGAATTTTAATCAACTTGAATAATTTTTTTTTCTTGTGCAACATTTTTGTAACCTTGCAAAATCAATTTACTTTTTTTACTTTAAAGGTTAACTTGATCAATTAGCTTAATTTGTTTACAATTATCATCGGATAATCAAATGTAAACCTAAGTGTAACTAACAAGACATTGAATAGAATAGTGTTTACGATATAATTTTATCAGAGTAGCACTTTAATTTAATTCATTCTATTAATGATCAATTTGTTGCTTTTGTGTCAAGATAATAGTGTAATATAATTAAGAAACTAAAAAAAAAGCTATTATACATTTACCTTAATCATTTGATTGTTTTAGATTTTGTTTTGTTTTGAATTAAATTGTTTTAACAACAGCAGATGATTTACAATTACGGGAATAGTTGATTGTGTGTGCGATAGTAAATGTGTGTGTGAATACATAATGAAAAGCAAAAGGTAAAAATATTGATTGAGAAAGATTGTTATATAAGATTAGTGTGAATTAGAGCGAGAAACAACAGAAGTATTAATGATTAATTCAACTAAACTGTAATAATCTTTTTAATTTCACACAATTCGTTTTTCCATTTACGTAATAATCATGTAACAATTTTTACTAATCATCTTTATTATTATCATCATCCTGTCTCCTATCATTCAGCTCAAGTTTTTAATAAGGTAGAGAGAGAGAGACCACAAGGAGAAGATAATTAGTTGAAGAAAAGATCTCATCAGTATTATTATTTCAAGATCTGTTCCTGTTTAGCATTTCTGTTGATATAATTATTATCTATTTCATGTATCATTATATTTATGGTTTATATTTATGCAATTTCCTTTCTCATCATCATTTACTTGACTATTTTTCAAGAGTCGTTTTTATTAACATCCATCGGAAGTGTTCACTTATTGAATGGATAAAGAATTCAATCAATTGTTATTATCTCTTGTTACATAATTGATTCTGATTAGATTTTATCCCTTTTTCTCCATTTCAGAAATGTATTAAGAGGCATTTTAATTACATTGGTTATTAATTTTGTTTTCTATTTTTCTTTTCAGCGGCCGCGATCTACTCATTCAAGACCTGCCAATCAATCATCATCCTCATCAAGCCATGGAGCCAATATACCTTTACAACCCTCAGCTCCTTTATTTTCAGATGTATCCATTAATCAGCCTTCATCATCATCATCATCGTCTTATAATCAAACCTCTTGTGGACTCAATATGCAACATACTCAGTTAGTTGTTGCTTTACCCCCTGAAAGTCATGGACACTCAAGTGGCAGTGGTAATGGAGGAGTTGGTGGTGGCAGTTTAAATTATTCTTCCAACTCATCTGATCCACCACCTCCTTATCCAGGTTTAGGATTAGGAATACCACCCCCTCCACCTCCCATCTCACGTATACCCACTTCTAATTCATCAGGTCCTTCTCATGGATATGGTGAAGGTCGTGGTCACTATAACCGTAAAGGCCAAACAAATGTACCAACAGGGAACAAAGGTCAACCAAACAATGTACCATCCATGCCTAAAAGTCATCATAATAGTGTATCTAGTAGATCTCGACATATGAGATGATGACTTTGGTTTTTTTCAAAAAAACTCCGAGTTTTTTTTTAATTTTCAACTGTATTTATTATTCTAACAAAAAACAATTAAAACAAACACTCATGTCTCACGAAAATTTTAAATCCTTACAAACAAATGATAGAAACAAAGATTACATTATCGATATTAGTGATAATCATTACACTCAACAAACGAACAAAAATCTAACCAATTAACTACTCAATTCTTTGAGTTAACTATCATATTCTAATTTGATTATAAGTTTGATTTACTTTTCGAAGATGAACCAACCATGATTAACCATATTCGTTTGAGTGACTGATTGAGGAAAGAAAGAAAATAAAACCTTATAAGAATCATGAACAGTCACTGATTTAAAAAAAAACAATTTAGACAAAGATACTAATTAAACTCTTTCCAATCGGATTAACGGAAATTTCCTAAGATTTAATTATCAGTATTATCTTTCTGAAACATTAAAAATTCACAAGAATAATTATCCAATGATCCATTCATATTTCCGTCTACAATTATCAATAAGACTTTATTGTCATAATAATCAACACTTTCTATTGAATAAAGAAAAAGCTGAAAGTAAATTAAATACAAAGTAGTAAAGATCTATTGATATTCAAAATAATTAGTAATTGATATTCTCATTCGTCTCTCTATTTACCTTTAATCTTTAATTGTTAAGGTAATTCAATCACTTGATTATACCTCTTGTTAGATGACAATCAGCTAATTAGAATAATTTTTCTCCAACAGAGTAAAGTGTTCAGTTCAATTTGAACCAAAGTTAACTGTAAATAATTGTTATTCAAGTTTCTGATTATCTGAGTTATCCAATTCCTCAAATTGTTTAACCATTAAATTAAAATTCCAATTCAGTAATAATTAACAAATCAATTTCTCCTCATTATCTCTTCACATTCACACACTCACATCAATAAATCATAAAATCTCAATATCATATGAATAACCAGAAAGAATTCTGAAAATAGTCTAACAATGAAAACAAAAAGAAAACAATTTAAATTAATGAAAATTGTTTCAACTTAATTTTTTCTTCAAAAAAGTTGTTCGAAAAAAAAATGGTTCGACCAAATGACTGCAATCAAATTCACTAGATGGCAGCACCTTCGTTCGAGAATTGAGTAACTTTTAAAGCTAAGAAAATTTGGATTACATTGTTCTGGATGGAGATAAATTTAGACAACAAGTTGGAAATTAAAAGTATTCTTTTTAATAAAGATGCGCATGTTGACGCGCATGCGCAATCGATTTTTCGCAAATTCTCTTGTAAAATCTTCATTTAATTCAATCGGAACTCAGAACTTCAGGAGTTCTTTTCTTCTTTAGTTAAGTAATTGCTAAGTAATTAATTAATTGTTTTTTGTCTTTTTTTTCTATTCACATACCTTGTCTGACCATCAAAGGAACCAACAATCAACAAATCAGCAAGAATCATCTTCAACAACAACACTAACAATGGATGCAAATGCAAAGGTAAGTCTGCCATTTTTTTATATAAACTTTTCCCATTGCTCAATAAAACCAAACTAGTCGATCTCAAAAGTAACCAAATTTGAGATCGACTATCACTGACTAGTTTAAATTTAAGCCACACCAATGCGATAATTACTAAGATTTTAACTCTTTTTGCTAACATTTTCATCAAATATGATCATATTATTTATTAATTAGTATCCGTTAGAATTTTTTGTAACTTTTCATAGTCTCAAGTCATCTGTTGACCCCAAATTAATTACCATCGAACTTTTTTTTTGGATTAAATTCAAATTAAGCCTTCTAAAAGTAATTTTGCACAGTTAAAAATCCAAATGACAGAGAAAAAATTTAATTCTATCCACATTTATTGTGTATCTCAACCTGTTTCCATGATTCTATTGCCATTTCTATTCTTCTAATTAATCAATTGATTGTTTATTCTCTCTCTATCTCTTTCTCTCTTGAAGGTATTCTCCTCTCTCTTTGTATCTGTTTGCTATTAGATTCTACTTTATTTCTTCATTTATTCTTGTCAAAGGTTCTCATCCTCTTTCACATCCTTATGATAATAATCAAAACAATAATTATCTTTTGATCAACTATTTTCTCTTCTCTCACTTACAGAAAAATGTTTCGAAAAAAACCAAGAAAAAGAACGATTTAGATGAACTCAAACAAGAACTTGAAGTGGTAAGTTTTTTATTCAAGATAATGATTCCGTAATAACTGTCGACAGGAAGTTTACTTAACCAAGCATTTGTTTCTCCGTCAATTGACCTGAATCATCTTCTTGTTTTTTTACTCTCTCTTTTCGATCAATTATTCTTATTATCAATGGTATTTCGTTTTATATCATCATTTTTACTTTATTTTCATTGAATATTTTCACGATCATTTTCATATCAACACTTACAATCTACTCTTCTCTTACATCATCAAAATCATATTCGCCTCGCAACTTAACTACAAACGGAACTGATTGCATAATATTTCAATTGCTAATCATGTGTGTATGTGTCTTTGTTATCTATCTGATTATCTTAGGATGATCATATCATTACTCTTGAGGAATTGTGTTCTCGTCTTAAAACTGACCCAGTAAAAGGGTTAACTTCAACTCAAGCTAAAGCTGTTTTACTGCGCGATGGACGAAACGCTCTGACCCCACCACCAACGACCCCTGAATGGGTCAAATTTTGCAAACAACTTTTTGAAGGATTTGCTATGCTTCTTTGGATTGGTGCCTTCTTATGTTTTGTCGCTTATTCCATTTCAGTTTCTACTCAGGATAATCCGTCTCCTGATAATGTAAGTTTTTTTTTCATCCTCTTTCTTGTCAGCTCATTGATCAAACATGATTGACACAAATGTAAGAAACGTATTCCAATAATCCATTTTTATTTCAGCTTTATCTTGGTATTGTACTAGCAGTTGTAGTTTTTATCACTGGAGTATTTTCATATTACCAAGAGGCCAAAAGTTCAGCCATCATGGAATCATTCAAAAGTATGGTACCTCAATATGCTTTGGTTATACGTGATGGTCAAAAGTTGACCATTCCAGCGGAAGAGGTTGTTGCTGGTGACGTTGTTGAAGTAAAAGGAGGTGATCGAATTCCTTCCGATATTAGGATTATCTCCTCTCACCAATGTAAAGTTGACAATTCTTCCTTGACCGGAGAATCCGAGCCACAAACTCGAAGTCCCGAAAAAACCCATGACAATCCATTGGAAACTCGTAATCTTGCCTTTTTCTCGACTAATTGTGTTGAAGGAACTGCCACTGGTATTGTCATTCGAACTGGAGATCGAACTGTTCTTGGTCGTATTGCCAATTTAACCTCAGGTCTTGAAACAAGACAAACACCAATCAATCGTGAGATTGAACATTTTATTCACATAATCACCGGAGTCGCTTTCTTTCTTGGAATATCTTTTTTCATTATCGCAATTTTCCTTGACTACAATTGGCTTGACGCTGTTATCTTTTTAATTGGTATCATTGTCGCCAATGTACCCGAAGGTCTTTTAGCCACCGTTACCGTGTGTTTAACCTTAACTGCCAAAAGAATGGCTTCGAAAAATTGTTTGGTCAAAAATTTGGAAGCCGTTGAAACTCTTGGTTCAACCTCGACAATTTGTTCTGATAAAACTGGTACTTTAACCCAAAATCGAATGACAGTGGCCCATATGTGGTTCGATAATCACATTATCGAAGCAGATACAACTGAAGATCAATCAGGTAATGATAATGACTTTCTGTTCCCATCCAAACAATTAACTATTGATGATATTGACTAGTGAATTATTTGAGATGAAATGTTTTTTTAATGAGTTTTCACATGATATTTTAATTACAGTACTCACATTAAATCAGAAACTATCATCATCAATATCAAATATCATAAATCAATTGACCTTAAATTTAGTTATTATTATTATTTTAATAGGTTTGTTAAGCATCAATTTTACTTTCATCATCAATTACAATATAATTAACATTCGGTGATTAGTTAATTCGGAAATCCTTTTTCATATTCAATATTTCAAACTCAACTTTCTTTCATCATCATTATGGTTGATGATTTTTATCTCAATTATAATATTTTTGTACGTATTTTGATCGTTATTTGATTCTAAAGATTACTTAAAGTAATTTATTCTCACGATAATTTAGATGAAAGAGTTTTCTTTCTCATTCAAATGCGTCCAGTTAAGATAAACATATATTATTACTATTGATATACCAAAATAGATCTAATGGAATATTAATATTTGATTATATGTTTCTCCAATATAATAAGATAATACTAACAATAATAATTATGTTTAATCTCATCTCAATTCTTAACAAATAATCTGAAAATTTTTCTCCTCTCAGGTTTATCGTATGATAAATCATCTCCTGGTTGGAAAGCTCTTGCCAGAGCTTGTATGCTGTGTAGTAGAGCTGATTTCAAGGGAGGCCAAGAAAATGTTCCCATCTTGAAGAGGTAATTTGAATTGATCATATAATTTCAATGTTTGATCATCTCACATTTCATTGTGTCTCTTTTTGTCTATGTTATTCCCTTATTTGTTTATCTGTTTGATTATATGTAAAAATTTAGAGAGACTGCTGGAGATGCTTCTGAATCTGCTATTCTTAAATGCCTTGAATTGGCCTGTGGGGATGTTGCTGCTTACCGGAAAAAGAATAAGAAAATTTGTGAAATTCCTTTCAATTCAACCAATAAGTATCATGTAACCATCCACGAAAATCAAGATAAGAATGAGGGTTACTTATTGTGTATGAAAGGAGCTCCTGAAAGGATTTTGGAACGTTGTTCAACCATTTATATCAATGGCCAAGAAAAGGTTTTAGACGCAGAAATGAAAGAAGCTTTTAATTATGCTTACCTTGAACTTGGTGGTCTTGGTGAGCGTGTTATCGGTTTTTGTGATCTTGTTCTACCCAAAGATAAATATCCAAATGGATATTCATTTGATCCTGATGAGGCAAATTTCCCGTTGAGTGGTTTACGTTTTGTTGGACTTGTTTCTATGATTGATCCTCCTCGAGCTGCTGTTCCTGATGCTGTTGCCAAGTGCCGTTCAGCTGGTATCAAGGTTATTATGGTCACTGGTGATCATCCAATCACTGCCAAAGCAATTGCCAAATCAGTTGGCATCATTTCAGATGGCCATGAAACAGTTGAAGATATTGCTACTAGAAAAGGAATACCTGTTGATCAGGTTAATCCTCGTGAAGCTTTAGTTGCAGTTGTTCATGGAGGTGAACTTCGTGATTTTACTTCAGAACAACTTGACGATGTGCTAAAATACCACAAGGAAATTGTCTTCGCTCGAACTTCTCCCCAACAGAAATTGATTATCGTTGAAGGTTGTCAACGATTAGGTGCCATTGTAGCTGTAACCGGTGATGGTGTCAACGATTCACCGGCTCTTAAAAAAGCCGATATTGGTGTTGCTATGGGAATCGCTGGTTCTGATGTTAGTAAACAAGCTGCTGACATGATCTTATTGGACGATAACTTTGCCTCCATTGTGACTGGTGTTGAAGAGGGTCGACTTATCTTCGATAATCTTAAAAAATCAATCGCTTATACTTTAACCAGTAATATTCCCGAGATCTCACCTTTCCTATTCTTCATAATTTTCAACATCCCTCTTCCTTTGGGAACTGTAACCATCCTTTGCATTGATTTGGGTACTGACATGGTTCCAGCTATTTCATTGGCTTACGAACAAGCTGAAAGTGATATCATGAAACGTCAACCTCGTGATCCAAATAAGGATAAACTTGTCAACGAAAGACTTATCTCTATGTCTTATGGTCAAATCGGTTTCATTCAGGCTGCTGCGGGATTTTTCACCTATTTTGTTATCATGGCTGAAAATGGATTCCTACCCGAGTTCCTTTTCGGTATCCGTCACGACTGGGACTCAAAAGCTATCAACGATGTCGTGGATTCTTATGGTCAAGAATGGGTAAGCATTTTAGTTTTAAATTCTTTACAATTAAAAATTAATTCTCCTCTCAAAAAACTAAATTTCTTTCTATTAGACATACAAATCTCGCAAACAATTAGAATACACTTGTCACACTGCCTTTTTCGTCGCCATTGTTATCGTTCAATGGACCGATTTGATTGTTTGTAAAACAAGACGAAACTCTTTAATGCAACAAGGAATGAAGTAAGAATCTCATTGATCCAATTTCTATTCAAACTAATGACTATTTAATCTGATCATTGAAATATAAAATCTAATCATTACCCAAACTCAATTCTAATTGTAAACAGAAATCACGCTTTAACTTTTGGAATCTTTTTCGAAACTGCCTTGGCTGCCTTTCTCTCATACACACCGGGAATGGACGTCGTTCTTAAACTATACCCTCTCAAGTAAGAAAATTTAGATCAAAAATTTAGTACAATCAATCTAATTAACATTTCTTTCTGATTGCTCAGACTCTCCTGGTGGTTCCCTGCCATGCCATTTGCTTTATTAATTCTCGTCTATGATGAGGCTCGAAAATTCATAATCCGAAGAAAACCCGGTGGTTGGGTTGAACTAGAGACTTATTATTAAACTTCTTTTGAGTTCTAATTGTTTTCCTGTTGACATCGCAATCGAAAATTTAAAGCTATGATTAGATATTCAATTCTAGAAGGAGAAAAAAGAAGAGAAAATTTTTTTTAGTATAAATAACAATTAAGCAATAGCTATAAAAGACAAAAGAAAAGTATCAAAAATCTACTAATTTTAAATTTCATTCCTCATCTCTCTCTTTTTCTCTCTCGCTCACTCATCAATTCATTATTTTAATTTTTGCCCCTAAACATAAGACAATTAAATCACTAACCTGAAAATTCACTAATGATACTAACCCTCAAAACCACATTATCCACAAAAACAAATTGCTCATGCAAAGTAACGAGATGAAAAGTTTGTAACTGCAATCAAATAACAACAAAAACTACAACAATTCAACACTCAATCCCACGTGCAAAGGAATCCATCCTCGGATCATTGCGATTTCAGTTATTACAATTAATCACTTATTTTAAAAACAATCAACTACAACAAGAAACCATTTCAACAAAATCAAAGAGAAAAAAAATCAATTCTTAAAGGGTTAAGTCTTTGTGTTCACCCCAAAAAAAGTGATTAACAATCAAAGCTAATAATAAACTCTCATGTTCGTGATGATTTATCATTTGGAATACACCTTGGAAATCCTAATAATACCCTGAGTGTGTGTGTATCTTGATTGTAATGATGATGAAAATGTTTCACAATCAAAATTGATTGTGTGACTTGTTTTATCAATGAGAATCATTTTCTGTCCAGAAAAACAAAAAAGTCTCAACCATTAAAATGATTAACTTTAATTCAGCTAACACCCAAAAAAATGAATTACTATTCATGATTACTATGATTAACCGGAAACAACTAGTTTCCGTAGCAATTTATCAATGAGATTGCTCAACTAATTAATAATCATTATTATCCTGGCAAATGTGATCAATATTTCATTGAGAAAACTAAATTTACTCGATTATTATTATTGATTTTGTTTTACCTTTGCTTTCAATGATTTGGTTTCATTTTTCATCATAATTAACTGTCTACAAATTGTTAATCATTCAGTTATATTGATCACAATTTAGGGTTAGGTTGATAAAACAACATTAAATTGTGGCAATCATGTTATTTATGATCATAGTTGATTAATTGTTGATAAAATGAGTGATTTTTTTGTTTCTGCTCTTCGTTGGTTCAGCTTAATTGTTACAATGTTTTGATTTTCGTTTATTTTGATTCGTTGTTGTAATTAAAGTGATGACACAACAGAAAATTAATATTAATTTAATTGTTAATTGCTTTTTATTGGACTTGGTTAAATAAATTGAGCAACTTTTTGTTGTTTCTCAATACAATATTACCCTCTTACAATTAGTTAATTTTTGCTTTCGTGGTTAATCAATTATCTTCTTGATTGTAGATAATTATGACCGGAACAATTGTGTCAAGATTAATTGTCTAATATCACTCATATTTTTATTAATTATCAATCATCATCAGTAATAATTAATTTAATCAAGAAAAAAAAACCAACAAATTGGTTGATAAAAGCAAGAAAGTCAATGTTGGTTTATTTGATTAATTTGATTCAGTTACATGGTCAATATAATTGAATTAACTAAAAAATTGAGTTAATTGAATGTTCAATTGATAATTTTGTTGTCTAATTAACAAATTACTCCAATATTGTTGTTTATAAATAACTAATAACAAAGTTAATTGTGATCAACGTAAATATTTATGTTGATTACTTTTCTTTTGGTTTCTTTTTGATTTGCTGATTGTTTATTGATTAGTCTGATAATTTACTTTGATTGCTGTAAGTTAATTGTCATAGATGAGATAGTTTGTTTGATTGAATTGTTTTGATCATTTTCTTAATTGTTGAATGACAAGATTATTATTATGATTGTTTACTGATACTTTCCAGAGGAAGTTAATTCAAGAGTCTAATCAACTTGAAAATTTTACGCAATTTAAGTTAATCACTTTGATTGTGAGTTGATTGATCAAATTCAAGAGCACTTAAAGTAAGAGACAGGATTTAATCTGTTAAGTGTCAATCGAGTTAATTATTGTAATTAAATAGCCAAACAATTAACTTAAACCTTAACGAATAGTTGATTATGTTACTTTTTTGTTTCTTCTTCCAATGTTTTGGTTGTACAATTTGCTTGGAACAAAATTTTTTTCCAATTGTGAAAAGTTAAAAAGATTGATTCAGTTTCTATCATGAAAATTTTTACACAATTTATCAGAATTCATCATTAGTAAGTGCATGGAATTGTTGTTGATACTATTGATTATCGAAAATCTTTACATAGATTTTAACCAAAAAGTTATCAAGTAACATTTCGAGGCTCAGCTTGGATGTTACCAAGTTTCGTAATTCCGATTATCATGGAGACTGAGAATTCTTATCGCAAGAGGTCAATCGGAAGGAAGCAAAAATCCATCATCAAGGTGAACATTATAATCTCTTTTCCCTTGGAGATATTTCAAGTAAAACACCAACCGAAGTTTCGATCTCTTCGAACTGCAAGTCAATAGGAATTCAACGTTCAGTGAATGACCAACACTCGCCACTGAAATTATCAATCAAACTAACGATTCTTATATTCTCATCAATTTTGTTGGTCCTGGAAATAATAAATTCCTACCTGAGAAATTATCATTCACTTATCATGATTGAGATTCCAAAAATTAATCAATGAGGAATCGATTTAAACTTTTTTCATAAGACGAATCTCTTTAATCCAACAGTGAATGGAGTTAGAGCTTTTAACAATAACTATTTATCAATTTAATCATTTGTAATTCTAATTGTAAAAAAACAGAAATTATCATTTTACTTTTGGTTAATTTCTTTGCAATTGCAATTGGTTGCCTTCTTCTCATATACACCAGGAATTATCCTCTTAAGTAATAATCGATCACAATTCACAGTAATTAACTTTCTTTTTTTTTTAATTTTTCTTCTCTTTCTTTTCTAATTAATCGGATTCTTCTTGGTGATTCCTTTCCATGCCATTTTCTTTGTTAAAACTCTTGGTGCTTTATGATAACAATCCGATAGAATTCAATTCAATTCAACACAATTAATTCTGGAGAAAGAAAAAAAAAGAGAAATAATAATAAGAATAACTTTTTTTAGAAAATAACAATTAATCAATTGATCATCAGGCTCATCGTTTTAATTAAATAAAATCAAGTTAGAGAAGAGAGATGAAGAAAAGGAAAAGGAAACAAGAGAATAGAAAGTTAATCAATTTTTAGGTTAATTAATAATCTGTTCCAATAACAATAATTATTAACAAGCTTGATGATTAGAGTGAAGGTAAAGAAGAAGAAGAAAAAAATTAGATGAGATTAGATTGTTTATATTCAAATAAATTGATTTGACAATTTTAATCATATTGATTTAAACTAATTAAATACTGTTTTTGAGATTAAGTAATTAAGGCGCAATTATTAAGCTGATGTGTTAAAATGATAACATTAACAATAATAATTTGACCATTAATTGTGATTTTAAAACAAGGATGCGAATAGATTTACGATGGTTAACAAGGACGACATTTAGTTAATTGTAAAACAACAATTAATTTATTCAAGGGGAATAGGCGAGAGAGTGAAAGAGAGAGTTAAATTAAAGTTGAATGAATCTATGGAGAGAGAGAGAGAAAGTATAACAATGAATGGACATAGACTATGATGACAGAGTATTAATATCGGGCATAGTCTATGGGATAATCTATGTGAATTAATTGACATGCAAATAATTTTTAGGTGAAATTGACAACAAACACTTTCAAGATTAAAATTTTTACAGTTACTAAAACCTGATTCATTGAAATTTAACATTTTGGTGAAAGAAAGATGAGAGAGAAAGAAAGAGAGAGAGAGAGAGTTAAAGAGGGTCAAGGTAACGGTCCATGGTCATTTTTCATCTTCATCTTCCACCGGGATTGAGGAAATTAATTGTGATTCAAATAATTCACAATTTCATTTCATTTGAACTTTCGTTACGAATTTTTTTTCGTGAGAAGATGATGAGGATCGCATGTTAAGTTTTCACTTGATTTCTTCAATGAGTGTATCCCAAAGAGTAATAAAGAATAGAGACTTCTTTTCAATGATAAATTGTCAAGTTTTGAGGATAAAAGTCACGAAAGTTGCCACTTGCTCTCTGTAAATTAATCTTAAAGGTTTAAATTTCGATATAACAATTTACGAGGTTAAAATAATCCAAACCAAGGATGGATCATGATCAATTCTCTCCAATATCTGATCTTGAATAAAGCGATCACAGAATTATGAAAGTTAAATCTTTCTCTTATTTTTTGTTGAAATCGAGCGAATTTTTAAGAAAAAAACTTTTGTGCCCGTTGATTGTTTCGATTGATCATTGGATATCGATCAATTTAAAATTGATTGGTTTTGATCGATGTTGAAATGATCAGTAATCATCCATCTTTATAACAATTAGAGAAAAACTGAAAAAAAGAGAAAACCTCAGTGGCAACGTCGTTGAATTTTATCCCCAATTACACGAAGTAAATAATCAACATTGATCGCTCTTCCTTAGTACTCTTTGGTTTCGTTAATGAGAGATAGTAGCGATGATGACGATAGATAGATAGAGAGAGAGAGAGAGAGAGAAATGATGAACAGTGATCAATAATAAAGTAAATGACGCCGTGGTTTTATCTGTCAAAGAGTTAATATTAATCCAGGAGAGATATTGAAAGTCCATTGACAATCAAACAAAAATAACCAAATCCAATGAAGATTTTTTTTTCAGAGATGGTGAAAAGAAAAGAAGAAAAATTCAATTAGAATAAAATTTACAAATATTTATCAATCATCTAAATAGTAAATTGCTTACTTTGTTGGTATACTTTTCCATAAAAAAGGGAGCTGGGCATTTTGAATACTGTTCAAGGAAAAGGATGATAGAAAAGTGGGAAAGAGAGAGAGACAGAAAGAGAGAGAGAGAGAGAGAGAGAGAGAAACGGAAACAATTGAAATCCAAGTGATTTACGTTAGTTTGAAGAGTTGATTAATTGTAAGGGAAAAAAAGTAAATGGCTAATTGAGTATATGCAATTTAACTGTAAATGTTTATGAAACCGCTTATTGAGATACCGGTTTATGCATTGGATGCAAATTATTTAGGTGACAATTGAGTTTCGCAGTTCGAGGTTTGCCAAGAATTATAATCTCTGATAAATATGGTACAATGATACTCGAGTTTTAAATTCAACTAAATCAGTTTGCCAGAATATTTAATATTTATTATCATCGCTTGACAATCGTTATCATTATTTTGTGTCTTGATAGACAAAGAGAAATGCAGTCAGCAATAAATTCTGTTTGTCGATTGGATTTATCGATTTTTCTTACTTTGGGTAATAGTTGAGATAAAAATTCTGGTTTAATTAGAATGAATAAATGCAAAAAGAGTGATGAAAACGAACTGCTAAAACTTAATTGTCAACCTAATTAGATTAGGAGTCAATGTTAAAAGTCTGAATGAGATGAAGCTATTGTTGAGTGTAGTTCAACTGTCTTAAAATGTTGTGTCAAGTGTAGTGACTATGATAATATCGGTGTTTAGTTTGGCGAGAGAGAGAGAGAAAAAAATTGAGAACAAATTAAAGTTCTGATTTCTAAATTAGCTAAAGTTCTAGTAGGGAGCGAACTTTCGATCAGCTTTGGTCTCAATACCGGGTGTAGTTGTCATCCCTTGAGTTCCAGCTTTTAATTTCATAGGTTTCATACGAGATGTTTGACTTGAGAAGTTGTTGAGGTCAAATAGGTTCGCAGCATTTGGGTTAACTGCCAAAGCCAAAGGTGATGGTTTCACCAGTTGAGTTAAGGGAATTGCAAGTGGATTGATGGTGAGGGTTGTCGCTGCGTTTGATGTTGGATTAGAGGATGGATCTAGGGTCAGGTTTTGATGCAGTTCCATGCTGTTGTTGTTAAACAGTTGACAGAATGGTGGGAACATTTTGGAAAAGAGATTTGATTTGCGGAAGATGTTTTTTTGTGTTTGATTTTATGTGAATTTTTTGATACCAGGATCGAGAAAAGGTTCAGATGAGAGTGTTTATGAGGAAGAGTGAAGAGAAGAGAGAGAGAGAACGATAGAGAAAGAGAGAGAATGAAAGAGAGACAGGAAGAGTGAAGAGAGAAAAAGAGAGAGAGAGAGAGAGAGAAAGAGAGAAGAGCGTGTGTGAATTAGATGAGAAGGGAAAAGGCAAAATGAATAATGTTGTTTAAAGGAGGACATAGAGATGAAGATGATGATGAAATTGATTTTCAGTCGGATTAAGCGATGTCCGGTTCTCCTATGCTGTTAAAGAGCAGTTATTATACTCACCTTGTATTAATAAGGTATTGGGCCAAATTGATTGATTCGGGTGTACCAGTAATGCTAACAGTTCTGTCCTTAGAGCCTTCTTCTGAATTAGATATTTTAATTGCAGCTCCAGATAGTTGTCGGATTTCATTAATTTTTGCTCCTCCTTTACCAATTATACAACCGATAAGGTCATTAGGTATTGCCATTTCGGTAGTTGCTGCACCAGTTGTGGCTAAAGTGGTAGCTGCAACCGGTCTAATTGAGCTGGTTGCTGTTAAAGTTGCTAAAGCCTGTGGGTTAACGGTATTAACATTGTGACCTGGTAAAAGGGGAGCATGTTGAAGGGCCAATTGATGAAGTTTGGTAAGATCTGGATGAGGTATTGCGTACTGGCCTTGTAAAGTGTATGCTTGACCACCGGCAAAAATGACAGGAGGCATTGCCGGCTTAGGACGGTAGGGTATAGTTGCTCCTTTAGCCGGTGATTCCATCAGCACACAACAGATCTGATAAATACATTTGGTTATTGAGTCTGAATTACCCGAAATGGTAACAGCCCTTTCGGTTGAATTAGGTAACATTTCACTGGCAACTTGAATAGTAGCTCCGGTTATTTCTCTGATTTCTTTAATCTTTGCACCACCTTTACCAATAAGAGAGCCACATTGACTAGCAGGGACTATTAAACGAAGGGTAACAGGATTGGTTCCACTTTGACCATCTTTCCAGGGTTCATGTAACTCTTCAAATTTTCTACCAATCAAAGAGAAAGCCTTTAGGATGCTCTCAGTAGATCCGGTTACAGTTACAATTCTTTCTGGACAGGAACCATCTGATATGTTGATTTTGGCACCACTTTCCTCACGAAATTTTTTTATATTATCACCTTTTTTACCAATTATACTGCCAACTTCCTTACCTTGCATTATTAAACGTATGGTAAGGGTTACAGAGGGGCCATCGAGTGGTTTATTTGGATCAACAACTGTAGTTGCCATTTTAATAACTTCTATGTCCGTGTAGGTAAATGTGAAAAAAAATAATCGATACCTAAAGAAGGGGAAAGGAAAAGAATGATAGAGAGAGAAAAAGAGAAAGAGAAAGAGAAAGATGAAAAGAAAGAACGTAAAATAATACAATAATTATTAGTAAAAGAGAAATTAATTCGATACAGAAAGAGGTTTAAAATCTTATGATGAAAATCTTACTTAATAAATTAAATTTGTTTAGTCCAAAAATTCACGGGTCCTTTTGGGATAATAGACTTATTTGTTTTCTCTTAGCTTCTAAAGTAATGTTCACAATAAATTAATTTGAAGGTAATTTAACTAATGATATCACTCTTTATGCTTTGTGTTTTTCAATAAACGAAAAACAGAAAACAAGTATTTTTTTTGAAAATACTCCGATCTGGAAGGACAAAGTGTTGCTGTCCAATAATGAGAGTATAATTTCAGTTTCCAATGATGAGTGAACACTCTGTTATCAATATCGGCTTTGAAGATGGTAAATTGGTCAGATTTTTATCGAGATCATTCAGAGTATATATTCCAGAATACTTGGTGGAGATAGAAAATAAACAAAAGAAAGGGAAAAAAAAGAAACAATTTAAATAAAATCTTAATTGAAATATATCAGCAACATTAATCTGGTTGTAAAAATATTCAATTCAGCTTCACAGGAGAGGATGAAGAGAACGAGCAAGAGAATGAGAGAGAGAGAGAGAGAGAGAGAGAGAGAGAGTTAGTAGGACAGAGAAACAAAAAAAAAGAAAGACAGAGTAAGAGAATAAAATGGTTAAAAAGAGAAAAAAGACACAATCATCCAGAGGAAAGAAAAAAAGACAGAGAAAAAGAAAGACAACTAGAGAGGTAAGAAGATTGAGTAAACCAGCAGATCAAAAAAATAGACATTCAATTGAAAAGAATAGAGAATGGAAATTATATTTACATATTTATCTCTCTGGATAATCTCATTGATCACTAATAAACTCCAAAGAAAAATTAGATGTGGACAGTGTAGACTAATCGAGAGATAGAGAGACAATATAATTAATCAAGGTGGATCAATTAAAAGGTAATAAAGACAAAAGAGAGAAGAATAGAAAGAAAGAAAGAGAAAGAGAGAAAGAAGAAGTTATAACAGATTTTGCTCTGGGAATAACAAAATGGGTAAAGAGAAAAGAGAGAAAAGAGAGAGAAGAGAAAGAGAAGAGAAAGAGATGGAAAAATACAAACAAAAGATATAGAGAATGAGATGAGATGAGATGAGTAACATGAAGTAGAAAGAATAATAGAAAAGCAATGAAAGTTAATGTTTTACCTGCCGGTTACCTGTTAACCTGAAGATGATGGTAAAGATTAAATTGTCGGTGTTGCGATGGATTAAGCAGAAAACCGAAATTCATTAAAAAAACACCAGAGAAACAAAAAGGATATAAAGGTTGAGAAGGATAAGGATGATGGGGATGAGGATGAGGAGGAGAAGAAGAAGGAAAAGAAAAGAAATATGATCAAGATGATGATGATTAACGGAATGAAAACAATTGAAGAAAAAAAGAACAATTTGTCTAAACAATCAAAAAGGTGGAATCAGATCCTTGATTACTGATTGTTAATTAAATTCAACAAGCGGTCTAATTAAATTAATTGAATAAAAGAAAAGACTAACAAAAGTGACGTAACTTACCCTTTAAGGCGGAGCTTAAGTTTCTCTTTCATGGCTCAGAGAAAAGACGAAAAGGTGGAGTCAAATTCGAATTAAGCGCCAAGTTCAAATTTAAAAGAATTTAATTTAAATCGTTGATACGAATCGAGTGATCATTTAATCAATTTTTAGAAAATCAATCAATCGAAAAATTTTTTTCTATTCTATTAAAATTCGAAGATAAAATTTTCAGCGATTTGTTTTATTCTAATTAGAAGATAGTTGGAAAATCTTAGTTGCTGATGGAAGGAAATTATTATTCCAAAGATGAATAATTATTGTCAACGATTCATTTTATTTTCTTTGAACTAATTATTAACAGTTGATTATTTACAGAATTAGAACAGAAAAAGTAAGATAAAAACAATGTTCAACCTCTCATCCAACTAAAGAACCAAAATGGATTAGCCCTGAGGCCAGAAAATTGCAGCGCTAACCCAGATCAGCTTAATTAACATCAGTAAGGGATTAGTTATTTACACTAATTAACATTTTACCCAATCCTATTGGGACACCAAGATTTACCAATAGTAATGGTTAATTACCAATAAGTTTCTCTTGATCTTTTCCTTAGTTTGTTCAACTAGAATCGAATCGGTTTTTCTTGGTCAGTTGGTCACTTGGCACGAGGTTTTTGTCCATAGTTGACCATTCATTCAATTGATGAGCAACAAATATACAAATTCTTACAATAATCATGATGAAATTAACTAATTTTTTTCTTTTTCTATTTCTTCTTAATTGTGATAATATTGATTCCGCTTTGATTACCAACAAAACTGTTCCAACAATTTTCGATATAATTTTACCTTATCTAAGATTGAATAGACTTCAAGGTAATTTAGTTTTCGCTCTCTCTCTCTCTCTCTCTCTCTCTCTCAACAATTTACTAATTGTTCTTGTGTTGTGTTTCTTGTCTCTGATTAGTTTTCCAAGGGTCTAAATGTTTCAACAATTTAGGCTGTTTCAATGCCCGTGAAGTTTGGCATCCAGTTAATAGGCCACTTTCATTTACACCGGAAGATCCTGAGGCGATTGGGACAAAGTTTTACCTTTTCACCGATGCGAATCAAATTGAACCACAATTAGTTAATAGTGATAATGTTACTGGAAGTAAATTCAATCCAAAATTTAAAGTAATTATGGTAACTCATGGATATTATTATGACAATTTCTTTGGACAATATCAAAAGGTAATCTAATTGATCAGTTTAAATGAGTTTGATTTTTTTTTGTGAGTTTTTCGTCAAACTTAAATCAACATTTTCTTAATTGTTTCAAATTTCTTCCGATTACATTTAGGTGGCGTTTGCTAAATTAAGGAAAGCCATCTATTCAAATGGTAAAGTTAATTATATTTTTGTCGATTGGGGTCGAGGTGCGACCACTTGGTATGTACAGGCCACTGCTAATACTCGAGTTGTGGGCGCTCAAATTGCTGAATTCATTCAGAGTTTGATGAAAATTTACAAATTGTCACCTTTGAATTTTCACTTGATTGGTCATTCGCTTGGTGCTCATGTGGTTGGTTATGCTGGTTCTGTGATAAAAAATCTCGATCGAATCACCGGACTTGATCCAGCTAAGCCCTATTTCGAGGATATGCCCGCTCGATTTAGACTGGACCGTAGCGATGCCAATTTCGTCGAGGTGATTCACACAAATTCACCTCGAAAATTTCATCCCTTTGGTTTTGGTACTGCAAAGATCGTTGGTCATTTAGACTATTATCCAAATGGTGGAAATGCTCAACCAGGTTGTCACCAGGATAATGTTGATGCCTTGAATACTGGACTTGAAAATGGGATCCAAAGAGCTGGAATTTGTAATCACGAAAGGTCAATACTTTTCTGGGCAGAATCACTTGAGGCACAAAGATGTCGAATGATATCTTTCGGCTGTGAATCGTACGAAAAGTTCAGATCGGGTGATTGTTACCTTTGCGGGGAGAATGGGGAAAATTGCGCTATCGTTGGATCGGAAAATCAGAGGATGTTGAAGAAAAGCCAAAAGTTTTTCCTACTTACAACGGCGAATGCGCCATTTTGTGTTTACCATTTCAGAGTATCACTGAATTTAGGCCAATTCCCTGAATTGGTTGACAGTTCAAAGGGGCAGCTTACAGTCAACTTCACCGACGACACAAGTTCAACTGCCGTTGGTCGATCTGAACTTGTCCCTCTAAACCCAAATTCGATAATCAGTTTTCTAGCCATAGGCGATGAAATTTCGACTATCAGAAAACTCGCAATAATTTGGACACAAAATGAGCAACAATTAACCAAAACTAACTTATTGATAAAATCAATGGAAATAATTCCAATGAATCTTTGGAATGATCAACTTAAAGTTTCTCGAACAACATCAATCGGTTCATTTAAATTAGAACCTTTTAGAGAAAAAATTTTCACCTTTTAGACTAAACAATTAAAAGCATTTTAATCAGTTTGCAAGTTTAAAATCATAACATTAATCAATCAATTTGTACTTTTTGTCTTAAAAGTTTAATTTTAGTGACAATAATAGTTTACACACACAAACAGCAGATAGAGAAAGAGAAAGTCAGAGAGAGAGAGAGAAAAATGAAAAGAGATTGACAATTAGCTTAATTGTGGTCATTTTCAGACAGTCGACGCTGATCGATCTCTTCTTGGTGTTGCTCGACTTCGGAAAATATTAGACAATTCATCGACCAGAGTCTCATATCGATAGCAAACTCGAACATCGGGCAAATTGGTTCGCGTTATATCATTACAAGCGACACCTTCTTTTGAGTAGTCGGGGCCAATCCAATGGGACTTAACCTGCGTTGAGGGATGCTCCTAGTGATTAATTAATTCCAATAATAATAATAATAAAAGGAGATATATATTGTTTATGAAAAATTGAAATGATCGATCGTGACGGAGACACAAAGATCGAACAATTTTTGTCAAGTAAAGTTGATTAAAACTTTTCTAAAAGGTATCAACAAGTAAAGGAATAGGGAATACAACATTTTACCGTCGAATAGAAAATAAAATCTTACCCTCAGGGGAAATCCACTCATTAGAACACTATTTCGGGCTAATTCACACATATCACAACTACTTAATTGCCAAATATGAGTTGCATTACTGTATTCCTCCATTAAGGGTTCCTGTGTTGATTGAATAATAGTTTTTTTTGTTAATTTATGGTTTAAAGATGAATAAAGAATTGATTGATTAGGATTTTTACCTTTGTAAAGTGAAATTGAAGTGGATCATCAGTTGATAGTGATACCATAAGACCACGGAAAAGGTAATCGGGGAAAGGATTACGATGATATTTAAGGAAAAGGGAATTATTTGATAATGGTGACATTGCGATTCCTATTTGGGCCAAATAGTAAAGGTATTGAAGAACTGGAGCTTTACGGAGTAAAAGTCCATGAGATATGTTTTCACTCAACAAATAACCGCCGACGAGATGTTGAATGTGACCTGCTTCTCCACAGTGTGGCCTTAATACGAAAGTATTCAGGTTTCTCTCTCTATCGGAAAGGTAACAATTGGGAAGAAAATTAATACTCATTTGTATTAGATACTTTTTCTTACGACTTACTTTCGAAGGGCATTTAGGACACAAATGTTGGCGTACATGTAGTATAAGTAATAATTGTACGGAGGATTATCAAGGGAATCCCATTCGTTAGGAAGCGGCATTCCCTTGTGGACTATTGCGTTTTCGGGTTTACTTTCATCGTCAACCGAATCAAATCCAGTTACATAGGTAAGAAATTTGAACAGTTCGGGATGAGCTTCGGGATTGTTTGTAGCCTCGAATAAGGGAAGGAAAATATTCCTTAAAATTTGCTCGAAATTTGGAACCAAGTTATTAGATTTATAGATATCACTAGAGAGAGAAAATAGATTATAACAATTAACGAATAGAATTTAAAATTTTCCTCTTGATATACTTACTAAAGTCGAGGAACTTGAATTAACCATCTAATGTTATCCGAGTAAACATTATGTGTGATCGCCCATTTGGCCAAAGTGTCCCACTCTTCAATCTTACGACCATAAATTGATAATCGTAGTTCAGCATTTTGATATTTACTATCCTCTAAATCATTGGCAACTTCCTAATGAAACAATTTAAAAACAATCAACAACACACAATTTAATCAAATGAATGCATCAGGTAAACGTGAAAATGGATTAGCTTGAAAAGGTTCAACGTTAATCCAAACCCAAAAGAAAACTAGTTCAATTGTTAATTAGCATAGGACTAAGGATTAGAATGTCTAATACACTAATTAACATTTTAACAATCCTATTGGGACGTTAATTGTTGATAATTTACCTTTAAAATTTGTGCAAAATATTTACCACCAATGTAATTGTCAGTCTTTAAAAATATTTCTCTCAATCTACTTTCACCGATTGGATTATACTTAGCATTGAACTTATCAAATCGATGAAAAGTATTTCGATCCTGTAAAGAAAATCAATGTAAACAATTAGTTAATTGTTGATAAGTTGGTGATTAGATTTGTTTTGTGATTAGATGAGCCAAACCAGCAAGAAAATGTCAATTTAAACTTTGATTTGTTTGTCTTTCTAACTTGACGTTTATCCTTCAATGATAATTTGAGAATTAAGATAATTGCTAAGAATAGAAACTAATTATGATTAATATAAATTCTGATGAATGATTAACATGATAGATGATGATGACGATGATGATGATGAGTCTAAAAAAAGCTTAAATTGATTAAATCACAATTCAGTTGCCATAGAAAATTAAAAAGCTCAACTTTTTAACCCAAAAAATTAAAAACAGTTATCATATTTTTCCTAATGATGAGATGACAGTTAGTTAATTAGTTGGGACATGATTACAATCTCAACAATGTTTACATTAACAATTAAACCTCCTAGAACTAGTTGATCATCAACTGAATTAAGGTTTTTTCTTACACACATAAATGATCAAATTGTCAATTCAATTCAATTGTATCATCATAATTGTAATATCATTACAATTATGATACATGTTGATACTTAATCATCATCATTTATTTATAAACAAAAACAACATGATTAACAAATATGCTGCATAATTATATCATCATCATAATGATGATATGTATATATAAAATTATCATCAACTAATGACAACAATTAATAATAGAGAGATAAACATAATCAATGATTCTCATTGATTTGTAAATATAACATTTAAACACTTGGAGTCCTTGTCATTTGCAAACTTGTTGAAATAAGTTGATTACGATTGTGATGATGATCAGAATTGACAATAACCATAAGACAGATTAGCTGATTATCTTCATCGTCAAGATGATGATGAAGAAAAAAATGAGAACGAATATCATCTTGATATAATTGATGCTCAAAGAGAGAGAAAAAAATTAGATAAATATAATCGCTCAGTAATCAAAATGCTCGAAAACTTGGATCATCTCCATCATTGCAACTCCATAGACACAGAGAATTTGTTTTTTCTTAAACATTGGTGATTAATAGATTATATGAGAGATAATTAGTTGGAATAAGATTGAGAAAATTATCTTCACTAATTAACTTGGATTATAAGAATTACCTTGATTGTTTTAATCTATTGATACTTTGATTAATCTGAGGGTACAAGAAGAAGGTAAAATAATCTCAATAGAGAAAAAGTTAATCATTTGTTTCAATTGTTGTTTGGAAAACAAAACAGTGACAATTTGTCAAGAGCTGCTGACTGATTATAATTGATTATCATCATCATCATCATTACATTGAATCAATTGTATCATCATGATTAAGTTGATTGTAAATATGAATATCAAATGAAAGGGTTAAGCTTATGATTAACGATGAAAATTATTATTTTAGGAAAAATAAAAGTTTATCGATTGGGTAATTTTCTCGATTACCTTCGAGGTTTAATTGGTTATGATTAGAGGATTTTGTTAATTGTGATTAAAGGTAAATAAAGAAGTTAATTGTGATCAACTTACCGCGTGAACATCCAGCATATCAACTGAAAGATCATAAGATGTCAGGTTGAGAGATTCAAAGACTTTCTCAAGTGTCATTGGTTTTCCTTGTGAATCCAAGCAAACAAGATCATGTGGTGATGTTTTCATGGTTTTCTTGATGAACCTGAGTAAATGTTTCTGATTCATACATGAGGCCGCGTGAACATGAGTGTCAACCTTACGAATGTTATAAAAATCCCGATGAGGAACAGCCTTTTGAGCGGATAGTTCACGTTTATCATTGAGAATAACGTGTAACTGGAATTTAGATGAAAGGTAAGATAATCGATGGAAACAATATGATTTCAATGGTCCATCGGTGATCATATCACAAATTATTCTCATATCATCAATGAATTGATGGAGAGACGGAAACGGATACCGAATGGGTTGACCTTTGTCCATCTCATCGCGACTTCGATAAACCTGACAAATACCTTTATCCATTTTAAGAAAATAATTAGCTGGAGGAGCAATCGGTATATTCCATGGTTCCTTAATTGTTTGAGGTTCAACATCGTAATGAACTAATTAATATGATACAGAGGGAAAGAGACACACCACCAAACCAATTGACAGATTAAATTACCGATAGAGAAAAGGAAACAAACAATTAGTATCCATTATAAAGAGGATCATTATCATCATTGTCAGAATATAATCAATTTGAAACAACCAACACGATAACTACCAAGTCTGTAACCTGTTGATGTAATTAAATTAGGGAATTATGTTAATCATCATGTACATCGATGTAAACATGATTAGCAACAGGGAAAACAAGGAAATGAAAGATTGGGAGAGAGACAGAGATATAATCTAATGAGAATAGTGTAGAAACCGGATTAACGTGATGGAAATTGTTTCATTGATTAATTGGTGATAATTAGATTAGGTTACAATTTACCCCATTCTTCAATTTCATTTGTTTCTGGTCCATCGGGGTTGATGAAGCGCCGAGTTAAACTGGGAAATGATTGATGAGCCAATTTCATGTATTTCTGTCGTAATCTCAAAGCTCTTTCAAAAATTTTCTCCAATCCTTCAACATTACCCTGTAGATTTTCAAGAGGTTTAATATGAGTAATGGATTTACGATAATTCATTGGAAAAACCAAGTTAATTGCTACAGAAAAACCAATTAAAACGAACACAAATTCAGCTATTCAACTGATCAATTTTGGTGACACTTTCATTTGAAACGACGTAACAAAATAGTTAAGTTTAATAATCCAAATGATATGAAAATAATGACAATTGACAACAAATAATACAAATAATAATTAACCCAATAGTCTAAATTGTGGTTAACAACAATTAACATTATTTGTAACAGTCAAGGGAAAACTGGTTGAATATTAATTGTAAGGATGATTTAGAAATTGGAGTTGAAAACAAAATTGACATACAAATGAAAATCAATCTAATTGTTTTTGTTTCGTCACAATTATGATTAGTTTTTTTTTCTCCTGTGGATTGTGAACAATTAATTGATTTAAATTAACAAGAAAATTAACTTACTGTTGTTGGATGGTAAGTATCATCTTCCCCTGTAACTGTTACTCTTTGGAAATCAATTCCAGGATTAATAGCCAAAGGTTGGTCAGTAGTTGATGGATCGTCTAAAAGTCCATCGATTTGACAATTAACATCTAATTCTCTATTCTCTTTTAAATCAACCATACTAGAATCCATTGCTGAGAATGATGTTAATTAAAATCAATTAATCGAGAACAGAAATATAAGTAATCACAGATGAAGAAAATATAACAACCTCTTTTATGGAGAGAGGAAAAAAATTGAGAGCAAATGTTTGATTGTGGAGGAAAAGTTAATTGTCTTGGAAATAAAGATGAAATGAGAGAAATGATCACTAAATTACTATATAAGAGAGAAGAAATTAAATCAAGATACTAATCATGATTGATAAGAATATGAATTAGTAACAAACACTAATCTTGGCTGCGAATTGATTGTTTCCAATAAACAATGTTACCTTTTGAGTAGTTACATTTATGGTTGAATCTTTTTTAGTGGAAATGTTGTTTCTTCACTGGGAACATAGTTAATTGTTGATAATTGTTATTGAATAAAGATGATGGTGATGTTATATGTTAGATAATGAAGACTTAATCTTCGTAATTAAACATTGAATATAAACAATTTGTTTTCTTTCAACCCAAAAACAGTAACCAACCCACTTGAAACTCTTGAGTTTGCTCCATGATTGTGATGTTTACATAGAGAAAAATAAAAATCTCTGTCAATTTATAATCTTCCATAAGTATCTCCATCTATTGGATTGAATAATTTGAAAGGGTTAATCTATTTTCGCAATTACAATAAAAGTCAATGAGAATATTGATCATATTATCGTTTACAAATGAGAATTTTTTTGTTCATCTTGTAACAATTTAGTGGGCAGTTGATTGTGATGATGATGGTCAATATGGTTCTCTCTGGATTTATTTGATCAGGTTTTCATTGAGAAATTGTTCAGATTGTTGGCTATTTGGAATCAGTTAGTGGTGAATGGTAATCATTATGATAAATTAGATTGTCTTTAGTTGTGAAACAGTTAATCAGCAAAGGAAATCATGATGAACTTCAAGTAATCCACAATTATGTGTCCATTGTTACCCATGATGAAAATCTTCTTGACGTTTTTTAAATGTTACAAACTCTCAGGGTTGATTATCCATCATCAATGATTCCAGAGCTTGATATGAAAAATGGAGTTGGAACTGTTTTCAAAATTGTTGATTCACCAGAAGAAGAAATTGAAATACAATCATTTAAAAGTTATTGCAACTCTAATTACCGATGGTGAAAAGTCATTATCACGATCTAATCGTAATAAGATTAAAAAAGTTATTCATCTCTGATTTATGGCGATTATGAGTCAACAATCAAGAGAATCGAGGTTTTGTCCTTAAAATTTTCGTCTGGCAACATTGGCTAATCAATTTGGTCGATGATCTTGCTGATCATGTTGTTAGAGATCAAATTCCATCGATTAATTTAGTATTTACAACTATCTCTCCAGTGACTTCATTTTAAGAGACGAGGGAATGACTTTGGTGTTGGTCCTTTCTCAATAAAATCAATCGTCTCATTTTTTCCCGATTCAGATAATCACGAAGGAAAAATTCACCACCAATGACCATTGAGCAATTTAGAAAAACGATCTGACGAACTGATCTTCCCTAGAAGTAAATTGTATCCAATCTGATAGAGAAAATAAAAAGAAAATAAAGAAAATAAAATTAATCAACTTGCCACTGGATTGGAACAAAAAAATTTACCTCTTGAACTTTTCCCCAGAGATTATTCACCAATGATCACCAACTATCACCAGGAGCTATGAGAAATATCGGATTTTGAATGAACATCATTGGTTATCGTCATTTTAACATTTTCTTCAACAATTAGTAAATCATGACAATTTAATTGAAGAAATAAACAAACGAAGCCACGCCCATTCTGAGGGACCGTTGAAAAAATTATTCTCGATTTTCGTCAATTTTCTCAATTAATAAATTTAATTATCGTTAATAATTAATGACAAATATTTAATTGTTTCGAAATTTACATGGAGAAATGAATGAATTTCTCAGTCAATTGAACTTTCCAGCCAAAAATTACCGTCAATTGAAATCCAGTTCCTAGAAAAAAGTTTTCAAATGATTAACTATTTTCCTGAAACAAATTGTTAAATTGTCAATATTGATTAAGAATCAAATCTCACAATCAAAATAAAGTTTCTTCTTTAAATCTAATCAATAATCCTGGATCATTTATTGAAAAAAACTAAATTCTAATCAACTAATTCAACTGCTATTCATTCATCGTAACAATTAAATTTAATTGTTCCCTTTCAACCAAAATAATATTAATTGTATTCACTTCAATGTTTATATTAAACATCAAAAGAATAGTTAATTATATTTGTTCAAATGTTCCTAATAAACAAACAAAATGATACAAATTGGATAAAGTTAATTGATCGAAATTCTCACCAGTTAAATATTTGAGTAATTTAGTCGAAAATTAAAAATTTAACTGATCAATTTCCGTAAATTAATTAAAACTGAATGAAAATCGAGATAAAATATAATGAAATGAAATTTACCGAAGTTTAATCAACCCTAATTAGAATTAAAATCCAATACAATTTTCGAGTATTAATCAAGGTAATCATTTTAATCCAATTGATAGAATTAATTTCCTCATTCTTAATTCAGTTCATCATCAATTTAAATTTCTTTTTCTCTCTTTTTGTCTGTCTGTTATTCCAACGATGGAGATGATCCAAGTTTTCGAGCATTTTGATTACTGAGCGATTATATTTATCTAATTTTTGTTCTTTCTCAACATGAAACTCAATTAAGATGAAATTTGTTCTAATTCTTGTTCTCATGATAATCAACTAACTGTCTACATTGTTAATCAACAGAAATTTCCTCATACCAACTCAATTGAATTAATTATGCCTCAATTCATTTAGACCTTTTCTCTAAATCATTATAATCGTCGCCAGAATCATGATTAGTTAACTATTCTTAGTATCATCTCGATATGTACCAATTATTATTGAACAAAAGAGAGAGAGAGTTTATCAAAAATGTTCATTGATAAAAGCGATTTGATTGTGACAATTATTTAATTGTTTGTGAAAATTTATCTTCTTTCAGGATTAAAACATTTCCAAACAGTTTTGTCTTGATCAATTCAACAAATTCATCAAATTTAGACTGGAAAATTATTCTTAATCATGTAAGACAGACAATTGTTACATGTTTACTTTGGACAATCCAATTAAGTTAATTGTTGTTTATTTCTATGAAAAAATAATCGTCAAAATCACTTTTGAGTTACACAAATTTCTTAATTATGTAACTGCAATCGATTCAATTGATGGAAATGCAAAGTAAACTCGAACATGTGAAATTGTCCTGAAAGAAATGCCACTTCCTAAATCAATGGGATTCCCTTGATAATCCGGATTATAATTAATATTACTGTCAGTGTATCTTCAATCAACTGATTCGTAACTAATCAAACATATAGATTAGATGATCAATCGCATTTGAAAATACGAATTACGTTGCAAATGACAATTTGATTATTAGTTTATAACTAATGTGTAATTCAAGAGTCTCGGAACTGATAGTTGATAATAGTTTTACCTTTTCGAATGATATTCATGACCAATTAGAATTGGCTCTATCTCTCACTTGTCTCTCTTTCGCACTCTTTTAAAAAGAGTTTTTTTCTTTCATATTTTTACCAATACTGATTGAATTAAGTGTTGAATTTATCAAATGGTTGGAAATGTTCCGATCCTGAAAGAAAAGATATTAGCATGAAAACCGTTAATTGGGTGGTAAATCATTTAGCATGTTTTTTTTCGTTCTCAATACAAAAGCGCATTTGTAAATATTCATTTAGTTTTATGCTACTGTTACATTAGTTAAATTTGTCTTTCTGATTTCTGGATTCTCGCACACACTCTTACCCGCACTCGCAATCTCATCATTATTCACATAAATCACTCGGAATTTTCAGCTTGAATCTCGAAAGAGTCGAATAGATAGATAGAGAGAAAAAAAGGTTATCATTATAAGGAGTGAATAATATGGTGTTTCTGTGTGTGTGTATGTGTGTGTTTTTGGGCTTAATAGGGAGCGAATTTTCGATCAGCTTTGGTCTCAATACCGGGTGTAGTTGTCATCCCTTGAGTTCCAGCTTTTAATTTCATAGGTTTCATACGAGATGTTTGACTTGAGAAGTTGTTGAGGTCATAAAGGTTTGCAGCATTTGGGGTAACAGCCAAAGCCAGTGGAGACGGTCCCACCAGTTGCGTTAGGGGATATGCCATTGGATTGGTGGTGAGGGTTGAAGCTGCGGTTGATTGTGGGTTCATCGTAGGATTAGAGGATGGATCTAGGGTCAGGTTTTGATGCAGTTCCATGCTGTTGTTGAAAAACAGTTGACAGAATGGTGGGAACATATTGGAAAAGAGATTTTGATTTACGGAGAATGTATTTTGATTTAATAAATTGATTTGAGGTTTTGATACCAGGATCGAGAAAAGGAAAGGGATCAGAGTGAGTGTATGAAAAGAGAGAAAGAGAAAGAAAGAAGAGAGAGAGACAGATAGACAGATAGAGATAAAGGAGAGAAAAGACCTACTCGACCGAGTAAATCGATCGGGTTGATCAGTTAACTCACCTGGAATTAATGAGGTATTGGGCCAAATTGATTGATTCAGGTGTACCGGTTATGCTAACAGTTCTTTCTTTGGAACCTTCTTCTGTATTAGATATTTTAATTGAAGCTCCGGAAAGCTGTCTAATCTCATTGATTTTCGCCCCTCCTTTACCAATTATACAGCCAATTAGATGATTTGGTATCGCCATTTCGGTGGTTGCAGTTACAGGTCGAATTGAACTTGTTGCGGTTAGAGTAGCGAGCGCTTGTGGATTCACAGCACCGACATTATGACCTGATATAAGTGGATGCTGTTGAAGTGCATCATGTTGTAATTCAGTCAGATCTGGATGAGGCATTGTGTATTGACCTTGTAGAGTGTATGCTTGACCACCAGCAAAGAAAAGCTGTGCCATGGCTGGTTTAGGTCGATAAGGTATTGTTGCACCTTTAGCCGGTGATTCCATCAAAACACAGCAAATTTGATAGATACATTTGGTTATTGAGTCAGAACTTCCAGAGATGGTAACTGTCCTCTCTGTTGAATTGGGTAACATTTCACTAGCTACTTGAATACTAGCTCCAGTTATTTCTCTGATCTCTTTTATCTTTGAACCTCCTTTACCAATTAAAGATCCACATTGACAGGCTGGAACTATTAAACGAAGGGTAACAGAATTTGTTCCACTTTGACCATCTTTCCAGGGTTCATGCATCTCTTCAAATTTTCTACCAATCAAAGAGAAAGCCTTTAGGATGCTCTCAGTAGATCCGGTTACAGTTACAATTCTTTCTGGACAGGAACCATCTGATATGTTGATTTTGGCACCACTTTCCTCACGAAATTTTTTTATATTATCACCTTTTTTACCAATTATACTGCCAACTTCCTTACCTTGCATTATTAAACGTATGGTAAGGGTTACAGAGGGGCCATCGAGTGGTTTATTTGGATCAACAACTGTAGTTGCCATTTTAATAACTTCTATGTCCGTGTAGGTAAATGTGAAAAAAAATAATCGATAACTAAAGAAGGGGAAAGGAAAAGAATGATAGAGAGATATAGAGATAGAAAGCAAAATAAAAACATAATTTAGTAAAAGAGAAAGCAATTGGATAAAGGTAGAGTAAAAATCTTACTTAATAAATTAAATTTGTTTAGTCCAAAAATTCACGGGTCCTTTTAGGATAATAGACTTATTTGTTTTCTTTTAGCTTCTTTTGTAATGTTCACAATAAATTAATTTGAAGGTAATTTAACTAATGATATCACTCTTAAAGCTTTGTGTTTCTCAATAAATGGAAAACGGAAAACAAGAAGTATTTTTTTTTAAATACTCCGATCTGGAAGGACAAAGTGTTGCTGTCCAATAATGAGAGTATATTTCCAAGAATGAGTGAACACTTTGTTAACAATATGAGCTTTAAAGCGGGTACAGGTATACTGTTGGTACGAATTTCATAGAGATCATTCAGAGTATATATTCCAGAATACTTGGTGGAGATAGAAAATAAACAAAAGAAAGGGAAAAAAAGAAACAATTTAAATAAAATCTTAATTGAAATATATCAGCAACATTAATCTGGTTGTAAAAATATTCAATTCAGCTTCACAGGAGAGGATGAAGAGAACGAGCAAGAGAATGAGAGAGAGAGAGAGAGAGAGAGAGAGAGAGAGTTAGTAGGACAGAGAAACAAAAAAAAAGAAAGACAGAGTAAGAGAATAAAATGGTTAAAAAGAGAAAAAAGACACAATCATCCAGAGGAAAGAAAAAAAGACAGAGAAAAAGAAAGACAACTAGAGAGGTAAGAAGATTGAGTAAACCAGCAGATCAAAAAAATAGACATTCAATTGAAAAGAATAGAGAATGGAAATTATATTTACATATTTATCTCTCTGGATAATCTCATTGATCACTAATAAACTCCAAAGAAAAATTAGATGTGGACAGTGTAGACTAATCGAGAGATAGAGACAATATAATTAATCAAGGTGGATCAATTAAAAGGTAATAAAGACAAAGAGAGAAGAATAGAAAGAAAGAAGAGAGAGAGAAAGAAGAAGTTATAACAGATTTTGCTCTGGGAATAACAAAATGGGTAAAGAGAAAAGAGAGAAAAGAGAGAGAAGAGAAAGAGAAGAGAAAGAGATGGAAAAATACAAACAAAAGATATAGAGAATGAGATGAGATGAGTAACATGAAGTAGAAAGAATAATAGAAAAGCAATGAAAGTTAATGTTTTACCTGCCGGTTACCTGTTAACCTGAAGATGATGGTAAAGATTAAATTGTCGGTGTTGCGATGGATTAAGCAGAAAACCGAAATTCATTAAAAAAACACCAGAGAAACAAAAAGGATATAAAGGTTGAGAAGGATAAGGATGATGGGGATGAGGATGAGGAGGAGAAGAAGAAGGAAAAGAAAAGAAATATGATCAAGATGATGATGATTAACGGAATGAAAACAATTGAAGAAAAAAAGAACAATTTGTCTAAACAATCAAAAAGGTGGAATCAGATCCTTGATTACTGATTGTTAATTAAATTCAGTATTAGAGATGAATTAAATTCAATGAAAAGGACTAGCAAGTGACGTAAATCTTAATCTCTAAGGCGGAGCTTCAGTTTCTCTTTCATGGCTCCAGGAAAAGAAGAAAAGGCGGAGCTTCACTCGAGCGCCAAATTCAAACTTGTTTGGAATTTGTTTTAATCGTTAGTCCAAAGAGCGAGAGAGAGAGAGAGAGAGATATTGATAATCCAACTGTTTATTTCTGTGAAAAGAAGGAACCACAAGTTTGTCCGGAGGTTCGAGCAGTTTCGCTAGCCTATTTTCCGAACTAGAAGAGCCTCTTGATCCAATTTTCATCGGATTAAAACTCGGATGAACATGAGCCGAGACAATAAATTGATTGTTACTCATGAGTAGCAAAAAGAAAATGTCACTTTGTAAACAAGAAACAAAAAAAGAAAAATTGATGCAAATAATTAAATTGATTGAAAAAAAAAGAAATCAAAAATCGGTAAGACTCAAATTCCTGTGAAAAGAAATAATTTTCTGCTAATTAGAAATTCCAACAATTTCATCTCCATGGGAGAAAATTATTATTATGATTACTGAAAGATTATCGATTTTTTTGTTTCGAATTGATTAACAATAGATAGTTGATTCCTTATAGAATTAGGAGAAAAAGAAAAAAAAAGAAGACAATATTTAATTACCTCATTAATTAAGTTCTTTTTCATAAATATTAAAATCTTCATTGGAAGAGAAACATTTTTTTTTGATTAGTTCATTCACATGTTAATTGTTAAAATGTTGTGAATGTGTGTAGATATTACCAATAGAAAAGTGATTTAAATACAATTTGTTAAATTACTCTTTGGTACCTGTTTAACAGATCAGTTATTCACTTTGTTAATTAACAGCAATTTATTGCAATATAATATATTTATATCGAAATCTTTTCCAATGTTACCCCCTCGCCGATATGGAAAACGAGAAAAAAACATTCGGTTAAAAAACAATTAGTAGCTAAATTATGGATTCCTAAGTAGTCCAAGTTATCGTTTGTTAATTAGTCAATGCCAATATGAAAAAGGGACGAGAAGAAAAATTGATAATTTGGTGGTAAATTGGGTTAGATTTATCACCAAATTAAATAACTTTCAGAGAAATTTAGATTTCTGGTCAATATCTTGGATAATTAACACCTAAGGCTTGATGTTCAAGCTGAACGTGGATCATTGGTGTTGAATTGTATCGAGTTGAATCGTTGTAATAATTATGATTCACACTGGTGATTGACGTTGATCGAGACGGTATCGGTGGAGCTGGACCTCGAGGTTTTCCTGTTTGGGAGAATAAAAGAAAACAAATTAATATTGTTGAATAGAAAACAATTGATGAAATCAATTTGATTGATTAGATGATTTCATAACTGTTATGTGACTTACTTTCACTTGGATAATGTTTTCGAGTACTGAGAAAAGGCTCTGGAGCGGGTAAAGTGTGAAGATCTTTGAAAATGTGTCTAAAACGAGATTCCAAATTGGTTGGTAATGAATTAAATGAACGATTAAATGAATTATTTGAATCGTTTTGATAATTTTTCTTAGGTGGAATGGCAGGTTTCTTAAAACTATTTGAAAGAGCTAAGGATGGTGGTGGCGGTGGAATAAATTTTCCAGTGTTGTTGGAAAATCCGGATGGTGGTACTGATGGTGGTGGTGGTGGTGGAGGTAAAGGTGGACGTATTTTCCTAGGTAAAGTTGAAGCTGGTGGTGGTAACCTAAAAGGAGCGGATGAAATATTGGTGACACTGTTTCTACCCTGAGAAGTTGATCTTGGTTTGGTTGAAACATTTGAGTGTCCAGTTACAAGTGGAGGGACAGATCTTATTGAATTACTTGAAGGCGGCGGCGGTGGTGCAGAATGGTGATGATGATGAGGATGTTGTTGTTGTTGTTGTTGTTGTTGTTGATTATGAAGAAAAGATTGAGATGAAGATGGAGGTAAAGGTGGACGAATTTTTTTAGATACCGTTGAAGTTGCTGGTGGTAATCTGAAAGGCCCACTAGTTGGAGCACTATTTTTAGCTTGAATTGTTGGTTTACTGGGTCGTAAGGAAACCGCAGAAATACCTGAGGCTAAAGGTTGAACAGTTTTCCATGAATTTCCACCCAAAGAACCAGGAAGCGGAGGCGGTGGCGGCGGTGGCGGTGGCGGAGTGGGAATTGATTTCGACGAGCTGCCTGAATTGCGACCCATTTGTTAATCGTCACCACCAATTAAAGAATTATAAGCCTTTAAAATTTGAGAAGCACATTAATTAATAGAGTAAGACAGGTTCTGAATTAGTAACTTGTGACACAATTTACCTTAAACATTTAAACAAAAAGACCAAAATGTAAACAAAAACTAAAAGAAAAAATAGAAAAGTCAACCAGCGCTACCTGGTGGAATAGAAAAGAAAATTTTAGAAAACAACTGATTGAAATGAAATTGTTTCCATTTAATTGTTACTTGTTACGAGAACAATTAACCTTAAACTTTTCGCAAATTATAAATTTCACCTAAATCAATTGAATTTAAGGTTTAAGTTCAACTTTAATTTCCATTTACAATTGGAATTAATTAGTTTAAAGGTAAGATTATTTTCACCAAATTAGTTGTTAAAATAGACTTGATGTCCTTAGACTTTTCCTTGAGTTCAATGTTAAACTCTGTTTGTTTATATTCAATTCTTGATCATAATTGTTTAATTTACTGATTAATTAGTTGATTCATTAGTGAAATTGGTTACGTAATTACATTTTTCGTTTATTTATTTACATTAATTTTCTAGGGTTCAAGGTATTTCCAATATTGATTATGTTTTACTCCAATTTGAATTGATTTTTTCTTCTCTATAAAAATTTCAATTTCTAATTTTCGTTTTTTAATTGTTTTCTCTTATTATCAGTTTATTAATCAAAATAATTATGGATCAAAAAGAAGGTAAGTAAAATTTAAAATTCTATTTTAATTCATAAGTAATTTTGTATTTTCTTTGTTGAATGTTTGTCACAGATTCAGAATTATGGTCACTTGGTGTTACCATGTTTACCCCTGCAGGAGGTAAAGTATCACTTAAATAACTAATCAAACCTTCAGTTAATTAAACAATCATTTTAATTTTCACAGAACAAATTCTTCTTAATGAAAGAGCTAATTGTATTGCTGCTGAAATTTTCCTTAAGATGTGTGATATTCATTCAACAACTGAAGAACGAGCCAACACTGAGTATATGTCACCAAATGGTAAATAAGATTAATCTTTTTCAAACAATTTCCTGATTCTATTTATATATTTACAATTAATTTAATTATTCTCATAATTTAACTGATTCTAGGTGATGTACCTTTCATTAAATGTGGAAATGAACTTGTTGCTGGAATGGAAAATATCGTTGATTTCTTTAAATCGAAAAATATTTCTCTTTCAAGTCATTTGGATGAACAGAAACAAAGAGATTGTAGAGTTTATATGAACTATTTCCAATTAGAATTAACTAATTCAGAGGTAATTCTATTCTCCTGTCAAAATTAACCTTTTCTACCAAACAAAATAATATAAATCAAATGATTCCTTTTCTCAAATAGTTATATTTTACCTGGTGCCATGACAAAGTGACCCAAGAGGTAAGATATTGAATCGTATGTAATAACAATCAATTTGATTTCATTTCCAATTGACAAATTTACTAAATTGTTTCTCAATTCTTCTAGTATACTTATCCAAGATGTACCTCTGTTTATTCATGGCCTTTGAATTCAATTCTTTATATGATGAAAAAAAGGAATATAACTAAAAAATTGAAGCTACAAAAAATCACAGACATTGAGCAGGTAATTTGGATCAATTGAATTAATTAAAAGCGAATCTTAAATGATACAATTTATAATTGATTTCTTTTATTCTTGACTTGCAGGCAACTAAATCAGTGGAAAAGGTATTCACAAAATTATCTGAAATTTTAATTGGTCCATATTTCTTTGGGAATAAGTAAGTGATAGTTAGTTGATTATTATGTAGCTAATTTAATGATTAATGATATTTTGTAATTTGTTGATTTTTAGGCCAACTGAACTTGATGCTCTCATTTTTGGCCACATCTCTGCGATATTAACAACTGCTCTTCCTGACGATTCGTTGGCAATATTAGTTAGAGAAAATCAACCTTTAGTTAATTTGTGTAATTTAATTGGTGCAGAATATTTTCCAAGTGAGTTAACAATTTAAACGATACATTTAAATTGAATTTAATCCCTGATTTTTACCTTTTTTTTCAACTTCTCAGGTATTTTAACAACTGAAGACCAATAAACATAATCATGTAATTGACCTTTAAGATTTGTGATGATCCAAACTAATCAAACTTGTAGACAAAAACAATCATCTTTGTTTTACTTTTGCCATAGACAAAAAAAAGCATAAACATTCACAATTCTAATCAAATAAATGTGATCATTATTGTGAAAATATCACAACTTCAAGATGTGATTTAATTGTGATCCTTAAATCAAGAATTTGTCTTTCTAGTGATTCCATAGCAAAACCATGAATAATATGAGTTTAGTATCGATTTTAATTTCGAGTGTGAATCCAAATCAATTTTCAATTTCTCTTTTTTTTAATATTAATAAAAAATAAATAGATGATTCTTTACAGACTTAGAAAAGAAAACAATGTTTCACCTCATTAACTTGTCTTTAAATGTTGGAGATTTAAAAGTGTTTTTGATTAGCATTTTTTACACACATTTCGTTTGGTTGAATTTTTAGAATTGAAAATAGAAAAAAAAATTCAATTTCAATCAGCTGTTTCTCCTTTTGTTATTTGATTTCCATTTCCTTCAGATGATTTGAATCTATTTCATAACTTAAGAATCCTCTCTTTCTCTCTTTGTGTTAACTGTGATGATGATTTAATGATGATTGATGGATTGATTGGGAGATGAATTGATGAAATGTGAAATGAAAACTTGATAATTAATATCATGATCTTAGTGATTCAATGAAGTTACTTAAATCATATTCATTTTCGTATTGATTAGTATCCCAAAGTTCAGGTAAATTTTCCAATACCGATTTAACTCCCGACGTCTTTGAATCACCAGACGAATCCTTATTTTCTGGTCCACTTTTATTATCCAAACAGAAAAGGTCAAGCAACTGGTCAGTGCCCATTGTTTGAAGTTGAGAATTATCTGAACTAATCACAGTATTAGCAATGGTCATTTTAAATTTCTGTAAACCCATGATTTTCTCCTCTAGTGTTCCTTTAGTAATTAATCTGTAACAAACAACAAACCATTAGAATTACAATTTAAATACAGAAAAGATGATTTTGGAAGAAATTTTTTACCTGTAAACATTGACAACTTTTTTCTGTCCAATTCGATGAGCTCGATCCATGGCTTGAAGGTCTTTCATTGGATTCCAATCATGTTCAACAAAAATCACGGTATCGGCTCCAGTTAAATTAAGACCAAGACCACCGACCTGAGGGGAGAATTTTAATAATAATAATAATAATAATAATAAGTAAAAGAAATAATGTCGATTGTGTTGATTGCAATTTACCTGTGTTGTTAAAAGTAGCACATCAATTGATGGATCATTATTAAATTGGAAAACAACTGATTGTCGTGAACCCGGTGGGATACTACCGTCTAAACGTAAGTAACTAACTGAAGGCATGTTAGTTTTGAGTAAATCATTTTCAACGATATCGAGCATCCCTTTGAGTTGACAGAAAATTAGAGCTCGATGTTGATTAACAACGGGTTGAGTTCCTCCCATTAAACTAGATGAACTAGAAGTTGTCCCGATACCACAATCAAGGAGAAGTTGTTTAAGTGCACACAATTTAGCAGCGTGATTAACATCATTTAGAGATGAATTTTGCTCTTTTAATCGATAAATTATCGATTCATATTGTGGATGTTGAGGGGTAAGAACAAGTTTCGGATGATTACAAACTTTACGAAGATATTGAAGAGCTTGAAAGATGTGAGCTGAAGATCCTTGTGAGTCGGTTGATTTACCGCTTCCTCCGCTGACCACTGGATTAGAACCTTCAAGTTTGTGAACTGAATTCTCGAGACTTGCACGGGCACGACTTTTGGCAAAATCTTCGTATAACTGTGATTGCAGTGTACTCAATTCGCAGTAATAGTCTTGCATTATTTTCGGTGGCAAATCTTTGAGTACATCTTCTTTCATACGACGAAGGATAAAAGGTAAAGATTGACGGTGAAGTGATTCCATTGCTAACACACCGGATTCTTGTTCTTTTGATGATGATTTAGCATCTCGACTTTGGAGAATTGGTTTTGAGTAACGAATAGCAAATTGTCTTTCGGTACCAAGAAAACCGGGAATTAGAAAATCAAATAGTGACCATAGTTCGAGAACATTATTCTGTATCGGTGTTCCGGTCAAAATGAGTCTATGGTTGGCATTAAGTGATTTAATGGCTTTTGATAATTTAGTTTTACCATTCTTAATTATGTGACCTTCATCAAGAATACAATAATTCCAGTAAATAGATGAGAAAAAATCAATATCATTGCGAACGATATCATACGAGGCGATAACTAGATTGTAAGGTTTTCTAGTGTTTAAATTTTTCAATCGATTCCGCAATTTGTTTCGTTCAATTGGTGGTCCAGTGTAATGTAGAGGATGAAGATACGTTGAGTCGACAAACTTTTCAACCTCATAAACCCAATGACCAGTTAATGTTGGTGGACAAACGACCAGAGAGGGTAAGGGCTTTGAATCGGGTGCCTTGGTTTGTTTGTATTTCTCTGATCTCATGAAATGATCTGAGGCTAAAATACAAATCGACATAAGTGTTTTACCTAAACCCATCTCATCACAAAGTATCCCATGTAATTTATAACGATTAAGGAATGACAACCAGTTGACACCTTCTTGTTGGTATGATCGTAGTTCAGCATTAACGGGAACTGGAATTTTGAAATTTTCCATCTTTTTAGGATTCATTAATTGCTCTAGAAAACGTGACTCGTGATTCTTTTTCTCAAGTAATTCCAATTTAATGGGAACTTTGTCACTTTTACTATCATCTAAAGGCATCAATTGAACCAATTGGGCGAAACAATGAGTAGAAAGAAGACGAACTTGGTCATTTTGATCACTCATTCGTCCTAACATGGGAATTATGAGGAGAACGATAAATGGAACAATTGAAATACCAAGTTTATCGATAACACAGTAAATGGCTTCAACGGCTCCTTGACGACGAAGCTCAGAATCACTAGAACCAAGCATATCCAACACTGTACCGAGAACATGATCCATTGTCTCCGAGGTTATAACGGTACTAAAAACACCGATACAACGAGCGGAAAGGTGACGAACAGCATAGAAATAATTTTCCAAACAAGAGCATAATTTAGGTAAAAGTTGACGTAAATTAGGGTAAAGGTTAACATGTATGTAAGGAGCAACTATTTCAAGTACTTGTAAACATTGAATCAATTCCTGAGCCTTGTTAACATCAACCCTTTCATTTGCTTCGGTCACCAAAGTTTGAAGATTGATAATGTAGTCCCATAATTGTGGTAATCGATCAGGCAGTTGATCACCAAAATGCCGAACTATTTGTGTTAAAGCGAAAGATGCACCTCGTCGGATAAGCTCATTAATCTTATCATTATCTTCAAGTGGATTGGCTGGAGTTGCATCATCATCGGTGTTTTCGGTGCTTTTCTTAAATGAATTTGATGAATTTAATCTCTTAAGATTATATCTTTCAGCTTGTTTACACATATTACTCAAAGTTAGAATACCATTGGACAGGTCAGGGGTTCCGGGCGTCGATGGAGTTGAAGGTGAACATGAGCCACTGTTGTTAACGGTGGCACTTGAAAAGGTTGATGATAAATTAGTTAACACTGGATTTGATAGGTTGGGAGTATAATTAAGATCAGAACAGAGAAAGGTAACCAAATTTTTAATTATTTTGGCCACGGGTGAGGTTGAGTTTTCTGATAATTTATCCTGAGACATACAAAGGTCAAGTAAAAGGGTTAAATGATTTGCTGATGCTTTTTGTAATTGCTCATTGGGCTCTCTTTTAATTGAATCCATCAATGGACGAACAACTGGATTAAGTTTATCAGGTAAAATTTTCCATGAGATTATACAACTGGACAGAGCTGAGGTGACCATCATTGAAAGTGAATTCTGATAACGAGTTAACTCTTCGAGAGATGTTGCAATAGTTTTACGACGTTCTTCAAGTGATTCGAGGATTGATGGTTTCAATTTAACTTTAGATGAATCAATGGATGATTGATAAACTGTTGAAACCAATTCACTCAGTTGTTGGATAGTTAAAAGGCCTCCTGGCTTATAAATTTCTTCGTCAATGGTTAGTTTATTATATTTAAGTGTACTAATGAAATCACGGGCGTCATGTTGAAGCCTATTAAATGAGAGAGTAATTTCATCATAATAAACTGTTTCTTTAAGACATTCTAAACATTTATCGATCACAGGTTGAGGTAAATTGTTGTTTGTCGATTCGTTGGTTGAAGTTTCATGGGCACCAGACCATTCTTTGATTATCCAGGCGACGCAGGTTCGTTGAATTGCTGATTTAGAGTTGAGATGGAAAAGTAGTAAATTGGTGAAACACTCAGAGGGACTTGGTGATTTGGGTACAACAACACGGTACATGTATTCAGCTAAAAGTCCAATAAATTTGGCAGCCGAAAGACGAGCTCGAATTACAAATCGCTCTCGTTTAGGTAAAGGATCGTTAATTGATTCAGATCCTCCTAAATATTGTTTCTCTGTTTCAATATTTATACCATTGTCTGAGTATTTTACTTTTTGATTATTATCGTTGTAATTGTGATATAATCGTCGCTTGGGGACAAACCAAACTGGACTCACTTTGGAATCGATTGCATTTTTGGCTGGATGCATCATCAAGCAAATCCATCCAGCCAAATAGGGAGTTGTAGCTGATAGAATGTCATTGATTGAACACCTTTTGATAAATTTTGACCAACAATCATAAAGAAGATCAAGTATTTCAGGATTACTATCGGTTAAACATCGTTGATACAATAGACGAAGAGATTCTGAGATAATTTCAACATCAGCCCAGGTTAAATCAGATGATATTAGTACTAGAAGTGATTCGATGACTGATTTACGAACAGAAGGAAGATTGTGTACAAGAAAGGGCCAAAGTCGTGGAACCAATTCTCGAAGTCGCTTCTGATCATGATGATGATATTTAATTAAAAGAGAAGATAAAAGCTTAAGGATATCACTAGTTGAAGAAGTTAAATCATCTATTTCCAGAAGAGCATCCCAAAGAAAATCGATGATTATGGGAACTTTGTCAGGTAAGGTTTCTAATAATGAGTCACGAACTGGTACCAAAGCGGCCGCAGAAACAGCGGAAACATCATCTTCATTATCTTTAAGACAATTAAAAATAGAGTCAAACACTTTGGGTAACAGTTCAAAGGTTAAATCGGATCTAATGGCAAGTAAATATTTAAGTCCTAAAAGTCCACCATGACGGGTTTCCCATTCAGGTCGAACAAGAAGTTGTAAGAGGATTCCAACAGTTGAGAAAACATTTTCTTTGGACATGATGTAGAAAATTGATCCTAATGTTTGAGCGGCTGTTTCACGAACCGGAGCGACAACTTGATCGGAGACAAAGTCACCAAATTTATCCAATGCAAGAACACAAATTAATCGTAGAGTCAAATCTTCCAGCCAAAGTTGATTAAGAGCATCCATTTGACTTTTCGGTGCATTTAAAGGTCTTCCACCGCAAACACCATGGACTTTAATTATCTCTCTAAGCGCTGTTGCAGCACCATGACGAACCTCCCAACTTGCATTGAAAAGGTCACTCATCAGCTCATCACAGAAAGATTGTAAAGGCCATTCACTGAGATTATTTAAATCGATCACTTTAGATTCACTTTGGATTTGATCATCCATTTTATCAGATTCTATTTTTATTTTTTTACCGGTAAATTGGCTTATCCCGGAATTACTAGAACTATTATTGGTCATATTATCATCGAAGGAGCCACCATCTTCGAGGGTCTTTCTTTTATTCAGATTCAACAGCTTATATATTTCCATTTTCTTTGAATCCGGGTTACTTTTGTTTACATCATTACTTGTATTCATCTTGTTTCCATCAACACCGGATCCGGTATTTTCCATTTTCATGTTAAGCATATTAGATAAATCTTCATTGGAAACAAGATCATCTGATTTGATTCCTAAATTAAACTTTTGACTTAAATCAAGACCCAATTTTTGATTTAACAATTGTCTTTGAGCGGACAATTTTTCTCTTAAATTATCAGCAGATAAATTATCACAATTGATCATGTTTGTATCATATTCGGTTCCTTCTGAAGCAAGAAGATTACGACCATATTCAATTACCTTATTTATATCGAAAAGGTTTAATTTCATTCTACCCTCACCACCAAAACCATCAAGTACAACATTATCAACCGGCTCTTCGTCAGTACCATTGGGTAGCCACTTTGGTATTTGTTTAATTATTGCTTCAATAGCAAGACTGGCAGCAATTCGGGTATCCCAGCAAGAACTATGAAGATATCCTCGAACCTTGGAAAGTAAATTATTCAACTCATGTGGATGTAAACGTTGAACTTCACCTAATTGTTGAGCTGCAGCCTTACGAGTGACACTACTTGTTCCTTGGTCAAGAAGTAAAAACAATCGATCCAATCTTGATGTCATTTTCTATCAAAAACGGTCCACATAAAACCAACAGCGTAAAAGACACAGAAAACAAAGAAAGACTAGTAAAAATCCTTTGGTAACACCATCAACGCCACAATTGGATACCTTTAATATTTAGAGAAAAGGGTAGAGAGAGAGAGAAAAAAAAGAAAAAAATCTCAATAGAATCACTTTGAATAAAAAAGAATATGAAAGAAAGAAAAAGATTCACAAGAAGAAGAAGAAGAAGAAGATGGATTAAAGATAATTAGATACCATGAAAGGGCAGAGAATTTAATTGAATGATGATGAAGGGCCACAGTGTTTTCTATGAAATAGAAAAAAAAGGCAAAAGAGAATAGAAGATAAAATAAAATCTTCCAGACTCTTATTATATAAACAAAGATAGAGAACAAGGGAAAAGAAGTAACAATTAAACAACAACAAGTTGATAACACAGATTCTATTAAACTAACTAATCTCTTAAAATCACAGTTGATTAAATTGATTTAATTAACATCCTATCCAAATTTGTCTCTCCTCTTTGTGTGTAAATGTTGTTTTCTCAACATTTTCACCGATTACAATTTCTCTCAATTCTCTTACTCTCTCTCTCTCTCTCTCTTTCTCTTCCCTCTTTAAAAATCAGAGTAGAAAAGAACAAAAAAATCATCAACTCATTTATCTTGATTATCTTTCAATCAACAGGATAATCTCTTAATTACCTGACATATTTGACTGACACTCACCGGGTACACTGGTCAAGTAGATTAAATTGAAATCAACAATTAGAGCCACAATTAAATCACTTTTAATTTGAGAAAAAAAAAAAAAAATGAAAACATTGAAGAAAAGGCGGCGACATCTGGTGTCGTTGGAACAACAGTTGACCAGATGTTGAAGCTTCACTTTTGTAGTGAATGAAAAGATTTAATTTTAATCCAGTGTTTACAATTAATCTATTAAATTGTTTCAATTAATTATTGTTGTTATATTTTCTGAATGTTTTTAATTCCACGTTCACATAATCCATGAAACTATTGGAATAATAATTTCCAAGTAAGTTGATGAAATTCATTCCATAATTTTCGTTTTCTCTTCTCTTTGATGACTTGATTTGTATTTACATTTTCTTCATCTATTTGTGTAGTTGTGGTCTCTTTTTATTTTTATTTTTCTCTTCTCTTTAAACTGTTGATTGTGCTCTTTTTTTAATTCTAATGTTTTAATTGAACTTTACTGTTTAATTTGTGGCTCTTCTTTTACCTTGTACCATGTTTACTTATCTTTTGTTTTCTTTTTTGCTCCTCATTCTTTCTAGGGCTGTGATGGCTTCTTATAGCTCTTCAGCTAAAGTCTCTTTAAATTTGCGATGTCAACAAGTTGAAGAGATTGACACAGACGATGAAAAACATGAGGAATTTACCTGTTTAAGTCCATTGGGTTCATCTTGTTTCAATAATTCAACTTTCTCTTCAAATATTAATTCTAATCATTCTGGTGATGATGCTAATAGAAAATCAAATCTTTTACCTTCATCGGGTGTGGTTAGATGGTCAAATGGACGTTACATTAATCTAGTTATTCAGATGATAATTTGTTTAACATTAATTATTTTAGTTAGCAGTCATTCATTATCACCAGGACCAAGGAAATCCTCATGTGATCATGTACTTTGTTATCATGGTACCTGTCAGGATGGTCGATGTCAATGTGATCGAGGTTGGCAAGGGTCAGCTTGTCATATGTGCACTGGTCGGACAATTTTAAAAGAAACTTCTGGTGAAATTACTGATGGTAAAGATAATTATGCTATCGATCTACAATGTACCTGGTTAATTGATCCAGGTAAACCTAATTCAACGATTCGTCTTAAGTTTGATGAATTTGCAACCGAGTGTAGTTGGGATCATTTGTATATATTTGATGGTGATTCCATTTTTTCACCTCTCATTGGAGCATTTAGTGGTCTTCTAATCAAGGAAGGTTTTTATGTTCAAGAAATTCCCGAGATCATCGCCACTTCAGGTCGAGCCTACCTCTACTTTTATTCCGACACTGCTTACAATATGAGTGGATTTAAAATATCTTATAGTGACAATTCATGTCCAAACAATTGTTCAAACAATGGTGCTTGTATTGATGGTATATGTACATGTAATGGTGGTTTAGATGGAGCCGCTTGTGATAAACCAATTTGTCCCAATAAATGTTCTGGTCATGGTAGATGTGAATTATCTGAACGTCGTTGTATTTGTGAACTAGATTTTATTGGTGATGATTGTAGTCAAAGTTCATCTCAAGCCTATTGGAGTACAATTCATTCAATTGGTTCTGTTAAAGGAAGAGCACTTCATCAGGCCGTTGTTCTTAATGATTCCATGTGGATAATTGGTGGTGAATTTTTCGATAAATCAGCTGAATTAAGTGAATTTTTTGTTCGCTATGATCTCAATTTGAAAAAATGGGACCCAATTGATTTCATTGAAAAAGGACCAACACCAAGATTTGGCCATTCACTTGTCTCTTACAATGGAGCCATTTATATGTTTGGAGGAATAGTTAAAAATACTAAAGTGGTCAATGAACTCTGGAGATATGATGGTAAACATTGGACAGCACTTCGATCTGATGATAATCGTGGCTGTTTATCTGGACTTAACGGACTTTGTGCACCTTTAACGGTTATGGGACACACAGCAAATGTCATAGGTGATCGGATGATAATTATATTTGGTCATAATCCAATTTATGGTTATCTAAATACTGTCCAAGAGTATGATTTTAAACGTAACAATTGGACAGTGGTCAATACCAATGGGGCTCATGTTAAAGGAGGCTATGGTCACACTAGTGTTTATTATCCGGAGAACAATTTAATTTATGTCCATGGTGGTTACCATTCATCATTAACTGATTCCATTCTTGTTGATCTATTATACAGTTATCATCCTGATAAGAAAAGTTGGAGACTATTAAATCCTAGCCAATCACCTCGATATCTTCACAGTTCCGTTATCATTAATGGTTACATGTATATCTTTGGTGGAAATGGACACAATGCTACTCACGATAATACCGGAGATAAATGTTTCTCAGTACAATTTTTAGCCTATGATATTGAATGTGATGATTGGTTACAATTAAATCAACCCTCAGTCCAAGGATCAGGTCGTTTTGGTCACAGTGCAATTAATTATAAAGATCAGATGTATATATTTGCCGGTTTTAATAGTCTTATGTTAAACAATTTACTTCGATACTCACCCAGTGAATGTCCACCCAATCAACCTCATAGAAGTGGTTGTTCAAAACAAAAATATATCTCATCATTTCCATATCCATCTAAAAATGTAACCCGATGTGCTCCAAGGTCAACAACTCATTTCAATGACCTTTGCCAAAAACAGACCCATTGTCATACCTGCTTAGAAAACAGTTATGATTGTATTTGGTGTGGTGACTCTTGTCGCCATGAGAAGTGTAAAAAAGTATCACTTAATTCAAAAAGTATAACCGATGTTAGTAAATGTGATCCATTGAAACGTAAAGAATTGGAATGTGATAAATTTGACAATTGTAATTATTGTCACACAAAGGAACACTGTGTTTGGGTTCGAGATGTTAAATGTCGTTACAATCGTGATCACGAAATTTTAACCAATGCAGTTTCATCAAAGTCTAAAACTCCAATTGAAAAATATATCGAAAGTTTTTCCAGCACAACATCACCAACAAGCACCAGCGTTACCACCATAATTCCCGTGGTTAACATAACCACTAATGGTACCAACAACAATAACACCAATACTAGCATAGGAATTTGGAGCACAGAAAGAGATTGGATAAGTGCAATTATCAGTGACGCTTATCAGCCCATTTGCGAATATCCTTGTTTCACTCGAACCAGTTGTAGTAATTGTACTCGAGGTCCATGTATGTGGTGTTCATCATCCCAACGATGCATTGAATCAAATGCTTATGCCGCTGTTTTCCCTATGGGCCAATGTATGGAATGGACAATTCACCCTTGGCGTTGTTCCGGATTAAATTGTGAAGATATTCAAACTTGTGATGCCTGTCAAAATAATCCAAGGTGTGGTTGGTGTGAAGATGGTTCAAACACCGGGGTTGGAAAATGTATGGAAGGATCTTATATGTCACCTCGAATACCCGAATCTTGTCCCGCTAAACGTTGGCATTTTGTCTCATGCCCTGATTGTCAATGTAATGGTCACAGTCATTGTACACCCGAGACCAGTGTTTGTGAGAATTGTAAAGATTTAACTGAAGGGCTTAATTGTCAAAAATGTATGGAAGGTCATTATGGTAATCCAGTTAACGGCGGTACTTGTCGCCCGTGTTTCTGTTACAATCATTCATCAAAATGTAATTCTGAATCGGGTAAATGTTATTGTACCACCAAGGGAATCATTGGTCATCATTGTGATAAATGTGATGAATCAAGTCACTATTATGGTAATCCAACTGAACCCGGTGGATCTTGTTATTATAATTTATCGGTTGATTTTCAGTACACATTTAACATGTCGAAACCGGAAGATTCACATTTCACTCGAATTAATTTTATGAATGTTCCAGCAAAACCCGATGTTGATGTTGATTTTACTATTGCCTGTTCATCTTTTGCATTAGTAAATATCTCGGTAGGATCACCAACGGTAACATGGAAACACAGTAGACTCGAATGTGGCTCATTTAAGATTCGCTTTAGTCGAGAAGATACTGCATTTGGTAACGACAATTCCACTTTCTATGTAAACGTATTCGATTTTCAAACACCCATACTATTACAAATATCATTCTCACAACATCGAACACTTGATCTGTTACAATTTTTCGTTACCTTTTCAAGTTGCTTTTTAACACTTCTAATAATCGCCGCCGTTATGTGGAAAATAAAACAACGCTATGATATGTATCGTCGTCGTCAACAACTTTACCTTGAATTGGAACATCGAGCTAGTCGACCTTTTGCCAGTATACTAATTGAATTAAACAATGAAGATTCAGAGGAAATGTTGATACAACGAAACAGAGACAATGAGATGGATTCATCAGCCATCACCAACTCCACCACCACCACCACCACCAATTCCACCTCCGCCATATTACCTTCTCGCTGTGACCCAACACCTATTGCCCTAGAACCTTGTGCTACGAATAAAGCAGCAGTTTTATCATTAATACTTCGTTTACCCTCCGGTGGATCATCAACCGTCCCACCAGGTCAAACTGGATTAGCAATTGGATCCGCATTGGTTTCACTTGGAACTCTTGATCAAAAATGTACTAAATGTGTAACCTGAACAATTAACCAAGAAAAGAGATGAAAATTTCGTGAAACAAAATTGAGAAACAAATACAAAGAAGGATAAACAAAACTAATCATGTTCAAATGTTCAAACAAAAATTCTAATTCTAATTATAAATATAATAATCATAATACAATAATAATTACATAAATGGATAACTAAAAATTAAATTATCCCAAAAGTAACAATTGACCAACACCATTTAAATTAGGTAAAAACAACAAATGAGACAAATTAAAAACCAATCAACACAAAAGTCTCACTACTTAATAACCATAAATATAAATATTTAAATATTACCAAGCTTATTATGTTATTAGAATTTTAATTTTCAATTTAATGTAAAAAAAACTAATTAAAATGGAGACAATTTATCAATAATGATCGTAAATTTGATCCAAAGGATTATAATGAAAGATGATCAAAGGAAAACCAATTAAATCTCACTAATTGGCTGGGAAAAGATTTAATCACAAGATGGTTAATGATAATTACGAAAAAGGAAAGGATAATTTAATTAGAATCAAAGATCAATCAATGAATCTCCAATGGAACTAATTTTCATCTCTAATTGGCAGAAATCGGCTGAAGATAATGTGATGTAAGCTGTTTACTTTTCGTATCCCATTTCTGTTCACTCTTAACTCTCACATGGTTAACATCTCATTTAGTAATTTATGTCTATTGTTTATCGTTTAGTTAATTGTCTGAGATCAACTGAGTCACTTTCATCTCTTTCAACTTTTAAACAATCAGTTAATTTTATTCGCAAAATGAGTCAATCAACAGAATCTTCTATATGTACCCATAGCGGAAATTTTCACTGTGATGATGTTTTAGCTTGTTATTTGTTGAAACAATTACCGGAATTTAAAAATTCAACTATAATCCGATCTCGGGATGATAAAGTTATCGATTCAAGTGATATTGTGGTCGATGTGGGTGGTGTTTATGACCATAGACGGAAGCGATATGATCACCATCAGCGTGAATTCAAGCACACATTGAACTCACTGGATCCACGGAAACCATTCAAGATTAAGCTGAGCTCTGCGGGGCTGATTTATCATCATTATGGAAGGAGAATAATTAGTCAATTACTTGATTTGCCAGTCGGTGATTCTGGTGATTCTCATGATGGTGAAAAATTGGAAATTTTGTTCGATAAAATTTATGAATCTTTTATTCTGGAAGTTGACGCCATTGACAATGGAATTGATATGTATGATGGTGAACCCAAATACTCAATCCACTCAGGCCTAAGCTCCAGAGTCTCTTACTTGGAGCCGGCTTGGAATCAAGAGGTCAACGATGAAATTTTATACGACAGGTAATTTTATGTCATTCTATTCTCTCTCAATCTTTACCTTCTCTCCTTCTCCCTCTCTTTCACTCTCTATTTCCCTCTCATTCTATTTGGTGATTTTCATTCTCTTCCAAACTCTAAGCTTAAATTATTTCTGTTCCATTTACATAAAATGCACTTTGAAATTCATTCAATGTTTTTCTTTTTCGAGAGTTAAATGAGTTAATTTAAATTCTCTTTTCTTGTTTAATTGTTATTCTCAGATTTCTTGAAGCAATCAAATTGGTTGGAAGTGAATTTGAAGACCGAGTTAAGTATTATGGTAATGCTTGGTATCCACCGAAATTGCTTGTTAAAGAAGCCATTTTGAATCGATCTTCTGTTCATCCTTCTGGTGCAATAATTGATCTTAGTTCTTATGGTGGGATACCCTGGAAAGAACATCTTTTCACAATTGAAAAAGAATTAGGGATTGAAGGAGAGGTCAAATTCGCTCTTTTTCTAAGTATTGAGAAGAATTGGAGAGTATGTGCTGTTCCAACAGCTTTTGGATCGTTTGTTTCGAGGCTTCCTATACATGCCGACTACTGTGGTTTGCGAGATGAGCAATTATCTCAAGTCAGTGGAATTCCTGGTTGCATTTTTGTCCATACGACGGGTTTTATTGGCGGGGGCAATTCCAAGGAAACTTGCATCGCTTTAGCTGAGAAGACAATGAACGCCGAAGCCAAAAAAGAATAGTGTTCATCAAATTGGTTACCAATCAACGCAAGGAACAGCATATAATCAACGCTGCTATCAAGTGATTGACAATCAACAGAAAGATTTTTCTCTCTCTCTCTCTCTTTCTCTCTTTTAATTTGAATTACTTCCTTTAATATCTTTATTAAAACAAAATATGATGATCAAAAATACAATCTGTTCAAGTACTTTTGGTCTAAATTTACTTACTAAAATAAATAGGGAGAGAGAAGAGAAGAGAAAGAAAAAAGATAACTTAACATGGTTACCGTTCAAACAGCCCAAAGAATAGTAAAAAAAAACAATGATGAGAATTCCAATTAATCAATCATGATGTCGTCTAATTAGTTTTATATTTAGTATTTCACTTGTGTGATGTGGATGAAAATAGAGAAGAAGAAAAATGTAAGATAATAAATTGAAAAGAAAAAATTAAAGATGAAAACCAAATAGCTGGGGTTGTAAATTTTGTAAGAAAGACCGGTTGATGAATTAGTGAGAGAGAGAAAAAGAGATGGAGAAATCAACAAGTCTTTCCAAAGAAAGAAAAATTAAAATCAAATGAAGAACAATTTATATGAAAGATGATTAGAAAACAACATTGTTTGGATGAATGTGGATCTAGTCATGGATATTTTTGTCGGGTTGACATGACACTAGAAACTCATCCATCCAGTCAATTTGTTGGATGAAACACCGGAATAAGAATAGCGAAAATGAAACGATGAACGATGAGAAGAAGAAAAAAAATGGAGAATAATCAAAAAAAAAGAAGAGAAGAAAAAATTGTTGGTCAATTGAAGAGTAATGAAGGTTAGGCCAACGTTAAGATTCTCAGAAGAAGAATGAGAAAAAAAAGAGAAAAGAATTTCAACTAAACGGCCAATCTCTTATTCCATTCCAACGTTTTTTCTTCTCACTCATTCTCTCTCTCTCTCTCTACAGTTGGTTCAAAATCTGAAAATGATGATTGGAGGGAAGGAGAAAACTGTCTCTCCCTTTGCGCATTAATCTTCTTCTGGTTTAATATTTTTCTTTGAAAAACATTCACCGATTGGAGAATCAACCTGCGCACGTTAATCTCCTCCCAATGTTTTTCTCTCAACACCCTGTAATCATCAAATTCTCTTTCTTTTTCCCTGTCTTCCTTTTTATTCTCTTCAAACTCTTTCTTTCTTTTTTTTGTTCTCTTCTTTCGCTCTTTCGCTCTTCATCTTGTTCACTTTTTTCGCTTCTCTTCCTCTTTCCCTCACTTTTTCTCTTTCTCTCTCAACAGGTTCATTGCTATTCTCTAATTTTTTCTTCTCTTCTTATTTAAAGCTCTTACCTTGAAAACCTTGACTAGTTGTTAGAGTGACGCCCGTTAAAGTAGAAAAAGAAAAGCCTGAAAAACCGGTTTCTCTCTCAAACTAAATTTCGCCGTCACAAAAACTAGCCAAGGTTTTCGAGGTAGATCTAAGTGAGAGAGAGAGAGAGAGAGAGAGAGAAGGAAAAGTGAGCAATGAACCTGTTGAGAAAGGGAGAAAGTGAGGGAGATGAAGAGAGAAGAAGAGAGAAAGAGAGAAAGAGTTTTTATTGAGAAAAGAATGAGAGAGAAAATCAGAAGAAAAGGAAGATGATTATGATGAGAAGAAGAGTGAGAAAAAAAACGTTGATAGAAAATTTGGAATAAGAAGACTGGCCGTTTGGTGAATTCTTTTTTTCTTTTTTCTCTTCTCTTTTATTCTTCTTAGAAAATGTTCAACAACGTTCAACTTTAAGAAGGTGAGTTAACTGCTGCTGCTGACCTATCCTATTCCTCTTCATCTTTTATCATCATCTTCTTTTTTTTCATCTTCTTTCTCCCATTTTTCAAATTTTTACTTTTCTTCATCTTCTTCTTCTTCTTCATCTTTTTTTCTCTTCTCCATTTTTATCATTGTCTTTCTCTCTTCCTCTTTATCTGTCTTTCTCTCTCCTCTTATTCCGGTGTTTCATCCAACAAATTGACTGGGTGAATGAGTTTCTAGTGTCATGTCAACCCGACAAAAATATCCATGACTAGATCCACATTCATCCATTTGATTTTGTTTTTCATTTTAATCATCTTCATCTTGATAAAAGTTCCAAAATGATTCAAATAGAAAGGGAGGGAGAGAAAAAGCAAAAAGAGAGTCACTTGTTGATTCCAATTTATTCAACCGGTCTTCAAATTCACCGAAAAAATGAAGAGTGTTATTTGTCTCTTCCTCTCTCTCTCTCTTTCTCTCCCTTACTCATCATCTCTCCACATCAACAATCAGTGAAATTAATCAAAGAAACAAAACCACGACGATACCTACAAAATTCTGACCAGTTTTTGATCTTGCGACGATAACATGATTAACTCTTTTTGGATATTAGATTTGAACAAAACAAAACGAAAAACCATCAATTATGTTGAAATCAAAGAGGTGAAGAAGGAAGTAAATCAAATATAAATCAAAAAAGAGAGAAAGACAATAACAATTACACTTGATAAACATCGACAGAAGGAGAAAGAGAAAGAGAGAAAGAGCAAAGCAAATAGAAAAAGCGAACGTTAAATTGTTCCAACCGCTGAGAAAAGAACTGGTCAAAGATGATGGTCACTTAAATGATGAATTAACTCAAGAAATAAACAGCCCTTCACTGGGCAGCTGGCAATTAGAATTGATAATTAAGCCTTGCTGCTCATAGACGGACTCGCCCTTCCTTGGAGATTGACACACAAACCAGAGAGAGAGAACCAAAAATCAACTGATGTCACCAAATAATTTAAACCAAATGAACACTAATAGTCTCCAATCAATGGTATAAATTGAAATTGGACCGGAAGTTAAAGACAAAAGAGTAAATCCAAAGTGAGAGAGAAAGAGATAAACAAAAGTAAAATCAAGTGCAAAGGAACAAAAAAAAACACAAAATTGACAAAATGAGACACGAAAATTGTGATGATTGGTGACAATATGATCGGAGGTGGTGGTGATGGTTGATAAACAATTAGCTTATCACTTGAGCCCACGAGAGAAAAAACAATTAATCACAGAGAGAGAGAAAGAGAGAGAGAGAGGGAGGGAGAGAGTGAGAATGAGTGAGTACGTGAGAGAGAGAGAGAGTAAAGATAATTTTGAAAACGGAAGGATGTTCAATAGATTTTACTGAAAATTAACTGTTATCATTAACATTACATTGTTTTAGAATTTTTTGTTTTTAAAAAAATTCTATTTCGATCCAATCAAAGTCCTCCGATCATTGCGTACTTTTTGGTCCAATCTTTGGCCATTCGATTGTATTGATCTCTATCCTTTTTATATAGATTAGCGGCTTCGGTGACCAATGGATCATCGGCATTTGGGTCAGTTAGCAACGATGTTATCGAGATCATTACTTGAGAGATGGTCAATGCTGCTGACCAACGGCCTTTCTTCAATATGTCCAAGCAAATGTTTCCTTCTTTACTTATGTTGGGGTGGAAAATTTTGGTCTTGAATCTTACCCGCGGTGGTTCATATGGATAATCTTTCGGGAAGTTGATCTGCAGGAAGAAAATTCCTCCCTGATATGGTGACTCATCTGGTCCGGTGATCATTCCCTCCCATGAAAATAAATCGTCGCCCACTGGACCGGCCGAACATCCTTCCGGTGGATCTTTTTCAAACTGTTCCAATTCCAATTTCAATCTATGAATGGACATAATTGAGTTAATCGAACAGCAGAACAAAAAACACCACCAAATTAGTCAACATTTAATTGTCTTTAATCGTTGATTGTTGTTGTAAGAATGAGAGAAAGTTAATTGTTGACATTGTTTATCTTTTTCTTTCGCTCTTTTTAATTGTTGACATTTTCTCATCTTCGTTTGTTGTTGTTTTTCTTGTGTCGCAATTTTGATTGTTTATGTTAAGTTAATTTCTTTCCAACTCCTCTCAATTAGCTGATTATCTGATTGATTTTCTTCATTGATTTGATATGTTAATTTTGTTAATCAAATTGTACTTTAAACCGAATATGATTATCTAATTGTGATTAACTGTTTCTCTCTCTTTTGTTGTCATCAGAATTGATAATTAAATGGGTGAAACTGTTAATCTAATTTGTGGGTACCGTTAATTGTGATTAACACCAAATTTAGTTATTTCGATGATCTTTCAATTGTGATTCCGAATGACGTTAATCGTTAATTATTTACATTGGCAATCAATTACAATTAAATTTGTTCATTGAGATTTTTTTTTCAACTGAGTTAATTGGATTTTCACCATTTTTTTGTTGTTGTTGTTGGAGTTAATTGTTACAATTAATACATTTAAAAAATATATAGAGCAAAGTTTTACACAAATTGCAGAGAAAACAAAATACTGATGAAGTGAAAAATTCAGCAATCAAAATGTTACAATTAGTGATTAAATTGATTTGCAGCACAATTAGAGATAATTAGATGAGAAACCCCTTCATTATCGTGAGGTAATTAAATCAATGTTCACAATATGGTTTTTATATTGTTGGCGTTTGATGGTTGATTGTTTGAGAATTTTTTTCTTGTTTTTTCCAATTAGATTTGATTTGATGATTACAATTAGAGAAAATATTTCTAATTGATGAAAAACACTCACTATCAATACATTATGATCAATGGAAACTTGATATTGAGTAAATCTCGTTGATGAGTATTTCATGGAGAGTGTGATAGGAATTAATTTGATTCAGATGAATATTAACAATAATCACGAGAGGAAATTAAGCATTTTGTAGTTATCGATGAGATTTTTAAACTGAATTCGTTAAATTGTTAATAAACAATCAAGAATTAACAGTTTTCATCAATATTTTTTCACTTTTCGGTTGCCGAATGAGTAACAAATAATTTGATTGGTCATATTGTTGATTTTACATAATTGTGAAGATGTAAAAATGGAAAGGAAAGTTAATTGTGATCTATTTTTGTTCTAGATCTTTGGCTCATATGACGAGGAAAAAATTCTTTGAATTTCCTCAAGTGATTTTCCTTTTGTTTCCGGTAATTTCCATCCAAGAATAAAAGCACTAAATATACATATTGCACCGAATGTACCGAAAGTACCCGCTTTGCCGACTAGATCTTCGAATGGGACAAACTCTTTGGCCACAATGAAACAACAGAACCAGTTGAAAGCGGTAGCGATCCCCGAGGCCGACCCTTTGACTTGATTGGGGAGCAATTCGCTCATTAGTAACCAAGGAAGTGGCCCATAGCCCAGAGCAAAGGCGGAGGTATAAATGGCAAGAGCGACCAGTGGCATCCAACCAAACGATTGACTGAAAGAAGTACCTTGAGATGATGACAAATAATAGTAAAGGGTTAAGATGAACAAGGCCAGACCCATGATGATACCGGAAATGAAAAGTAAAATCCGTCGACCCAATCGATCAGTCAAAATACAACCAATAAGTGTGGCAACTGTTTGAATTAATCCAATTAGTATGGTTGCTAAATTGTCGTCGATAGTTGATCCAGAGGAGTGAAAAATGTCCACAGTATAGAAAGTGACAGCGTTAATACCCGAAAATTGTTGGGCAAACATGAGAAACATACAAAGGAGAAAAGGTTTGTAAATTGATGGATTTTTATAACTGGAGAATGTGTTTAAACAACCATCTGATTGTGTCGATTCGTCTTTCATTATGATTGGAGCAGATTCGGGATGAGTTGAACGGAAAAATACATATGAAGCGATAGCAGCATCGTGACGTCCATTATTTGAAAGCCAGGTTGGTGTTTCGTGAAGAGCACCAATAATAGCGAGCATACCTAATGGATAAATTGTCGCAATTACCGCGTGCCAAGGCCAGCTAACATAATTACCAACAATATAACTAATTACAATACCAACGGCGACGAAAAGTTGAAAACCAGATCCAATTAAACCTCGACGAGATGTTGGTACAATTTCACTTATATAAATGTTACAAGCTAAAGTACAACAACCAGAGGCGAATCCAGTTAATACTCGACCAGCTAACAAAACATCAACTCGAGTAGAATAAGCAATTAAAAGCCAACCAGCAATAAAGGGAACACTGATTAACATTAATGTTAAACGTCGGCCAAATTTCTCGATACTTTGACCAGCAAATATCCCACCAAAAAGAGCGGATAAAGCAAGAATAGAGGCAAACCAGGATTGGAGAGAAGTCGATGTGAGAAGTAATTGACTAGAAGGTTGTTTCATTCCAGGTAATGCTGTCGACGAATAAGCGATCGCAGTTCCAATTCCCATCGATCCCATATAAGTACCAATAGCAGCCCACCAGTAGCGAGGTATTTTAGCTCCATCTCGATGGATTAATGATGTAGATTCGATTTCCATAATTATACAAATAGACACGTAACACAGGCGTTTAAATTAATTCGAAATTAATATATTAATATATAGAACAGGTGAACATGTAAGAAAGAAAAGTGAAAACGAAAACCAAATACGAACACAAGTAACAAAGTAAAGACCTTGTTCCAATTATTGAATAAAAAATCAGCTAATTTCTTTTACGCTCAACAAATTAGTTTGTAGACGTAAACAAAGGGTCACAGGAAAATTGTTGTTGTTGATTAACAATCCAAGTTTGTTTCCAGTTATTTGATTAGTGGAAGTGGGGAAAAGTAACTGAACAATATGTCAAAATGAGAAAGAAAAAAAAACAATACAAAAAAAGAGTAGAAAATGAGATAAAAAAATGAAAGGTAATTTTCTGGTTATGAGAGAGAGCGAGAGAAAGTTGTATTTACAGCTAATTAGAATCTACTCTTCATCTTTATTTTCCGCTCTTTCGTAACTTAATTTCCGCCTATTTTAACATAGACGATAATTAACTAGAGACGTTAATTAATGTTATCACAATCGTTTATCAATTAATTAAAGTTAATCAACACTTGGAATCTCAATGTTTACAAAAAAAAGAAAAAATACGAAAAAGGCGGAGCTTCTCCAGTGGCGGTAAAAACAATTCTAATTCTAATTGTTATAATTTTAGAAATAATTACGATTAATAAGGGGAATTAATTAACAGCTGGGATAATTAGTTTAATTGTTAACGAAAGAAAATCAATTAATGTGAAATTTAAATTTTGAAGCAAAAAGTTGTAACATTTTGTTTTCTCTTTCGATGTTTTCATTCATTGGTTTTGGTTTTTTTTCTTTTCTCTTTTAATTGTAATCATTTAATTGCGAAATTAGAATATTTTTAATTGTTGGTTTTAAATTATTGTTCAATTTCTTGGTAAACCAGTGACGATGTTATTCTCGATTCCACATTCATTTTGACCTCGGTGAATCTTAAAGTAACCTAACGAACGATCAAAAAGAGAAACGTCAATGAATCGAAAGTTAATTTGATTTGATTATAATTTAGAACTAATTAATTTACCTTGATCACCCCAATCAGTGTTCCATGAGTTTGCTACAAGCCAATAAGGAACATGATTTTCAACACCCCAACCAAGGATTCTGACAGCATGAGAGCCGATTAGGTCTTTCGAGTGCCTCTGGTAAACTCCTAAAGGGATAAAAATTCACACCGAGAATTAAGATGAAACAATTAATTGATTAGATGACTTGATTACCTGATTTATAGACAATAAAATCTGAATAAACATCGAAAGCAGCAGTAACTGGTCCATTTCTCATGATATCTGATTGAATTTGAACAATATCTCGTTCTAATGAATAATGTCTCATACCAAAGTGTTTATCTTGTAAATAAGTTTTATTGTAATTGGATTGACAGGTCACTTCACAGGCCGGTGTGGGCTCCTCTGTACATGCAGGCCGAGGACCGGGTACATGATGTTCACAGGGTTCGATTTTATAAGGTTGACAACCTTCACCGTTGAAAAGTCCACCAGTGACCAGTCCACGAGTGACCCAGTATTCGTAGGCCGATTCGGGAAAACCACCATTACAACCGAAACCACAATCAGTACAACAAGATAAAACATCTTCAGCGGAAAGTTCAACTTTAATTGTACCATTTGAACCGATGCAGGTTCGATCTGAAATAGCTTCGGCTGAAGAGAAAGCCCAACAAGAACCACAACTACCCTGATCACGAATAAATGAGATGGAAGGACAATCAGGCCAAACTTCTCGGGAATCAAATTCTACTGGTATTGAAGAGATAATTGAAATTTTCCCTTTTCGAATTCCAACATTTGGACGTTTATTTTTTCGAACACCACAAAATCTTTTAATCTGATCGATAGTTAAACCTTGGAAATTTTTGCCAGCCTAAAATAGAACATCAAACCGAATTAAATTCACTCGAATTAGTACAATTTTCCATCAATCGATACTCACCTTCCACGTTGTGTTGAGGGAATTGATCTTTTCCACCATTAGATCAGAAAGTGGATCAATTCGACTCGTTAAAAAAGCTCTTCGCTTGCCCAAAACAAAGGGCAACAAACCCAATAAACAAATTAAAACTAATTTCATGTTAAATTGCTGATTCAATTTTCAAAAATCATCAATGAGTTTGATTGAGATTAAGAAACAATCTATGAAACAAAGTATTTATTTCAAGTGAAAAATGAGAATACAACTCGAGAGGTTGTAACGTCTCAAGATAATCTTCAATGATTATCTCCCTATCATTTTACAGTTAATTAATTTGAGTTACATTCATTGATTATTTTCATGTTTTCTTCAATTCCATTGAATGATTAAAATATTATAAGAATAATTTTGTTTTGGATTTTTTATCATTTTATCAGTACTTTATATGGATATGTAAGGTAATTTAGTAATAAAGCAAGTGAGAAAAATTAACATTGGTAAAGATACAGTTTTTTTTAAAAATAATGGTCACTCGTTAGAGCCAATTTGTTCATCATGATAACTCAATTAAGAGTTAAATAGTCAAGTTATTAATTGTTAAGTACTTGTTTGTATTTTTAATATGAAAAATGTGATATTTAAATAAACTTAAATAGTTTTACCCTTGAATAAATTCAGAACACCCAATGACCATTTCAATAAATTTAATTTCATCTGAACTATTAATAAATCAGTTGACAGTGACAATTTTAAGAAAAAATAAATTGATGATAATTGAATTAATATTAATGTTAATTTTAATTGTTCACGCAGTGAAATTAGCAAAGGTAACAATTTCTAAGTGACAATCAAAATAGGTGATTACTAATTAAGATTATTTTTTCTCTGTTAATTAGGCTGTTGGAGATGGATTTAGATTATATTAATACCTAAGTGAATCCAAAGAGTAATATAAACAAATTGTTTCAATTTCAATTCTCATAAGAATGGATTTTACCTTCGGGGCAGATTTGGATTAGATTTCTGTTTATCGGTGATACTGATGATCAATGAATCGAATCAGTTGAATTTGTAATCCATAGGTTTAGTTGATCAGCTTCATGGAAACACAATTCTGACTCTCTCTCTCTCTCTCTCTCTCTCTCTCTCTCTCTCTCTCTCTCTCTCTCTTCCGTGAAGAGGATGAGGAAACCAAAAAGAAACCAGAAAATACCTAAACTTATTATATCATATTCATTGATGGTGAAAAAGGTAACGTAGTGAATGGAACCTGCGTATTGATATTATATTGATTCATATAAACATCCGAATAGACTTGAACCTTAAGAAGCATCATCATCCTTTTCATCCTCATCACCATGAGCATCATTTTCATCCTTTCATATCACAAGTTAAAAAGTTGCAAAGTTGACAGGCAAGGATTGAGAAAAAAAGGAACCAGAAACAAAATGAAATTTTGGTAATGGTCGCTAACGAAAAAAAACGAAAGAGAGAAAAAAAGTTCCTCTATCAATCATTTCCTCCTCTTTTGGCTCCTCTTCATGTGAGAAGAACCTCTTATCCTCCTCCTCTTTAATTCACTTCTTGAGTTGATATTGAAAGGAGCAAATTGATGTTTGGTCTTCAAATGTGAAAAGAGGAAAAAAAAGTAAGAAAAGTAAGAGGAGGAAAGATGATGATGATGATGACGATAAAGATTACGTTACATGGCTAATGGGAGAGGAGAAAAAAAGTCAATCTTGATGACGAGAAGTAAGAGTGAGATATGAAAGAGAGAAAGAGAGTCAGTGTGAGTTGTTACATGGTGAATAGAGAGAGAGAGAAAGAAGGAAAAGAAAGAGATAAACTACCAGAGTGGGGTGGGAGAAGAGAGAGAGAGAGAGAGATGAAAAAAGAAAGAAAATAAAGGAATCTGAAAAGGATGAGGAAAAGTAGTGAGAGTGATCGAAGTGAGTTGGTTGAGAATAAAGAGAAAAAAGAAAGAGGAGAAAAAAAGAAAACACCATTTCAATTGTGATCCAGAACTTTACCATGATTTATATTCACTCGATCGCCTGTGAACAGTGGATTCCATCACCATAATTGTGGACATTTTATCTTCATCTTCTTCCTTTCATTGGGCATCATCATCAAATTATCATCTTCATCTAATAGCATCTCTTCAACCGGACCTGTGATCGATATTTTTGTTTCTCGACTTTGTTATTATTATTGTTCAAATAATTCATTACAATTATGTTTACATCCAAAGGAACAATTTCCTATTGTTTATTTGTTAATTGTTGAAACTGTTCAACATCTTGCATCAAATCAATGGTAAGCAATTTAATCCTTTTTGTCAATTCTAATCTCTCCAATTAATTTGTCCATCTTTCCTTACAACTAATCAACGTATCACCATTAATTGTTGTTCATCTAACAGGATCCTTGATGCAATATCTAAATTCATCATTTTCTCATCATTATCGTTATTATTATTACTATTAAATTGTTCAATTCCATTTGGATAATCATTTATCTTTGTGTGTAAAACTGTTTACTTTTGGAAATCATCTTCATCACTTGTCCATCATCATCATCATCATCATCTTAATAGTAAATATCTAAATCTTTTGACTATCAGAAAATTATAACAATCAAACTGAATTTTAAACGAGGAAACCAGGAAACAATCAACAACCATCCGATCGGAGGGATGAGTATCATTCAAATGTCCGATCTCGAAATGGATGATGTTACATTTTTAACCTGCCGTGAATCTGTTGACGGGGTCACGAATAAATCTTTACGCGGAGATTGTGGCCCATTTTGTCGGAATCGTCGAGTTTGCCGTAAACAGCATCCCCACCATGTACATTTCTCATTTTATCAATTATTCATCATGATATCATCAATTGTTATCCTACTCATTTCAACTGCCTTACTTTGCGCCTTTGCCAATCCCTTTAAAACTAATCAGTGTCATATCATTGGTACCATTGAAGATACAACCAATTCAACCCTTAATTTAACACAATCACATCTATTAGCCACCAATGGGGAACAATTTCCTTGGAGTGATTTAAGATTGCCTAATTTTATTAAGCCCATCCATTATGGTTAGTAGTTGATTGTCATCAATATCTCACAATTAACAACAATCAAACAAATTGGGACATTCAAACTTGACACTAATCATAAAATACAATGATAATAATCGTTGTCGTTGTAAACTAATTAAGTGTCTGTACCAATGTTAACCAATCATTGTTTTAGAAAACCAATTAACTTTATTAATTTATCATATTACTATTATTATATTGTTGATTTGGTCTTTTTTTTATCACTGTTATTTATTGATTGTTATCAACACTAATTTAATTATCTTTTGACATGTTTCTCTCTCTCTCTCTCTCTCTCTTATTTTGATTATCATTTGATTAGATATCTTCATGCATCCAAATTTAACCACGTTTATTAATCGAGGATCCGTTGAAATTACAATTACCTCGGAGGAATCAGTTGATTTTATTTTACTTCATGGGAAACAATTAAATTTAACACAAATCAGTATAACCAAATTTAATGATGATCGTGAACCAATACCAATAATTAAGGTTCTGGAAAATGATGACTTTGAATTAATCCATATCAGTTTGGGAACAGTATTAACAATTAACACCGAGTATTTGGTTAAGATAAATTTCACCAAAATGCTTGAGGAAAGATTAGAAGGATTTTATATCTCATCTTATATTGAAATGTCCAGTGAACGAAGGAAATATTTGGCCACAACCCATTTCGAGCCAACATCGGCACGATCAGCATTCCCGTGTTTCGATGAGCCCGCGCTTAAGGCAACATTTGCCCTTAAAATGGTCCACGAACCGATTCACGAGGTTTATTTTAATTCTGAGAAACAAGATACACTAATCTATTCAAAGGAAGGTCTTCGTCTTTCCGTTTTCGATACAACTGTACAAATGTCCACCTATCTGGTAGCATTTGTTGTCTGTGATTTTAAACCGCTCGATGCAAGGACCAAAGAGGGAACCCATGTTCGTGTTCTGGTTCCAAGAGATCAGATTAACCATGGAGATCTTGCCCTTAGATCAGCTGTCAACATATTAACATATTTCCAATCATTTTTTAATATAACTTATCCTTTAACTAAACTTGACCTTGTCTCCGTTCCCGATTTTGCCGCTGGAGCAATGGAAAACTGGGGACTGATGACATTTCGAGCCACACTAATAATGTACAATGAGAAAACTTCATCCGATTCGGTAAAGGAAGAAGTTCTAACCGTAATATCACACGAAATTGCTCACCAATGGTTCGGTAATTTGGTTACCATGAAATGGTGGAATGACCTTTGGCTTAATGAAGGTTTCGCTTCGTACGTTGAAAACCTTGGGGTTGACCATTTATACCCTGAATGGAGGATGTTAGATCAATTCGTTTTAACCACAACCCAAGAGGCTTTGGCTCTTGATTCTCTTCAATCATCCCACCCAATTATGACCGATGTTAAAGACCCACGGGAAATTGAGGCCATTTTTGATACCATTTCCTACAAAAAAGGTGCTGCTCTCATAAGGATGCTGAAAAATTTTCTCGGCCCTGATAACCTGAGACTTGGATTAAAAAACTATCTCTCCAAGTATAAATTTTCCAATGCTGAAACAAGTGACCTATGGAGGTCATTTTCAAAGGTCAGAGGAAATTATCATCAACAAAACAATCAACAATTAACTCTCGATTGGTAGGAGCGATTAACAAATGCGAAAGCAATTCACTTGATAAAAACCGAAACAATCAATATCGTAATACAAATAATCACAATAATTAGAAATTGACTCATTTTGATTAATCTTTTAGTTTCAATCATTTGTGTCCAAGCAATTTATTAATTGTGAAACATTTTCACAGCTAATTAACAATATTCAAAATATGATTTGATAATTTTTCCAAGTCAATCGATGGGTTAATTGTTGATTCCAAACCAAAACATTTTAGAAACTTTTCTAAAGTTGTTCTTTTCTTAATTCTCTATTAATTAACTAATTATTCTTACACAATTCAATTGAATTTAGATTGTGCCAAATGAAGTAATTAATGTAACCAGCATCATGGAAACTTGGGTTCGTCAAAAGGGATACCCAGTGATTACCGTTCGTTCATTTGGTGAACACGTTTTATTGACCCAAAAACGTTACCTTTCCAGTCCAATGGTTAATGAAGACGAAACAATCGACGGTAATTTATCATCTTCTTCCTCATCACCATTTGGTTATCAATGGATAATCCCGATAACTTTAATAACGAGTCATAATCCTCGAGATCCATCACTCATCTGGATGTCATCAACAAATTCAGCGATTCCATTTCCTCATCATGTCGATTGGTTCAAAATAAACGTTAATCAAACAGGATTTTATCGTGTTAATTACGATGAATATAATTGGAAACGTTTAATTTCACTTCTTGATCGCTCAGGACCTGATACACATTTACTTTCACCCTCCGATCGAGCAAATCTAATCGATGATGCCTTCTCCTTCATGAGGATGGATCTACTTCAGCCCCATATCGCTCTTAATATCACCTCTTACCTGGAAAAATCAAAAGAACGGGATTATGTCCCCTGGGTGACGACGATAATTAACCTGAAAATACTTGATTCCATCATGGAGGGTAACCCATTGTTACGTAAATTTATCCTTAGGCTACTTCGAGTTGCCCTTAAAATGTGGAAACAGGGATGGATCGATGAGGGTTCTCATCTTGATCGCAAGTTACGTTCATCGGTCTATTATGCGGCCTCGTATTTTGGCGAAGACACAACGATACGAATTGCGAAGCAAAACTTTGACAAATGGTTTCAAGATGCTTATCAACCGCCGCCCAATTTTAGGAAAACCGTTTACACGACCGGTGTCCGATTGGGCGATATCAAAGAGTGGGAATTTGTCTGGACCAAATATACTAAGGAAAGGGTTCCCTCTGAGAAGCGTTTACTTTTAGAGGCAATGGCTCATACAACTAACCCTTGGCTACTTTCACAGTTTCTCAACTATTCCCTTGATCGTAATAAGATTAAACCTCAAGACACCGCGAATGTAATTTCCCACGTTGCTCGTAATCCGGTGGGTCGGCATTTGGCTTGGCATTTTGTCCGTTCTAATTGGGACTCATTGTTAAACCTTTTTGGTACTGGTTCATTTTCAATTGATGCTATTATATCGGAAACAGGTTGGCACTTTTCAACGCAATTCGATTATGATGAGGTTTCGAACTTTTATTCAAAGGTTCCCCTTGGTTCGGGTTTTCAATCGTTGAAACAAACACTGGAAAAAATTCGTGCCAATATTTTCTGGAAACAGGTAGTTGAACCAAAGGTCATTAATTGGTTAAGAATTGTAGATTCCCGATGAAGATTATGATAAAAAACATAACATGAGAACGCAACAATTAATTGATAATAAAAATTATAAAAGAAAAGAAGAAAAAAATAACAAATTTCGAGTTTCATTTTATTTTAGTTTCGAACTGAACAAAAAGTTTTTCATCACACGTCACATCTTCACCGTAAATAAATGTAATAAATCGTTGATATGATTGATTCCTTTTTCGATCAATTCTTTATTGTATATTGGTACTAAACGACTAATTAGTTCCTTTAATTATCAATATGGCAAGAGAATTTTTCTCAGTAATCAGAATTCGTGAGCAAAATAACCTTCAAATATCATTTGCTATTTCCAAAGGCGTTAATCAATTGAGATAGAGAATCAAATGTGAATATAAAACAAAAATTCGTTGGCAATTAATTTAGTTGTTTAAATAGAAGTGACAATTTCTAAACCTTCATATCATTCATTGAACCAACGAGAAGCGGAAATAATAACAATTAACTTGTTTGTATTTGAATAAATCATGATTAGGTTAATTGTTTGATCACTTATTTAATAGTAATATGGTTGATTCAAGGATTTAATTGAGAGCAATTATTACTCTTTGTCCGAAACATTTCAAGATAAAAGCAAATCAAAAACTCTTGTCTATTCAATTTAATCTTTAATCAACCAATAGTCAAGTGTTGATTAAAGTGTTGTTGACGATGAGCACAACAACAATTAAAATCAATCAAAAAATAGCATTATAATTACTTTGATTGTGTTAATAACAAGCAGTTTTGAATTCTGTGTCCAAATTAACTGAGAGTAAATTTCAATGTGATTTAATTTTCCTCCGAAACAAAGTAACCATTTCAAAAGATTTTTTAATAAGAGATTTAATCAACTTTGACAATCTAATGATAGTTAAAGTGCAATTGTAACAATTAGATTTCAAATAAATTCCAAGGTTCAATGAAGTATCTCACTGGAAGAGGGCAAGTATGAGTCTCATCGAAGTCGAGTAAATGTTTCGAGGCCTAATCGCGATTAAAGGAAACAAAAAGAAAACACAATAAATATAATTAGAGGAAGAAAATTTCCAATTCCAATTAATCAACAATTAAGATTACGACTCACCAAGAAAAGAATTAAACTAATTCGTGTTTTCTCATCTAATTCCGATCCAATGAGAACTGGAAATCGACGACCATGTTTATCGAGAAACATTTTAAGAAGAGATTGACAATTAACGAAATCAACATTATAATCAATCATGATTCGATCTAAATTTAAGAGCACCAACAATTAGATAACTTTCCCAAAACAATTAACCACAAAAGAGATGAACACTCACTTTGCTGATTAGTATCTCCAGATAACCAGCACTTTAAGGCCAAAGCAGTTCCCGTGTCATTCATTAGCATAGGGAATCGTCGTTTAAACAGGTTGATGATTATGTAATTAGCTCGATTGGACATAATCTGATCTGAAAGAATATCAGTTGTGATAATATCTTTAGTCCGTCGAATGACCAAAACTGGACCAGGGAAATAATCAAGTTGTTCGGAAACATTTAGATTAAAATGTTTCTTCATTGAAGATAACCAAAAGGGTCGACTGATTCTCGGAATTTTGGTCGATAGAACTGAATTAATATGGTCAAACGAAGCGTCCAAAATAAGTCCACGAACGAAAGGATAACTCATCGCCGCCCAACTGGACGTATAACCACCGATTGACCAGCCATAGATTATGATTGATTCTTGATTGAAGCAAAGTTTTTCAAGAGCAAATTTAATCACCGTGTCGATTGCATTGACTTCAGCTTCGGGAAAAGGTTGACCAGTTGATGAACCGAAACCAGGGTGATTCCAACCAAGAACAGAATAACCTAAGAGATGAATTAGTCAACAATTAACTCCACCAACCAATCAACTAATCTACAATTGCTCTTACCGGCAGTTAGTGGACACCAAATGCTACTACATTCATAATATCCCATGTTTCCTTCACAGGTAATCACTAATTTAGCTCCATTGACATTGATTCCTCTTTGATCAATGAACATTGAATCAATTGTATTTCCGTCGTTAGTTAACAATTTACATCGTTTTCCTTGGTAATCTTTAATTAGACGATTTCTTTTCTCTCTCATCTTTTGTGACATGATCAAGTTGTTCATCATTGTTGATCCTGGATAAATTAATTTAATTCCCATGGTTTTCATGTAAATTGTTGTCAAAAACTCTTGGGGAAGTGACAATAAATAATAAAGAAATGAACTTTCATCTTGATCACTTTTCAATGGTTTCGGTGGTTTTTTTGGATCACTTAATTTAGATTCAATCCATTTAAAGGTAATTGGCATTGATTCAAATTCAATTTCATAACAATTTAAACGATGATTGGCAAGATTAACTTGGTCCATTGTAATTGTAACAATTTAAGAGACAAATTTTAACTCAATAACAATTTAGATTGGAGAGCTTAGTATTAAACTGAATATAATTTCTAGATGTAATTAGTTTGTGTATTATTTTGCAAGAGAAAAGTGTTTAATTGTGATTAATATCATCATTAGATTAACTGTTAAGAGGAAGTTAAATGTTAATAATTAGTTTGATTTATTGTTCCAATACTATTGATCAGGTTAATTATTTAAATCTATTGTTTAATTGTGCGAGTTTTTAACAATTAGACTGACTCATTGATCCAATAACAATTTCCATTCCAATGAATTAATCAACTTTTCATTTGATTAGTTAATTGCGCATCTTTTTTTGTTGTTGTTCAGCAATTGGAGTAAAAATAATAATTGTCTTCCTTTTGGAAAGCAAATATTTTTGTGTAAATTGTTAATTTAATTATTATCATTTTTTTAATAAATCTATTCCATTTTTGCTTCGTTAAAGCAGTCCGTTAATCAATGATCTTGGATTGGTACCACAAAAAATTGTATAAAATTAACTATTAACTTTCAATTGAAATTGAAAAAAAAAGATTGCCCGAGGCACTCAAAATCTTATTGATTCTCATGACAAAAATCAAACATATTCCGTTGCTTATTATCCTCCCGTCTTTTTTTGTGTGTTTTTCTTTGTGTTAGGAAATTTATTTAGTTAATTGTAAATCCAATTTTAGTTAAATTAAGTTGCAGTGTTTTTCTTTCCTTTAACGACCGTCGGTCTATCCTTTATGGTTCCTTTTCGTTTTCGGCTCGTCTGTGTGCGTGTTAAGAAAAGCAAAAGAAATGGAAAGAATTAGAAAACAAAACAGAAATTCAAAAATCTATTAATCTTAAAAGTCTCTTTTTACCTTCTTACTGGAAAATATATTTTTCGGTTTCAATTTTCTGTCAGGATAACGAATTCTTGGTCTATTAGCGGGTTCTTTTACTCGATATATTCTTACAAGCCAATGTTCGGTTGTATACGCTTCTTCCAAATGTTCTAATTTAATATCTTTATTACCAATCTCAGCATTTCGGGTCCTATCAAATCCAGCCGGAGCTCGATAATCGATCTAATTGTTGAAAGAGTGAAAAAAAAACGAGGAAAAAGTTGATAAAAATTAATGATTGGATTTTAAAAGATAAACAATGTAAACAAACCTGTAAATCTCCAAAGCGATAATAGCTTAGTTTGTACATTAAACAGTTAAGAAGTGTTGGTGAGCCCGCCGAGTCAACTCTAAACTCTCCTCGCTCAGTGAAATAATCGCTTTCCCTAATATCTTTAGGGTGTTCACCTTCAGCTATTCTAACCATCCATAAGAATTTGTTAATATCATCACCAGAATAACCGATGACACCTCCGAAAATAACCAGAACATAATCAACATCAAGAGATCTCATTATTGAGTAAGCAGCAGATTCATTTGAGGCCATTGCTTTACCAACCAAAGCGATGTGACTGTTATTCCAAGTATTGTTATCAACTAACGTTGTTCGATTAGCCATTCCAGCAATTTGATAACCATAATCCCACCAAGACATAACTCGTGCATCGTCAGCGGTATTTTGTGATAACCAGTAATATGCTTCACGGAAATCATCAAGAATTACTCGAGAGCTTAAAAGAGAGAGAGAGAGAGAGAGAGAGAGAAAATAAATACCAAGTTGAATGCATCAGAATCAATTGTGAATCAATTACATAAAATCGATAAAAATCAATCAATCAAACATAACAATTGACTTACCCATCTGAACCATAACTTGACAATACAATACTTGGACTTGAATAAGCATTAGCTGTAACCCAAGTACAGTGAACAACAAATAGCACAAGCATAGCAAATAGACCAAACCAAACGATTGCTCTTATATTATGACCAACTCCAAGATCTTTGTTAGCATCAGTTTTAATTTTCCGTACTTTACCAGCCTAAAAACAAGTGAGAAAAAAGTATTCAATGATTAATACACTTCAATCAATCAGAAATTGTAAATTTACCTTATCGTAAAGGTTTCTCTTTTTCTCATCATCACTGTCATCATTGTCACTTTTATCCTCATTATCACCTCCTTGGATAGATTTACGGTTACCCTTTGGTTTATCATCTGATTGTAAAGTAAAGTAGAAACACTCAGAGAAAGCAATAGCACTTAATACACAAACGACTGGAGCTAAAGTTAACATAAGACGAACCATGACCCCGGCAAAGTAAGAAGCTGTTATGGCATATAAGGCGACTAGAGAAAATGGAGAAAAGAGAAAGAGAGAGAGATATGATTATTATTTATCATTGAATAGATTAAAAAAAACAAAAGAGCTATCCTACGAAAAGAAAAGGATAACTTACTGAAAACTCTTTCATCGTTGACTTGTTTGATACAATAAAAGAGACCAATTGGAAAGGTTGGTACAAGAAGATGAAGATCAAAGAAAAAGGAAAACCAAGTTGTCGGCTGATGTTCAGAAACTGAAGCAATAATTGGAATGTGAATTCGAGCATAACCAGTATCCCATAGAGAGTAGAATCGACCGCTCCAAGGGGCAACATAACCAGCATAAGTTAAGACAACAACTCCAGCGAATACAACACATCCAACACTTACGGTAGCAGTGAGAAAGAAATATTTAAATTCTTGTCGTGTCATAACTGATTGGAAATATTTTATAGCCGCATAAGCATTAATGAGAAGGAAAACTCCAGCTGATGCCATATGTTCACTTGTTCGAACAGGTTGGAATCCAACGAAGGGAATTTGCATGGAAAGAAGTAAACCGAGGATGAAAAAGGTAGTATAAGCTTTGGGAGAAAAGAGAAAGAAAAAGGAGAGAAATAAAAAATATTTGGTTAGTTAAACTTTACTATTAGATTGTAATAAAAGAAAAGTTAACCAACCGATGTGTATCCTTGTTGAATATCTTCCCATTAAGAGTAAAAAGAAAACATGTAAAGGAATTAAATTGATGATAAAAACATATCCGCCCCAAGCAGAGACCATATAAAAATATGAAAGGGCACATAAAGTAGCCCAAAAGACGGTTCCTGTTTTGACAGCTTTCACCTAAAAGATTTTGAGATGAAAAATATATTAGATAAACTGTGACAAGTATCAATAAGCATTAATAATAATCGCACGTACCCATAGATAGTAGGTAAGCATTAGAGCAAATATTGCAATGCCTTCGTTATCATAGCTTCCGGCGACAGAGCGACTTATGTAACCAGGTACTGTTGGAAGAGAAGATTAAGATTTTAAAATTAAAATTAAAATTGTTTCTGAAAAAGAATTGAAAAAATATAGCAAATCATGTGGATAAAATGCTTCTTCATTATTATTATCATTAGATTGTTATGATGAAGAAATTGCAACGTTGAATTCAATCTAATCTGATCTTGTCTGAAGAGTTTTTTGTTGATGAAATGATGAAAAGCTGACGATGGCAATGGATTTTGAAACCTACCTATGGAAATAAAACAAGCGGCGAATAGTCCGGCTCCTTCATTCCATAATTCTTTGGTTAATAAATAAGTTGCAATGGCCGTAAGACCGCTGAATACGGGTGCTAAGAATACACAGATATCTCGAATATGAACTGAAATATTCAATAGCTGCAGGATGTAATGGATGGAACCAGAGGTTATCATCAACCCTGGGTAAACCTAAAGAGAGGGAGAAAGAGAAAATTGTATTAATATTAATAGGATAATGAAAAGAGAGAATAATGAAATGACAATTTCTTTAATAAATTGTCAATGACTTACAGTTCCACCAACAATCCTTCCAAGTGGATACCATGCTCTCTCATCAAACCAATTTAAAAAGTTATAGAAACCATGTTTAACCATATAATGGGTCGCTCGATAGTTAAACCTGTTGAAAGAAAATTACAAGGATTAATATGGAAAACAATTTGGTGTCATTCTCATAGATGAACATAAACATGCTGGCAGTTCGGTTAAAGAATCCGAGAACAATGAAAAAATCAAAAAGAGCTACAGGAATGAATCAAAATCTGGTGAATTTAAAGATTGAAGAGAAGGGAAAATGGACAATTCTTTCAATGAGGTGACATTAAACAAAAGAATTGATTGAAAGAAAGAGAAAGGGAGTAAAGAAAGGAAAAAGAAAGGAATAAGATAAGAAGAGAAAGAAGAGAAAGAGAAAGAGAAAGAGAATGGACATCATTTTGAAGTGAAGAATAATTAATCTCTTACCATGGATCAAATTCATGAATAATTGATTCAAAACGAATGACAGCAAATAAACGTGAACAGAAAGCAATCACCCAGGCAAGACCAAGAATAGAGAATCTCAATAAACTTTTACGAACAATCAAGTGAGATTCATTTGATTTACTTTTACTTTTAGAAATGGAATCCCGAATAGATGATGAACGCACCAATTGACACATAATTTTATTTTTTTCTTATTGATTTTCTTTTCATAGAAACAGAAGAAGAAAAAATCCAAAACAGAGAAGAGAACAAAACAAAATCAAATGACAACAACACTGGGGTTGACTAGGAAGGTAAGTCAAGCCAAAGGTTGACTAATTAATCACAACTAGTCCTAATTAGATTTAACAATTAAACAAATAATTTCATTTAATTGTAAGTATTTTCTTGTTGATTTAATTTGGTGATGTGTCTTTGGCCGGTTAACCCTGTAAATAGAAAGCAAGTAGAAAAACAGTTGTGTCGCTTGTGCGGCCATCTGGTGGATAACAAACCAGAGAATCACAGATTCTCCTCTTTGATTTGAAATTTTCTTATTCTTTTTTTTTCTTCGAGACTCAATCATAACCATAGGTATTTACAACGATTCTTGATTGTCAACGGGCTCTTCTAAAGTGAAATTTTATTTACATCAAAACTTTATTTTTCTTTCTATTAAGAATCGTGAAACTCGACTTATAATTTTCTGGTCAAGAAAAAATAGATTAATTAAATCACATCTGTTAGCTGAGAAAATCTGAGAAAATATTGGAATGCAAAAGCAGTGAATCATTGAAAATTGTTTACTAATTATCAATAATAATTTCAAATATTTAGGATTCGATGATATCTCTTTTCATATTCATTCCATTCGTCCCAAAAATTTTTACGACATTAAGTAATACAAGTAAAATTATTATTAAGTAAGATGTTCATAAGCAACTGTTCAAGACTCAAAAATCGATTAATTAATTGCATAAGATGCTATCGAATCCTTCATGTAGAGTCAACTACGGGAAAATTTTTGTTATAAACTAATTATGTTTAATAGATTTTTGATTTTAATTGCGTAAGAAAATTATCAATTTTAACAAGAAAATGATACATTTCTCGTATAGAATTGCAATAAAAACTTGTTATCCATTGGATGGCAAAAATTGATATTTTTATCTAATATCCTTGTATAAATATAAACAAAAGCTTTATTTTTCACAAATTGCGTTCGCATTCCAAACTACATATTTATGACCAATTTTCATAAACAACAATAAGCATCAAACACTTTCTAATAAAAAAATACATCACACCAGTTCACGAAAGAGACAAAATCAGAACGATTATTAATCTAAAATAAAATAGACATCAAGGTTAACATAATGTACCAATTATTTTAATTACTTTTTCCCCCACATGGCTAATATATATCACAAAGGTAAAAATCAGATCAAAGAAAATTATATCAAAATGGTAAAAGTTGGATCTGAAAACCTTGAAATATGTTAACCATAAGAAGAAAAAAACATTACAAAGGAAAATCAATATCCGAGAAAACAGCAATTAAATGTTTAAAAATAAATCAACAGCCAATCGCAATAATCAACATTCATACACAATAAAGTTTATAAAAAATTAAAATAATCAACTAATCGAGAAATTTAATATATTTTCCCAATCCTTTTGCTTTAACTGAATTAAACACAACGGGAAACCCAAAGGGTTTGGTTAACATTCCAAGTGATTAACATCAATTGTTAACCTCATGCTGGATGAAATTAGGTTAATGATTAAACAAGAGTAAACAAGATGGATTTTAAAATATCAGGTAATTTAAATAAAATCTGATTTTCTAATGATGATGATGATTACGATGATGTATCTTCACTATATGTAGTTGATTGTTATTGTTAAAAGCAGTTTCCAATGTAGTTGTTGGTTCATTCATTGGATCCGTGGGATTAATAGTGGAAACAATTACAAATGATCTACAATAACAGTTAAAATATCAATTGTCGAGTGAGTCTGATGATGATGATGATGATGATGATGATGATGATGATGATGATGATGATTGAAGGAGTTTTCACTCCTCCAGTTTTTCTGATTCTATCTATTTCATTCATTCTCGACAATCAACTCAACATGAACAGTTAACAACAATTCAGATAATAACAACAGTCTAACTCTATCATAATCAACCATCAAAACAACAGTTAAGTTTTCTGATTGTTAATCAATGTGATAAACGAGTCAAATTAATTTTTATTTACCAACTTTAATTAACTTTTATTTTCAATCAAATCGACGATCAAATTATAATCTTCATTCCATTTTAGTTTTGGTCAACAATTTAAGCCCAATCAGCTGAGTATCATTTTATTTGCATGTAATAATAATGAATTTGTTTACCTCCAATTGTGAAAATTTCAGTCAATCGTCATCGATACCCTATTTATCAGCAGTGTGGATTAGCTGGTTAACCATAACTGGATTTTTATTAATTCCTGGTAAGTTTTGACAATTTTATTTTTCTCATTTACAAACGGTTTAGTTGATCATTGATTATCAATTGTTTACGTTTGATAAATTTTTGTTTATCACTAATCATCATCTTTATCATCATCTTTGACCTAAAAATCCTTTCAACTGTAAGGATAAAGATGAAGATGGAGATGAAGATGATAATAATAAACATAATGATGATGATAATGATGATTGAAGGGCAGAGACCTTTATCATTATGAAGATAATAATAATAACACAATTAGAGGTTAACAATTTAAAGCCAATTGTATAAATAAAAAGAGACAATTAGTTTTAAACTTTTAACTGTCAAGTTTAATTTGTACTTTTACACTTTAATTGTTGATGGAGATTGAAAGTAACTTTTGTATTGTTTTGTTGATATTTTTAACTCAATTAATGAATGAGTGAAAAAAAAACATACATAATGGTTAAGGTCATCGTCATTATCTTAATCATCAGCAAATTAACACAAACAATTAACAATCAACAATCTAAACAATATCTAGATGAAAAGCGATCAGTAAATATTAAATAATAACTATAATAATAATAATCTAATAACTGTAACCAATGAAAATGATCAACCATGAAATCTAATTGTTATTGTTGATAATTTTTTTCTACTTTTAATTACTAACATTTACAGGTATTGGTGGACATTTAAATACTACTAATTATGAGAAACCAATTGTGATTGTCACAAGTAAACCGTTAATTGTTAAAGGTCCTTACATTGAAAATTGTAAAACTTTACGATTTGAAGCTCATATTTTCCCATTACCATGTAAAAAGTATAATGTTAAATGTGGAAACGATAAGAATCAATTTAATTGTGATTCATTTAAAGTGAAACATAAAAAAAATTGTGACAAAATTAAATTATCCAAACCTAATTTGTATTTAAAACTTTGCTCAAACAATCAATTAGTTCAACAATGACAATTTACCAACATGTAAACACTTTAAATCATTTCAACTATTTATCCTGAAATTATTTGTTAATTAACTTTTCATTCTTTATTCTTGTTATCTTAATTACAACCCAACTGGTTCAATTCCTATTTCCTATTGTAAGTTATTGGCTAAAATTTTTGTTACAATTAAAAAAGTTTAACGAAAAATAATTCGATGAGAAAAATTTTCTCATCTTGGAAAACATTTCTTACATTTGTTATGTTCTAATTGTTCATTGATTCGGTTATATTCTTTTTTTTATAATTAAAGAAAATTCTACAATTAAGTTATTTGTCTTCTCACTAAAATCACAATCTAATCACTTCTTAATTGAGTTCCCATTGCGACGAAAGTTGAAAGAATTAAAAAGTAAAATTTATGAAATTTTCTAACTCGTTTCATTAACAATCTCTCTTACTTAAGGGATTTACAGCCTCGAAAATTAAGATCAAGAAGTTTAAATGGATCCATTGAAAGAGACAAGTGAATGACCAAATCTTGGTGTTGGTCCTTTTTCAATGAAATCAATTGGGTCCCATTTTTTCAAATTGAGATCATAGCGAACAAAAAATTCACTTAATCCAGCTGATTTATCGAAAAATTCACCACCAATTATCCACATGGAATCATTAAGAACAACGGCCTGATGAAGTGCTCTTCCTTTAACAGAACCAATTGAATGAATTGTACTCCAATAGGCTTGAGATGAACTTTGACTACAATCATCACCAATAAAATCTAGATCACAAATACAACGACGTTCAGATAATTCACATCTACCATGACCAGAACATTTATTGGGACAAATTGGTTTATCACAAGCGGCTCCATCTAAACCACCATTACATGTACATATACCATCAATACAAGCACCATTGTTTGAACAATTGTTTGGGCATGAATTGTCACTATAAGATATTTCAGAGATAAACAAGCTTGAATTAAAGAGGAAAATAAATCGGCTTCTTTTGGTGAAATTTCAAAAATTGTGGCCTCGGAATGGAGAGCATTGGGGCCATTGATGAGAAAGCCGTTAACAAACGGAGAGCAGAAGTGGCCAAGAATGACCAATTCAAGGACATCGCGCTGTCTCATGCCATGGCTGTTGCTGGAGCGAAATTCAATAATAATAACAATTTAAACAATCAGCTTGACAATAATCAAATCGGTAAGACTCAAGATCTGTCCGTCAGCTCGATATTTTAACTTTGAGCTGATTTTTTAGGCTTAAAGTTCAAGCTACATATGAAAATGGACTTAATTGTTCTGTTAATTGTGTTTGTTTAAATTAGATTAGGTTAGGTCTTCGCTAATAAGGCTCATCATGATCAAAGAAAAGCCCGGAGGGCCTAAGACAATCAAACCGAACCTAAAGCCGAAAAAAAATCAGCTGAAAATTGAAAATATCGAGCTGACAGACAGATCTTGAGTCTTACCCATTGTTTTAATCAAGTTTTCTCGTATTAATGAAAAGATAAAAATTAAATGGATATTTAAATTATGGAAAAGATGATTACTTTAATTGTATCATTATCATTAATCAAGGGAACACAAATTAATGAGTGTTGGTTTGTTGAGGCACAAATAGATTGTATTTGAAAATTATCATGAGAAATGAGTTCGAGTCGAATCATATTTATGGTCAATAACGTTAGATATTACATGAGAATAGGTTAATTGTGAAGATGAATATTCATGATTAGATTGTGAGTCTATTTTTAAATTTCATTGTTCAAAGTTAAATTGTGATAACCAATAAATGGTTAAATGATAGGAGATGACAGATCACATATCGTGTAACCTTTTTGAATCCTTTAATTAGGTAATTTTCGACGTAATTTTTATGAAATGATTAATTTAAATCATATTGAAAGTGGTTCCAATTGTTTTGTCCATATAGGTTGATTATTAGAGTATGCGAAAAAAATAATTATTCCCATTAAATAAACTGCAAAATAAATTCAATCGTTAAATTGGTGTTAATTGTTGTTGATTTTGTCTCTGTCAATTTTCAAGGTTCATCCCATTGACTATTTTTGTTTTATCGGATATGAAAATTATTGAACATTATTGGTTTCAGACGTTGATTCTGGTTCATTTTCAGGGTAAAAGTTCCTATGTCTTCCTTTCCTCCTGCTACCACTTCTCTCTTCCGATTGTTCATCTTCGGCATTTTTAACTTGTCGAACCATTTTTTTCGTCTTCGATTTATTAACAATGTTTGGAGAAGCGTCTGGGATCAGCCTCACGATATTGCCGATTGCTTTGGTTCTTCCTTCACGGAAAACCATTTTCTGTCCAACTCTTAGATATTCAGGGTTTTTAATGAAACGGAACAGGACACCGGCCTTGTCACCCGTTCTTAAACAGTCTCTGGTCATTCGGATGATAGTTGCTGTTTGGCGAATGCTTCCACAATGAACTGAAATTCGAATGAGAAGAAAAAGAGAAAACAATTAGATTTGTTTGATTAAAGCAAAAGGATTAAGCTTACCCATTGCTTGATAACGGGGACTAATTGTCGTCGGATGATGAAGAACCAGAATTTCTCCTTCAAATTCCCAGTAAGCTTGAGGATTTAGACTAGGTGCTAAAAGAAACATTCCCTTACGAGTATCTGAACGTTTCATCTAAATGAAGCAGAGAAACGAAATAATTTGTTATAATTATCATAATCAGTGGATAATTTAATCGTAATACCTTTTTCAATGCGAAACTTGCAGTCTGTCCACTTCTCACTTCTTTTACAGGCATTCGTTTACGATGAATTGACTTAATGGCCACTGCGGTAAATTTACCCAGTGAATCTGGACCAAGATAAAGAACGTCATTAACACGAATCACTCCTTTGATGCAAAGTCCTGAAACAACGGTACCAACTCCCTACAAACAAGGTAAAATAAAATGAAAGGAATAAAGATCAAGATGATCTGATGACGTTTATTATGAAATTTTCTTACCGGAACAGAATAAGTATCATCAATTTGAAATTCTGCTTGTTCGTTATCATAATTTGGACTTCGTGGCATAAGAAGATTCATAAACATCTTCAGAAGTTCGAGGTTGAATCCAGTAACATTGGAAACTTGAAATATTGGACATAATCTTTCAGTAGCAAAATTACAAGCAGCTAAGACAACATCGTCCTCGCTACCAACCATTACAGGTATTTTACGACATCCGGGAGATTTAAGAATACGTTGTAACAATTTAAGAGTATTGAGAAGGACATTGGGTGGACACATATCAACCTTGGTTATAACCACGAAAACGGGAACATTTAATGCAAGAGCCAAACCAAGATGCTCTTTGGTCATACCGACAACACCAGCATTAGCACCAACCATAAGCATAGTGTAATCAGGTGCATGTCCGGTCATACCAAATATCGTTGTTTTCAAGTATCTCTCATGTCCAGCTAAATCGATGAATGTAATCACTTTAGATGAAGCCTCACAGATTTTAACCCAATCAAGATGACCAGCATGAGCATCAGCTGAATTAACTATTGCTCCTTTACTATCAAAACCAAGGATATCATTTCCAACGGATGAGGTTCGACCTGATTCCATTTCGTGTTTATGACGAAATAAACGTTGCCTAGCAAGTCCACGGCCATTGTCCAATTCCCCGTGTGTCAATACACCAAGAAGAGTACTTTTACCAGCATCTACATTACCCACGACAGCGACTCTCACCTCGTGGAAATCATTTGTTTGAGCTCTTTCTCGAATAAGATAATCACCGATTTGTTTACCATTTGGTAATGTTTTAGATCTTAACAGAACATAATCAGCATTTAATTCAGCGGAAATTCTTGATAGTGTAGCAACTGATTCGATCATTTCGTCCTCGGTTAATCCATTATCGCCACGTTCTGAGGGGTAGAAAAAGGAATCATTTTTAAAACTTTTCATCAAAAGATTAAATTGTGATTAAGATTAAATCAATATGTTAACAAAAGATGCAATAGAAAACATCATAACAGTTAAATCATAAGATAATCTTAATTGACCTTTATACAATTGTAATTAAAATGAGCAACAATAAAATGAAAATGATTTTCAACAAATGAGCTAAGTTATCAAAGTAAAAGGATTGGAAAGATTTCCAGTAAATTATTAATATATCAAAGTATCTTGACTAATTGTTTGATCATCAAGATATGGACTTAATTGGTTAATCATTGGGTCACTAATTGCAAGGATTAAATGTAATTCTATTGAAATCTTTCATCATGAACAAATGGAAGTTAAAAATAAATATGATTTACCATTCACACCAATTTGGTATAAAGTTTCACCATTTCCATTGAACAATTTTGAATTGATATGATTAACAAGAGAGCTGTAGGTCTCTGGGTCTGGTTTAATTAGAGCATATTGATCCAATACTCGTTGATCGATTGATGTTGATTCCATTCGTTTATCATTACTTGATGATGGTGAATCACTATTAACAGGATTACTAAATAAATCGCTGATCTGTTTAGCAGTAGTTGGAGTAGAATCAAAGATTGGTTCCATTGTCGCAATATCACTTGTTGATTTATTACTATTTTTTCACTTTTTGTTCTGATCCTTCAGACTTTACGAAAGGTATTGAAAATTCACGATAATATCACAATAAGAAAATAAATTGTTAGCTAATGAGGAAGAGAGAGAGAGAGAGAGAGGAGAAAAGAAAAATTGACTTGAGATCCTTTTCCAAGATGTCAACTAAATCATCATCATTAACAATGATGATTATTTGATCTCTGTTGAATCCACATCACGTACAAAAGGTAAACAATAACAGGTTCATTCACCGAAATGTGAGCTTTCCATGTAATATTTCAGGATAAATGGTCGACAATCAACTGATCAATTCTGTAAGATTAAAGAACGAGAAATTAGAAATTGATAATTGTTTCAAAAAAAGAAGCAAAATGGTCAAAACAAAAGTGAAAACAGTTTTGTGCAGACGATAAGAAGAAGATGATGATATGAAGAGTGGAAAAAACAACAAAAAAAGGTTTTCAGGTAAAACCGGAAAAAATAGAAGGAACTTAAATGTACCCAAATTTTTTGATACAATTTCCTGGTTAACAAAAACACAAATAACACTAGTAAACCAATTAATGAAAACGATTGGTTAAGATAATTGATTGTTGTTGATTTGAAAGAAAAGCAAATTGGCAAAAGGATCATGTCAATCTTACCTCTACTATTGAGTTGATTTTTGTTTATATCTTCATACAACTAATTATATGGATCATTGAGTCAACTGTCAATTATAATTGTAAGTAATCAGGTAAGAAAATGAAAACCATGATAATTACATGTTTACCTATACAAGAATTGATTAAAATAGAAACATTTTCACTAATAAACATTAAGGTTTGTTAACAATGAAATTTGTCACTATCCCAATTGAATGAGCATATAAACAAAAAAGATGCAAGTAAAAACTGCCGATAGTCAATTAATCAACCATCAGATGATCAATTAATTACCTTTTTCTATCGTAAAGGTGAGATGGTTAAACAAGAAGATACTGAGAACTCTAAACAATGTTAATTAATTTCGATTCAAGTCCAATTTAGGTTAAATTAACAACGAATATGGGAAAATATAAAAAAAAAGCAGAATAACAACACACAGATGAGAGGAAAAGAAAACACAAACCAAAGAGAGAAAAAGAAAAGAAACAAAAACAGAAATAGAATAAGAGAGAATAGAGAAAACAATCAATTCGATTACCTTTCGATGGCCAAAATAATTAGATAAACACACAATTAATTAGTTGATCAACAATTAAGAAAAAAAAGAAAAATAAACAAACCAAAGATGATAAAGATTCTCAACTAACCTTAACCAGAGATTTTCGCTTCTCTTTGTTTTTCCCTCTTTGTCTTTTATTCTCTTTCTTTTTTCTCTGTCTTTTTTTCTCTCTTTCTCTTTTGTCTATTAATTTTCCAAGGTTAACTGGTGATTTAATTTTCCATTTGTTTTTCTCATCAAATTGGTGGTTGATTGGTGATTATTTGTTCTTATTCTTACACTTTGTGACCCGGTGTATCTTCTGAAACAAAAGAAACAAGAAACATGCTAATTGTGGCTCAACGAAGGTCCATTAACGACCGTGTATTTGTAAATCTATTTAGAGCGACTGTACTTTTTACACAACTGTATTTACTAAATGGTGTTATGGATAACAAGATATAAAAAATGGAAGCTCAATCTTGATTAAATATGAAGATAATCATGATGATTAGACAATGAAGATGGACAAAAATACTCTCCTTGACCATAGGTGAATCTAAACATCACCATTTTAAAGATGTTAATTTAGTGAAATTACTAGTAGTAATTAACAATCATCTCAATGGTTACCATGAGATTGAATAATCAATCATTTTCACCCAGTTATTTGTTGACATGATGTTCAAATGGTTAAATTGTTAACAATTAGCTTTCTCTCTTTATCAACCTGTGTTTACAGTTGAAGGACATTGATTAAGGTTAACGTTGATTCACTTTGAATTAATCACAATTGTATCATGTTGATTTCTCAATCTTTGTTTGTGTTTACATAGAAAAAAAATGTAATTCGTATTGATCAATTTTCCATAATTTGGCTGTCTAAAGAAAAATTAAATTCGGTTAACAATTGAATTAGATTTTTCCAATCAGATGATTAATATTTTGATTCTTTACTTTTTGTGTTGCGTTCAAAAGAACCGCCAAATGTTACAGAAATTTTCAATTCGATTGTGTCAGAAAATTAATTCAATTAAATTCTTTGTGATAATTAGTCTTGGATTTTATTCCACCAATTAAGTTAGATCAATTTTCTCGAATTTTAATTAAAGTTCATCTAAATCTGAATCAGATTAGATTCACGACTAGATGATTTTCCGTCAAAAAAAATGTCATAAACTTTTCCTTGTACCAATTAATTGTTTGCACTTTAAATATCTTGAATATAAGTCGATATTTTGATTTTGTTATTATTGTTGTTGTTTGTTGTTGTTGTTGTTGTAGTTCAGTTTCATTGAATTGAGATAAATTATTTACATATAATACACAGAAATGTTTTGACTACATAGTGTCAGTCACTTTTTAAGACCATTGTTAAATTTAGTTGGTTGTTGATTTAGCAAAAAAAGGATTAAACATGATCTGTAAATTGTTTCATAATAATTAGAGGTCAAGAAAAAACTGGACAAACTTAAATTAAGAGAAAAAATATAAATTATGTATATAGATTTTCTTCTAGCATGCTGATCATATATAATTCGTTTTATAAGGTGATCCATTTGGTTGTCATTCGAATGGATTAACGAAGAAAAAAACACCAAACATCTTGCGGGAAATTCAGCAATTCCATTGTATCTCTAACCTTCATGATTAGTTTTAGATTCGAGTTGATTAAGACTAGAGTATTTTTCTAAATGTTTCCTCTCTAGTCTTTACAGTCATTAGTCGTTTTCGATTCTGTTTCTCTAGACGTTTTCTCTTTCATTATGATGTTATTAATTTTGGACGTATGGTAATGATGATGATTATCCGATTGTTGCGATTCGGCAAAAATTTGACACTTGATTGTCGTTTTTTTTTGCTTGAGCTCTTTTGTTAATCCACATGGATTCACCAGTATTAATCTCGTTACGTTCAATCGGGACACTTTTTTTTTGTACACCAGGATAAATTTTTTCTCGTTGAAATTTGCCATTGCCTCTTTTTAGTTTCTCTACTTGTGTTGTTGTTGTTAACGATGATAATTTAACAGAGTTGTTTTTTTTAGTGACACAATGCACACACAATTAATGATTATCGCAACAATTAATGATTTCCAAGGTCATTCACAGAGTAATTCATCATTCATTATCAGCTAGAATTGTGATTGTGATTGATAAACAAAAAGGTGTTCCATAAACGTCCATGTACTATACACATAGTCACATCTTTTTAACAGGAGAGTCACAGAGACAAAATATATTATAATATATTATTTATAATTGAAGATATGGATTGTGGTAGTTCATTTCCGGGACCATTTTGTTGATATTGATTTTAAATATATATATGTATATATTTACGTGGTATTATAGTTATATAAGTTTGTTATTTGTTTCAAACTGTGCTCGCTTTGTATATATATAATATGTATTTGGCCAATATGATTCGTTTTATAAATAATCAACATAATTTAAACAAAAAAAAGTCACGTTAATCACTCCTTCTGACAATAGAGCTCTTTCAAAGACTTTAATTCTTCAATTAAAGCTTTATTCTGTGTCTCTAGCACGGTAACTCGCTGCTCAAGGCACTTAATATACTCTTTCTTTTTCCTTCGACACTCTTTTGCAGCTTCCCTATTGTATGAGAAAGAGAGATAGAGAGAGAGAGAGAGAGAAAAAAAGAAAGAACCATTAGTAAGAACGATATTATGAAAGGTCATATAAAGAACGATATTTTGACAGATGATAACATTACAGGTAGAAAGTGATAAAACCTTTATATTGATTGATTTATATATTTACCTATTTTTTAATAAGCGTAGTTCACGTTTTTTGGTTGTTTCATCAGGATTCTGACCATGAGGTGATGTAATTGTGGTCGGAGTTGTCATAACTACACCCTGAGGTAATCCAGTTGGACCTCCTGCTCCTGTCCGTAAATGATATGCTTGTAAGTCAGCTGTTGATACAGTTACTGCTCATATCAAAAGAGAGAACGGAAAAGGTTAAAGGTGAAATAAGATTAGTGTTACTATTTTTGATATCATTTCGAAATCATATTCAAAGAAATATATATTTATATATAGATAAAGGATGAAACAGGTAGAAGAAGAAAAGTCATAGAAAAAGAAATAGAAAACTTATCAATTTGTAACAATATGTTTTCTTCAATAGAATAAAAATGATGTATCTTGTTAAAGAAGAAAAATAAATACTATCTTTCTCTCTATAGAGCTTGAAACAAGGAAAAAGAGAATGATAAATTGTGTGTGAGTGGTTTGAGTGTAGAAATGGTAAAAACAAGGAAAATCTTACCGGGAACAAAAAACTGTCCATCCTGTCCTTGAGTAGCGTACTGAACGATTCCTCCACTCGCTGCGTTTGTCATTGTTAACGTTTGTAACCCTTGGATGGTTCCATCTTGGGAAGCGGAGGCAAGTTGAATTGTCGATGTTGGTACAACTTTAAGGTATGGACTGGCTACAGCGATTGTCGCTGCATTACTTGATTCACTAGATTCACCATCATCTTCCGATTTAATATCAGCTATAGACGATGATGATCCAACATTGGTTGCTGAAAGATCATTAAAAATTTTACGATAAGATGGTCGCCTTGTAAGCCCTTCACGTCTCGCCTTGGCTTCTTCATCTAAAATGGGTGAAGGTGTTTGAGGTGGTGGTTGTTGTGATGGAATCATTGTTTCCCCATGATCACCTCGTGAACTGGAGATTAAATGTAATGGTTGAATTGAATTCATTTCATTAGCCTCTGTACTTTGTATCACGGAGCCTTGACCCCCTTTGTTTAAAAATATAATGTTCTTAGGAATAGAAACTGTTTGCACTGATGCTGCTGTTGATGAAGATGATGATGCTGCGGCTGCTGCTGCTGCTGCGGCGGCGGCTGATGCTGCCCCACCGGTTGCTTGTATGACAGATTGTTGATTGACAGGTTGGATGACAGATTGTACTACATTAGTTTGATTAGGAAGTTGTAATTGAACAATTGAAACGGCTCCACCAGGTTGAGGTACAGCTATAGTTTGTGACACTGGATTATGATTGTGTTTAATTCCAGTAGATGTTGGAGATGGAACCGAGGTGAACACAATTCCATTTGCAGCTCGCACAGGTAAACTATTAGCATTGGATCCAATAGATCCTGTTCCTTGGACTGATGCAATGGTTGTTGATGATAGCGAAGATATTGAAGAAGATGATGAAGAAGAAGAGGATGATGTTGGAGTTGAAATAAGTGTAGAAGAACAAGAAGAAGATGATATTATTGATGATGACGAAGATAAACCTCCAGTTATTGTTGTTGTTGGTGATCCAACTAATGTTGTTATATTAGAAGAAATTCTATCAAGGCTTTTAAGGGATGTGATTATACTTTCATTTGGACCATCCCTCTCACGATGGCTATCCGATGTTGGTGTTGATGATGATGTGATTACCTCTTCTTCGTCAACCGACGAATCCATCTAACAATGGAACACAATCCAGTGGGGAAAAAAATAGGTGGAGAGGGGAGGACAATGTTATCTCTCACCAATCCAGATCGATCATCAAATATGAGAAGAAGATGAGAGAGAGAGAAGAGAAGAAGAAAAAAAAGAAAAACAGAACAGAAAAAAAAGAGTAGTACAAGTAGAAAGAGGCAGAGAAAAAGAACAAGAAAAAAAACCTATGAGAGAAAATAGAGGAAAAAGAGAAAAAGAATTGAAAAAAGAGAGAAAACAAACCAAGAAGATGAAGAAGAAGATTAACAAAGATGATGAATTAATTTAGTTTCTTGTTTTGTTAAAAAAATTCCAATTCAAAAAATACAATTAGAAAAAGAAATCAAATTAAAAACAACAACAATCTTTAAATAATCAAACTCTTAATTCATTTAATTTCTCAAACACAAACATCAAACATGGCGTCGAATCAGTGGCTCCATCTGTCGAATTAAACATTCATGACCTTAATTTTTTTTCTAATTCGATTTCAAGGTCGAATGATTTGTTTTAACCTTCATTCAGAACTTTATTATCATTTATTAACATGGAAATCGATAGATAATTTTTCAAGGTTTCCATTGATTGTATCACATGATGATTATTGACAATTTAAACACGGAACAAGAAACGTAAGAAAAGGATAATTTAGCCTGAGGCTTTTAAAGAAAACAAGAAAAGTGAAAGTAAAGAAAAATAAAATTAAAAACTTTCACAATAATTACAATTAGAATTTTAGAAAATTTTAACTTAATACAATTTTTGTTCCTTAATTGTTTAACCTTCAATTTCTATTCTATTAACTTGCAAAGGAGAATCAGTTTAATCACTTTTTTTGTATTGATATTTGTCTATGAAGTTTTGTATTGAGAAAAAAAAGTTTTTTCAATTGTCTTTAAAAGTGATTAATAAGAAAATTAAGTTTAATTGGTAATTGTAGTTTTAATTGTTCTCATTAAGATTGATTGTACTCTTTAATGAAGGTTATTAATTTTTTTTTCTTTCCATTCTAAATGTTAATTGTTTGCAAATAATGATAATAATATAGATTAAGAAGGTAACTGGATTAACAGGATTGTTATGTAATTGATTAAAATGTCAAACAATTAAAAGATCAAGGTAATAATAAAACAAGTTACAAATACAATATTAAACTAATTAACGATTAGATTAAGAGAGGGATTAATTTGTAAATAAAAAGAAAATCAATTGCTTACAATTAGTAAAACTAATCGTTGGCTGATTGTTTGTAATCATAGATTTCAATTCATATTCATCATTATGATTAACTTTTCCAATGTGAATTTGATTAATCATAATCTGATTAGAATCTAGATTGTTTTCTTTTTCTCAGAAATGTTATTGATCGAAATGAGCAAACAATTAACAAGTGATTGAACTATAATTGTACAATTTTCGTTGCAATTAGTTGAATGAGAAATGTATTCAACTATTGATTATTATTATTCTCGTCAAGTTAATCCAATTTTCTGAGATAATTTGATTGCAAGACTGTAACTGATTAAGAGTAAAATCTAATCAACAGTCTAATCGATAACTAATAAGATTAATTTATCGATTCTGATAAGGGGAAAATGGAAAAAGAAATAACTGAATTAGATTAAGTGAATGGAATTAAATATGAAATTAAGAGGAGAAACAACGATTACATTTATGACAATTTCTTTTTTCTAATTCTAATTCTGGTCTCATGGATTAAATTAATCTCTTAGTTAGATAAACAAGTAAATTTCAGGAATAACAGTTAAGGTAAATGATTAATTACCTTTACGAATTTGTCTCAATGGTGAAAATCTAATAAGATGAAAACTGAATTTCAATTGGAAGGAAAGAAAATCAGTCGATGAACTTTCCATTTCTCTTTTTGTATTGAATTTAATCAATTTAATCACCGACGAAACACTTAGATCACTGTGAAGATAATCCAGATAATCCCAATGTAAATCCATTAGAATTTGGGTTCGTCCTCGATTCTAACCCTTTTCCTTTTGGTAGCGAAAACGAAATTTAATCCAATCATCTGAATAGAATTTGTTAATTGTTCTAATATAAGGTAACAATTGATGATTAACAATCTATTAAAATAAGAAGAAGAGATTTTAATTTTGTTGATTCAATTGAAATGAAAGAAAACAATTTAGTTATTTCGATGAGAAAGACAATGTTAACTTACCAGAGAAAATGCCATTCCAATTGATTGATTGTTGTTAACCAATTTAATTGTTTGGAAATTAAAATTTTGTTCTAAACAAAGTGTAATTGTAATTAGAGTGAAATAAATGGAAATTGGTGTTAATTGCTGAGGAAAATTAGATTAGTATGAAAATATTGGTACGAATGTAATTGGACGTGATTAACAATGAATAAAGGATGCAAATGGAGGAGACAAAGTGAGAATCAAACCCAATCCTGGGTTTAGGACTGACATCAAAGTTACGTCAAAGAACACTCAACAAACATCATCATCATCGTCGTCATCTTCATCATCATCATCATCATCATATGAGAGAGAAAAAAGAAAGAGATAGAATTGAGAGTAAAGCAAAAATGATTAAGAGGAAAGAGACGTTAAGAGAAATTGTAACGAAGAATGAGAAAGAAAAAGTAACAATATAACAATTAGAAAATTAAATTTTAATACATTCAAATGAAATCGATCAACATTTGATTGTGATAAAGTTGCTGATCATTTTAATATAAATTGACAATCAACTTTGATAGATTCTCGTTCAACTGATCAATCTTTTACTTTTCAATGTTACTTAAATGGATTGTTACTACTTTCTAGTGAATTTATTTGATTGTTGTCACATTTAGATGTCTTTCTGTTAATTACCTTGAGATTACGAGGTTAAAGACATTATTTTTATTTCGAACGTTCAAATGTTCAAATTTTGGCATCAACTCGATATTTTTCGTACTATTCTCTTATTTGTTTGATATTATTCTATTATTCTCTCTAAAACAGAACTTTTTAAGAATTCGCCATTTTCGTAAATCATATGGAAAAGATAAAGTCGAAAATTTTCCTTCTCTTCAATCAACTAATTGTGATTTTAATTAAACACAATTCGTTGAAAGAGCGACATCTCTCCTAGGAGAAACACTTTAATTTCTTGTGAACAAAATTTTCTTATTGTTTTTCTGCCATCTATCGGATTGCAATTTCTATTTGATTAGAAATTAATTTTAATAGCCGATAAATCCCATGTACCAATTGCCAATGCTGTCTATTGATCAATCAGTATTTAACCTAATTAATAATTACGGTTATTCATTGGAAAACCCATTCTTTTGAGGCCATTTGAGAGAAAGCAAAAGGTCAACTCTCGATAACAACCAGAGAGATTCATTCGCTTGTTTCGTACGTTTAGGCATTCACCTCGAACGCATCGTCAGTGAAAACTCAGTTTTCACTGTTTATTTTCATGCAAACTGGGTAATTCTAATTACTATTATTTAACTAAAACGAAACGAACGAAACTATTTAATAATGTCTCCGGGGAGCCCCTCAAATGACCTCTAAATGTGTTTGTCAAGGAACGCTCGCAATGACCTTGACACTTTTTGCCATTCTTTGAGTTTCTCGTTAGACATCAAAAATCAGGTCATTTAGGGTTGACATATCTCTTAATCAAAAAAGTGATCCTTCTTGTGTTCACAATGTGAATAAATCAAATCCTCTAAACAAGATCACTTGATAAATTAATTGTCCGTGTTGACTTACTGATGGTATTATTTGATTCTCAAAGCTGCCGGGTCTCTCCGGTACACTCAGTGTCTCGATGAATCGGATTAAATATAATCATGATCTATTCAATAAGTTTGACTTACACTCGAAGATCAAACAATTAAATGAACCGCCAACAATTTGATCACAATTCAATCTCCACCCATCAACGTTACCTTCGTTTACACCTTGTGATTAAATTAACTAGTGAAATTGATTCACTAATTAGTAATTATTAACCAAGTTTAAAGAATCTGATTCAATAAGAAAGTCATATGGACTCAGAGTTGAGTTTTAAAATTCCAAAAGTTGAATCAATTAAATGACCAAAAAAATTTATTATCGTTAATCAATGAATCGTTTCTCTAAATCAGCTGATCCATCATCAAGGTAACAAATTAATTTCATGATAAAATATGAAAAATATACTAAACTTTTTCTTTATTTTCTCTTAATTTTTTTTCCACTACAATCAGTTAATCAATTCCAGTTCCAATTAAATATCATCTTTCAATGTTTATTTTATGTTACTAAGTTTGAGACTATTTAATCAACAATAATATCAACCTGATATTTGTGATGATAATCAGATGATAATTGGATTTTTAATTCAAAGAGTTTTAGGTGAGTTAATTGTTTGTTCACATTTTGATTCTTTACACAATTTATCTCAAAATAGTGATACCAATCTACCAATCTAATGATTAGTGATACATTCACTGTACGTTGACAATTAGAGATGATCAAAGAAAAAGGTAAAGGAGGAGCTCAGAGGGAACTCATATGATAATGTAAATTGCTTTTCTCTGGAAAATTCAAGGTTTTGGGTGAAAAAGGTGGAGAAGTTGATTGTCAGCGTAGAATACAATTAGTTGATTTCTTTTTAATCACAGAAATTGTTGATAATCTAATTTAATCGCGATCAATATGTTCAACGAATTGTTACTTTAAAAACTGTTCGAATCTTTTTTCTCTCTTCCCTTTTCAGATCCTCTTCTTGATTAATCTTAACCAGTGTCATCATCAAGTCTAATTAATCGTCACAATTACAATTAGTTGGAACGTTATGAATTCATATTCCAAAAAGATATTTTGTTTTTGAAGAAGATGAATTCAATCTGAATCAGGATTATCTAAATCGTGCCTCAAAGGATTAAACTTTTTGTTACTTTTGAAAGATGAACTGCTTCTTAGAAGTGGACTTATAATTGATTTACTAATTGTTAACTGTTCTGTTTCTAATTGTTATAAAAATGAATAACAAAAAGATTTTAATTGCTGTTGGGACTATTGTATGTGCTACAATATTTGTCATTGTTTTGTCAATCTTTTTAACTGGTTCGTATTTTGGTGACCAAGATGAACCTCCAAAGTTAATTGTCATCTCTTTCGATGGGTTTAGAGCTGATTACGTTTCTCCGACCTTAACTCCGACCCTTTGGTCACTCAAACAAACGGGAGTGACCGGTAGGATGTTCCCTCAGTTCATAAGTAAAACTTTTCCCAATCATTTCTCAATAGCCACTGGACTTTACGAGGAATCTCATGGAATCGTTGCCAATAATATGTACGATCCTGAGTTGAATTTAACATTTGACCTCTCCCATAGCACTCAAGTTTGGTGGGACAATGGGTACTCATTACCTCTTTGGGTAAGTTTTCCAACTCATTCCATTGATTATTAATTAAGTTCCACCATTTATTCAATGAACTAAATTCAGATGGAAGCTAAACTTTTCTATTATTAATTATTTCTGTTGATAATCAATTGGAATCAATGATTTTTTCAGGCTCATCAATCTTCATCAAACTTTAATTGTCATTGTTACTATGCTATTTACTACACATCATTTTTGAGTTATTAACGATTAATTGTAATTGTTATTATGTTTTCTTGTTGCTCTTCCAAATTCTAGATTGCAAATCAGAAAAAGAGCAATCGAAAGAGCGGAGCGATCATGTGGCCTGGATGTGGGTTCACCTTTGGTGGTGATCGAGCATTTTACTCAGTTGAATTCAACCGATCAATTGATATGAAGGGTCGAGTTGATATTCTCATGAATTGGTTTACCGATAAAACTAATCCTGCTAATCTTGTTTTCCTTTATATTGAAAATCCCGATGATACTGCTCACAAACATGGACCCTTTGGAAATGAAACTTTGGCCCAGGTTCGAATGGCCGATGAAGCGGTAGCCTATTTATTGGAAAATTTAGATAATCACAATTTAACCTCATCAACCAATATCATCTTGGTTAGTGATCATGGTATGGAAGAGTTTAAATCAACCACTACCGTTAATTTAACCGAATTGGTTCCTGATCAAACTTCATTCCAACAATTTGGTGGATCTCAAGCAATTAGTATTCTACCTAATCCTGGAGTAGAAGATCAAGTTTACCAAATGTTCAATACTCTTGGTAAAACTAATCATTTCAGAGTTTACAAGCGAGATGAGATTCCCGAGGAATATCATTACAGGTAATCAACAATTAACTAATCTCCTGAGTAAACTTTAAATACCCTTAACATGTAATAATCACACAGAATTAGTCTCAATGTTATACATTAATAATTCAATAGTATTTTCCACCATTAATTTACCACGAGAACAGATCGTTTCCCGATTAATAATCAAGTATAAGTAATAATTACTTGTTCTTTAATTGTTATACTATTTTAAATATCCTTTGAAACTGTAATCAAATCGACAGTTTATTGTGTTGATTTAATTATTAATATTTCCCCATTTAGCAATTGACATTAACTGAAAATTGGTCCAGTAAAGTCTAAAGTAATTGAGATTAAAAAGTAAATTGTCACAATTATAATTGAACAACAATTCTCACACACCTTCAACTAAAACAATAAAAGTCGAATTGGTTATGGTAATTGTTATCAAGAATAATTAATTGTTTGCTTTTCCTATTCCAGAGATAATATAAGAATCCAACCAATTCTATTGGAGGCTGAACCAGGCTATGAAATAGCGTTCAGTTCCTGGAAACATCCTGATTCCATGTGGGGTAATCATGGTAATAATAATACTCAACCGGAAATGGAAGCGCTTTTTATTGCCTCAGGCCCTCAATTCAAAGATTCATTCAATTTAAATGGAACCTCATTTTTCAACATTGATCTTTATCCAATTATGGTTGATATACTCAACCTCAATGTTGGTAATTACAAATGCAATGGAACTGATTTAATTACGAGAAATTTACTTGCTGAACTTTAAATTATTAGTAAAATTGTGTAATTGCATTTATTAAACTATTCTTTCATGTATTAGAACAATTGAATTTTAATTCAAATTATAAAAGAAAATTTTTCCTCAATTTAATCAACAATTAACTTTGAGAGAATCTAATTATCCAAGAATATTGAATATCTTTGATAAACTTTTTGTAGAAATTGAAATTTTCTAACTTTTTCTTAATAGAAGAGAGAAAATTTCAAGAATTAATTTAGTGTTTACATGTAAGTTTGATCATAGAAATAATTGATTATAATGATCAAAATTTTCCGATTTTATTCTGTGAACAATTAACGTAACATTGGTTAAGAACTAAATTTATTTCTCACCAATGTTTTGTTTTCTTTTCACTAAGAATCAGGATTGAGATTCTGATCACAACGATTAATTGGTTTGAGAGACAATTATGAGATATCAAAAAAATATATGAAACGATATGAGTTGATTAATTCGCAATGAATTTAATTGTTTAAATTAATTTTGAATTTTGATTGGATAACATGAAAAAAGTGGCTACGAATGTTTGATTTAAATGAATTGTACCAATTGATTAAACGTTTTCGACGAAAAGTTTTATGTTCTAACGATAAACTCATTTCTTTCTCAATTAATGTTGGCAATTCGTGGGTCCAATTGGCGATATATATCACAGGGGCAGAGTGTTTTTTCAATAGACGATAAGCTGAATTGGGATCACAATTTGATTTATGGCCTTTTACATGGTTCAAATTTTCCTCGACAACGGGCAGTGAACCAAAAGCAAAAGCTTCATAGATACGATAACACTCATGATTCATTCCAATGGGACTAAGGGTCAGATCAGATAAACGAAGAGCTTGAAGGTATCGGTCAAGAGTTTCACTTGTCTCATTCGGTTCCCATTCTGATCGACCTTTAATGAAACATGTCCCCTCATCAAGAGATTTCAACACCTCCATCAGTTCACTTCGAGAGGAATTTGGGTAAACGGTACCCAGAAAATTACAAGTATATGGATTTTCGAGTCGTAGGTTGAGTTTAGTTGCATCGGGATTTGGAAAGTTACGATAAGTGGCTACTCCCAAAGGCCATTGGTAAATTTCATTATCATCAATATCTTTCCAATCGTAAACGGTGAATAAAAATTTCAACGGTCCACCATTTGAGGCGAGATATTTTTTAATCCAATGGTTGAAACAAAATTCGTGACCAAGGAGAATCGCGCCAACATTAAATGGCTGAACATCTCTGGATGATGATAAATGATTGAATTTCTCTAACCATTGCTTGGCGAAATCAATTTTTTCCTTTGAACGTCCATTCAGAACAATAATCATATTCTTAGTTCCAGTTGACGATTCTTTCAGAATATTTTCATCGGTGGTAAGAAAATTTTCCAACGATTGTGGTGTAAGTGATGGACCACTACGGAATTTAACCTTAAATTGGTCAAGTTTTTTGAAACCATATTGATAGAATTGACTTTTCTTGCTAATCTTTCCCTTCAAAATATGTTCCCAGAGATAATTTCCAATAGCGGCTTTGGACCAAATTTCGATGACAGTAAATTGATTATTTGAAGATTTTTGTTTCTCTCCATTTGGTTTATTATTATTTTCACCAATAGCATTTGATAATTTGCTTCCATAAACATCATCAACTGGACCCCAATAATTGTAATCAATCATATTACTTGAATCATTATGTTTGATAAGACTAATCAAATTGTGAGCTCGTTCTTCAAGAGGATCAGATGACGATGGTACTTTATAAAGGAATATAAATGCTGTATAAGTTAAAATGAGAACACTAATCACAAAAACAGCGATTGTGTAATCTTTTAACGGAGTCATTGGGGAGCAAAAAGTTGATTGTCTAAATCAATTTGCCTCTAGGAAATTAGACCAAAATGTAATCCAGATGAATCTTCATTTCTTTGCAAATAAAACACAACATAACATTGACCTGTAAAAGAACAAAATACAAAAAAGAGATTAATCCATAATCCATTTACAAAATGTAACATAACTTCATATCAATAACAATTCAATTTAATTCCAATCAACAGTAATTAAATTTCTTACCTAATTTATCAACAATAAAACCCAAAGAGTTAAATTTAAAAATCATCTCTTTGTTGTTGTTGTAAGATGAGAATCATTTACATGGACGAGAATAAAAAAATCACTACAAACGGTAAACTAATCACCTTAACGAATGATAAATTGTTTAAAAGAAAAGAAAAATTTGGCACAATTAGTTAATTAATCAACGAGAAGAAAAATAATTTGTTGAGAAATTGAGAGAAAATGATTTTCTCAAAATCTTCAAATGTTTACATTTCTTTTCGATTAATCGATTTCAACAATTTCGATAATCGAAAAATTTTATTTGTTGTTGATTTTTATTCAATTTAAAATCCTTACACCTTTTAGTTGATTAGAATGACAGTTAATAATTAGTGATTAGTTTTAGTTAACAATTAATTTTAACCATGGATCCTTGTGAAACAGTTTGTTTACTTGAGAGTTTCACTGAATACGAAGAGGTTCAAACGTTAATCGATCAATGTATTTCTTTGGATACTTTGAACTGCTCGGATAAAGATAAACAACCAGCCCGGTTAATTGTTGAATCTATTTTTGAGACATGGGTTAAAATTTTTGACCGTTACCAGGAACAACCTCATCTTATTGATCGTCACATTGGTTCAATATTAACCCAATTAATTGGTCCAATTTACCAACAGGCCAAGAAAAGTGATTCGCCCTCAATTCCTTCAATCTCCTATCATACCTCTTGTAATTTCATTTATCATCTAAGTAAAGTTAGAGGATTTAAAAATTTGGTTCGACATTTTCCTCACTCAGTTACTGATTTAGAAATTGTCATCTACCTGTTAACCCAAGAATCAACTCAAAATCTGGTTACCTGGCGTACACGATATGTTTTATTACTTTGGTTATCACTTTTGGTCACTTTACCTTTTGATTTTAAGAAATTTGATTCAACCGAAACGGATAATCAACAAAAGCCACTCATCGAAAGGTAAACTTAATTTTTACGTTGGAACAATTGATCAAATGATCTTTTATTAGAATTATTTTCAAATTTTCCTTCATTGTTTGTTAATCCACAGATTATATGACTTGATTAAAGTTAATCTAATTGTTGGAGACACACCGAGAATCGCAGCCGCTGTTGCCTGTGCTCGCTTCCTAACAAGGCCTGAAGTATCAAAGATTTACCTTGAAGGTCACATTGATTGGTGTCTAAACGTTAGTAATTTAATTTATTCTATACGAAACTAACAATTAACTCTTTTTTTCACTCGTAAAGGTTATCGATGAAGTTTTCAATGATCCAATGCATCTTAATAATAGAATCGGTGTTCTCACTTCGTTGGCTTATATTTTCAAGTTTGGTAAACGTGAAGATATCTCACCTTTTGCTAATAAAGTTCTGATGAAGATAATTGATCACAATATACTATCACAATCCAAGCATCTTTTGGTTAAAATAATGGTGAAAATAGCCCAAAGAGTTGGTCTTAGTTTGCTTCGGATTAAAATTGCTTCCTGGAGATACTCAAGAGGCCGTCGTTCAATACTGGACAGTTTAAGACAAACAGATTCAAAATCAGGAACCAATTCCGGTGATGAGAATACTTCAACCACTGAAGATGATGACGACAATTATCATGTTCCCGATGAAATTGAAGATATTATAAGTGTACTTTTAGACGGTTTAAGATTTAATAGTAATCTTGTTCGTTGGTCAGCAGCTAAAGGTATTGGTCGGATTACAAGTCGATTACCTCGTCTCATGGCCGGAGAAGTTGTTTCAAGTGTTCGTGAGCTACTTGATTCACCTGAAAACGATGGCTCTTGGCACGGTGGTTGTTTAGCTTTAGCCGAACTTGCCAGGCGTGGTTAATATTACCCGATCAATTGTCGCAAGTTCTTCCTCAGATAATTAAAGCTTCCGTTTATGAGGAATCCCGAGGAAACTTTTCCGTCGGTGAAACAGTTCGTGATGCTGCTTGTTACGCATTTTGGGCCTTTGCACGAGCTTATGACGCTGAAATATTACGACCTTTTCTCGATGGGATAACCTCAACTCTATTAGTAGTTTCTGTCTTTGATCGGGAGATTAGATGTCGACGAGCAGCTTCAGCAGCCTACCAAGAGACCGTCGGTCGATTAGGATCTCATAATGTTCCCCATGGAATTGAAATATTAACCACAGTTGACAATCAAGCGGTTGGCAGAACTCGAAGAGCATTTCTTGAACTAAGTGTTTTCGTCGCACAATTTAACAACCATCTACAACCATTAATTTACCATTTACTTGATGCAAAAATTAACCATTGGGACCAAGAAATCAGATGTCTCAGTGCCGAAGCGCTGGCAAGCTTAATCAAATTGGCACCTAACGAATTGATAAATGATTTAATCATTCCAACAATTTTATATAAAACCACAAGCTCTGATTTAGCTACGAAACATGGATCGATAATAGCACTTGCATGGGCTATACATTCAATGAACCAAATGAACATTAATTGTCCAAATCAAATTCTGGAAGGTATTGAACGAATATCAACTGAGATTAAATCGTCACTTGGATTCAAAGGAGTTAAAGGTGAACTTTTCCGTTCGGCGATTTGTCTTCTAATCGAGAAAGTCTCTCTCTCGTGTCTACCAATCGACAAACAATTTATTCTCAACTGTTGGATTGACATTCTAAAAGATTGTGTCTTCCATACTAATGAGACAATCAGGAGTAAAGCGATAACGGGATTTGTGGCTTTATATGATAACTATTTCATTGGTCAACCGGAGATTGGACAAATTTGGACTAAACATTTACTCGAAAATTGTGTAACTAATCTTGAACATGTTCGATGTGGATCATTGGAAGCTCTTGGATGTTTACCAGTTTCAATCATTTCCATTGAGATGATAAAAATTATCTTCGATACAATTTTAACTTCTCTTAATTCAATAACACCCGATGAAAGTATTTGGTTTCAATGGAAAGTTTCAGCAGTTAATTGTTATACTTCACTTTTATTACAAATGGATAATTTAACAATCTCAAGTTTAAATAGTCTAGTTAATCAAATTATCGACCACAATTTAAACGTGGCAATTGAAGATTATACAACAAGCAGTAAAGGAGATGTCGGTGAACCAGTTCGCATTTCAGCAATTAACTCAATTAGGGTAAAACTTTTAACCCTCGAAAATACTTACTGACAATTAATTTGTTCTATTCTTTTTTTTCTTTCAGAAAATAGTCTTGCACCTCCATGGATTATCTTGTGAACTATTAAACTACGACTTAATCAATCGAATAATCAATCAATTACTAATCCATTGTGTTTCCCATCACAATGAGATGCGTTTGGTTGCCGGTGAAAATTTTTTCCAAATTGTTCATGGGTAAGATGAACTTACAGAACTTGGATAAATTGATTTACTAATTATATTTTTCTTTCTTCCAATTGTTTGACAGGATTGGTAAACATTTCCATTTAGATGATTTAATCACCATGTTACCCTGTAAAGATGAAATATCCACCATTCATTTTAGAGATGAATCTAATTTTAATATTTGGTTTCCGATTCTAACAATTGAAAGATATTCATATAACCTTTGGAAAGGTTTGGTTATGAGTACCGGAGGAAATCCCAGTTCAATTGTAAGCCAAATTAGACAATATTAATTTACTAATCAAGTAAATTAACTTGTTAACAATGAGTTACAGTCTCATAATCATTTCCTTTTTAAGTTAATTTTGTTTCTCTCTCTCTCTCTCCAACTAACTTTGATTATTTTGTTATTTTCATTTATTGTTAAGGTTAAAACTTCAATGGCCGCTCTTCTAAATCAACTTAAATCAATCAAATCAACTGATAAGGATAAATTTAACCAAATTATTGACATTTTTATAAATGTTTACCAAGATAATTTAACAGTGGAAAGAATGTGTTTACAATTGATAAATACTCTTAATTCCATGGTGATTTCTGGAGTATTTAATGATTTAGAAGAGTCAAAAATTAACATTCTAATTGATAAAAGTTGGTCGATTGCGAAAATAACAGCGATTCCTAAGAAAAAAGTGGCAACCGTTCAACTTTTATGTAACTGTTTACGTTTTAAAGGTAACAATTTAAAATTAATTAACATGAAAACATCAGTTAGTTTGTTTCTCCTAAATAAACAATGGGAAAAATTTTTATTTATATTTATGTAATATATGGATGATGGAGGTTGATAAGGTGGAGGAATATTGCTAAAAGAAAAGTAGTATTGGAAGAGTGGAGTGGAGTGGGTGATGGTGGTGGTGGTGGATAAGAGGGAGACTGGGCCAATCTTTTTCACTCCCTGGTGTATTGGTACAATTTCACCGTTATCGTTGTATTTGAATGTGATAATTGTCATTGAGAGAAAGGTGAGAAAAGGTTATGTGTTTGCTGGACAATAGGGTCAGTTTTTTAAAAGGGAAATTGGAGAATCACTTAAGTCTTGAATCTTTTTTTTTTCTTTTTTTTTCTTGTTACAAAATATCGTTTTGTTTGTTTGTTTGTTTGTTGATCATTTGATGTAGACTTCTAATTGTGATTGGTTAATTGTTCTTGTTATTGTCTTTTCTTTTTCCAGGTTTACGCAAGAAATGTTTGAATATTTTATGCATCTTTCTATGTACCAAATATCCTTTTGTACGGACCAACACGGCAGACGAATTGTATACAGCGTTAATGATTTATGAGGACATTTTTCAAGATAATCTGGTTGGTGTTAACAATGAAGATAAAATGGATCATAATGAAGATGGTGATGAGAAAAACGATGCTGAAGATGAAACTAAACAGGAACAAGCTCTTAGACTTTTGACGGAAACTGATTGGAACAAAGAAAGAAGCATTTTAATACCAATCAAGGATAAATTGAAGAGCCTTTTGAGCTTGTGATTGGTTTGGATGATGGATCTCAATCTTTGTTTACGTGTGTAAATGAATGAATAATCAGTTAGTTTGTAATAGAAACGAAATGAAACAATTGATTAATTCGTGTTTTTGTCCAGTGCGTTAATTGTGGAGAGAAATTGAGAAAGAGAGATTGAATTTTTGTAAAGAGGAGAGAGAGAGAGAGAGTGGATATTAGTGATGGAAAATGAAAATAAAGGTGAATAAGGGGAAAAACAAATGAAATTAAGCAAGTTAATTGTTACGATTTAGGGTGGAAAGGTAGAAAATGCAAAGAGAACATTAAATTAGACGTAGAAATGGAAAAACAGAGGAGGGGAAGATGTTGAAGGTCGTTTTCTCTCTTATTTTCTTTTATTTTCTTCTCATTCTGGTTCAGGGTTTTCATGACATTTGTTGATAAGGTTCAACATAAGTAGCAGGAAAATATCCTTTTCGTCCTTCAATTTCACCTTCCCACCAATTTTGATCTGAATTATCGGTAACCGTGATAACATCACCTCTCTTGAAACCAAGCTCACCATTTTCTTGTGGTGTAAAGTCATACATGGCTTGTACTAGTATCTCATCAGATGGTATTTGTATATCTCTTAGTTTAATATCTTGGGATCGGGAGACTGAGGCAGATCGATGATATTCAATCAATTCATTAAGTGAATTAAATTTAACCACCCAGAGGAAAAATTTACCCTGAGTATCACGAAGAACTTTAAAATGTTGAACATAATCACCACACTTTACCGAAAGAGAGAAATCACTTGGTGAACTTTCACTGACCCTTATGAGAAAAGCTCCTTCATGTTGGGTGATTAACAATCTTTCTGCATCAGCACGAGAAATTCTACCATGATACCAATCGTGAGGTTTCATTTGAATATAATTACTAGGAATTAGGCCTTCTCGACCCTCCAATTCAGCTCGGTACCAATTAACATCATCCTCCATGTTTAATATTTTTAGAGTATCAAATTTACGGAAACTTAATTCATCTTCAGCTGTAGCATTGAAATCATGCTTAGCAATGGCTTCCATGATTAACACAATTGAAAGAGAGAGATAATAAGACAGAGAATAGAAAACAAGAAAAAAAAGAAACAATTAGATAAAAAAAAGACAAAGAGATAGATAGAGAAAGAGAAACAGAAACAGAGAAAGAAAGATAGATAGAGAGAGAGAGAGAGAGAGTAAAGATAGAGAAAGATAAAAAAGATGTTAGAGAAACTAGAAGAAGAAGAAGAAGAAGAGAACACTTTTTGTTTTGGTTTTTTGTTCTTCTCTTTTTTAGTGGAGAAAACAGTTGAAAGAAAATCAATCACAATTTAAATGGTTTTAATTACTAAAACGTATGTTTAGTAGAACAAAGTTGATTAATTGAGAGAATAAATTAATAAAAATGATCGAAATTAAAGAAGAAAAAAAGAAAATACAAAATAAACAAAACACTTAAATAATGAATTTCATCCAGAATAGTGACTCTTTCATACGACTGTCAGTTCATCAATGAAAGAGATTTCATTCTTTCTCCCTAGAGGTCATTTTAATCATCGCATTTATTTTCTACTGGAAGAAATTGTTTATCTTCAATTAATCACAATTAAAAATCTATAATCAATCAATTGATTAACTACAGACGATGAAAGATCAACTCTTTCTCCCATTAACAAATCAACAACACACAACAACAGAAAAGGAAAACATTTACTATTTTCATGAGAAAATTATGATTCTTCTCAATCAATTTAATTCTTTTAGATTTTTTTTTCATTCTTTTTCTATTAATAATCAACCCTCTCTCTCTCTTTGTGTCAACTGATTAACAGCCTAATTTCCAAGTGAATTGTAAGATTGTTCAACTAATCCCCAAACAGATTAAACTAATCATCAATTAACTTGGTTAACAAAAAATTTTCTCCAATCAAATGATCAATTTTTTTTCTTTGTTCTATCAGGGGATCGATCAAATTTCGCGCTCTGTTGCCATGGAGACATTTATGTAACATTTTAAAGAGAAAATGAAAAAGTGCTGCCATCTCGTGAATAGAAAATAACTACTTTTATTGTTGAGAAAATTTTTTCAATTTCGATTAATTATTAGTTCGTAATTATTTTCTATTACAATTAATTTTTAAGATATTAACTTAATCATTATGATCGAACTTTATTTTCTCATAATTATTATTATCATCCAACTAGTGGAATGTGAATAATAATGATTGATTATCTGCTTCTTGTCTGAATTTATGTCAATTAGTAAACTTTACAATTGCAGTTGATTAATATTTGTGTTAAAGTTAATTAATAGATAGAAATTAATTGTTTCATTTGCTTCAATCAACATTAGGAAACAAGTAGAAGAAATCAATAAAAAGTCAATAATTAAATTGAAAGTCACTTACAAGGTCCGATAATTTATTTATATGGTGAAGCAATTTATTGATCAATTATTGGGTTGAATGAATAATAATAAGCTAATCATAATTAGTTAGGAAACCAATTAACTTGACAATATTATCATTAATATTGATTTACCAATGAATTAAATGTAAACTGTTGATTTAGACATATACAAATGAGCATATAACTAATTTAAGTATATAAATGATAATAATTTGACTTAATTAGGCTAATCACTTTTAATTGACCATGTAAACGTCTAATCAAATTGGGGTTAACAATGAATTACAGTTAATTGTATTGATACATTTACCCAATTACATAAACAATAAGAAAACAGTTTATGTCTAATTAACTAAACTAATCATTATTTTTAATAATTATATTGCTCTTAAGATTGATTAACCCATTGAAAAGCAAAAGAAACAGTAATAAAAACAATTAACCAGCAATTTATTGATTGTAATTTTATTCCAATACAATAACATTCATAATAAAACAAGAGAGTAAAAATAATTTGATTGAAGATCAATTTGTTTATTAATTTGATTACAATTATTGTTATGTGACAATTAAGCTCACAAAACAAAACTAATGGTACAAAATTTAAAATGGTTCATTGATTGAACTAAATTACAATTGATTGTTGATGGGAAAAAAATAAACAAGGGATTAGATTGTGTTAATTAGTTCAAGTCGTTTAGTTAATTACACCAAACACACCTGAAACTTTGCTCACCTTATTTTAATTATTTCTGAGGTTGAGACAAAGTCCGAGGCACGTTCAACATAACTGGACGCGACTTTTTCGGGATCAATATTTAGATTAAAACAAGAAAAAAAAAATCTAATACTTATCACATCTCAAGATGTAAATATTAAAATACAATGGACACAGTGGTCAATCAGATGACCATCAGTACCTGAAGATAATGATGATAATGATGATGAAGATGATGATGTTATAAATGGTTCAAGCACACCTGAAACTTTGCTCACCTTCACATATAAATGTATTTAATTACAGAGGTACAGAGAGACAATAGTTCAGGCGGGTATGAGGACCATTTATTAGTCAATCATTGTCACTTGAATGGTCAGTTTAACGTTAAAGTGTCACAAAATAATGAATAATGCCCAGAGAGAGAGAGAGATGAAAATCCAAATTGATTATATTCCATCGAGGGTCAGTGGTCATCGTTGGTTGAATAGGTGAGAGTTTCAATCTCACTGAACACACCTGAAACTTTGCTCACCTAAATGAGTGACCTTTGCATATCTAAGGTTGAGACAAAGTTCCGGGCACGTTCAGCGAAATAATCGGAACTTTTTCCAGTCCTTTTCACAAGATTAAGTTAATCACATGAACAAAAGACATTGAGACATGGATTAAGTTTTATTATCATTGAAACTGGAGAGAAAAAAAAAATCAAAAAGATTAACAACTTACCTGTTTTATTAGCATTATTATTATCATTCATTGATTAAGATTAGTACCTTAATAAACCAGTTTGAGATTTGATTTGAAATTGAAACTGAAATTCAACAGAATCAGCGTATCATCATCATAATCATAATCACCATCATCATCACCATCAAGGTATCCATGGTGTTAATTGTTGTTAGATTATCATTTCCATAAAACTGATACAGTTGAATCAATCATATGGACACAATAAAAGACTCACACACACCCAATGAGTTCGTGATTACACCAAACACACCTGAAACTTTGCTCACCTTATTAAAATTCATTTTTCTGAGGCTGAGACAAAGTCTCGGGCACGTTCAACATAATTACAGTTAAGTTTATCAATCAGATTGTACGTTTTACACGAGCACACACATTAAATTGTTGTCGACAACAACAATCAACCACTTACAATTGAATTGACCAAATCACAATCATATTGTACCTACAATCAAGAGAGAGAGAGAGAGAAAAAAAAAATAGAAACAAGAAATGATCAAATTAAATGATTCATTGAAGTCTCTCAATAATAACACGTCAACATATACAATATATTATTTATTGGAAAACTACAAAATGCAAAATAATAATCAACAATCAAGCAAAAGTTAACCTAATCATCGTTGATGATGAGGATGATGAGGATGATGATGATGAGGCTACACCCACTCTCCAATTGATTTCTCCTTAACCTCCTTCTCATCCTCATCCTTACGGACTTGAAAACCTAATAATAACCATGAACAATATTGTTGATACATAATAATAATCAACTTGATTATCTAATTATATATGCGTTTGCAATTTGAATAAATTAAAAACTTTTTTTTCTTCTCGTTATGTTTTCGTTGTAGTTTTACAATTCAAGCTCAAAAAAAAAGTTTTATCATTGGAAACTTCAATACATTCAGTGTATCCTCATTCATCCGGTAATTTCATCATTTTGATGATAAGGATGATCATGCATCAATTAAAGATGATGCTGATGATGATTATGAAGATTAAGAAGTAAAAAAAACAACTACTGAAGATGATACAAAATTGATGATCATTTTTCATCTTTTCCGTTTTTATTTTATTTTTTTTCTTCTTATTTCTTGACAGACAATGACAAGCTATTCAATGTTAGAGTTTTTTTTTCTTCCAGGACAAGTTACATGTTTGTCAACATGAGTGAAAATTTCATCATTATCATGAATCTTTACTGAAACAGAGGAGATCATTTATTGAATATCATCATCATCTTTGATCTTAATACATTCTTATGAACGTGACTAGATCATCTTTGGAAAATGACTTGATGATTATTATTGTATAATATCAACAGGGAATTGAAATTTTCTTTTGAAAAATTTTCTTTTCCTTTCTTATCCATTATAATGTATGCAGAATGTTATATTTATTCAATGATGTTGAGAGAGAGAGAGAGAGAGAGAGAGAGTTCAGGATAAACAGAGGAACTTTTCATCGTCATCAATTTCCACCCTCAATCTCATCTTCCATCTTCATCTTTTTCCCTTCAACAACAACCTGAAATTCAATTTACTAGAAAACGAAAAATTGATTTTCTTGATTTTCGAAAAAAAATCAGATCATCTTCTCTCTACTCAAGTGACGATCAAATTGTTGGAAGTATCTGATGATGAAGATAATGGTCAACAAGATGACCATTGATGATTGTAAGATCATTTGACATATAATCGATTATTTAATCAACTCTTTTATTTCATTTTCCTTAAAAAATCCTCTTTTTTTCATCCAATTTCTGCTGATCATTAATGATTAGCATCATCATGAATCATCTTTCCTCATTTTATCTCCATCATCCTCATCTTTTTGTCTAATTAATTTTTTTCCTCTCCCATCATTTCCTGATCCTCAACTTTTTTCACAACATTTTATTATTCTTGAACATTGTGTCAACCTGATGATGAGGATAAGAGATGAGGATGAAATTTAAACTCAATCTAGATTAATGTAATAAGATGACGACAAACTAGAAACCAATTATTATCATTATCATGATGGTGAATCTTGATGATTAACAGTTAAGAGATAACAATAGTTAAAGTTGGAATTTGTTGTTGATCCAATTAAGGTGTCAACTAATCAATTCAGTTAAAGTACAATTGAAATTGAAAGTAAACGATGATGATGCTAACAAGAAGATGAGGATGGAAAAAGAAAAAGAAAAAAAAGAAAAAGAGAGAGAGAAGAAAATGAAGATAAAGGTTAAATATCAAGTAGAAGGAGAAGAAGATGATGATGAGAGATAATGATGAGGATGGAAGAAAGAAGATGAGAGGGGAAGTTCTAAAGACAAAGTTTTTCTTTCATCTTCTTCAATTCTAACCATCATATCCTCATCATCATTGTTGATGCTCATGTCGTTGTTGTTGTTGTTGTTTCAAAGTTGACAAAATGAAAAAAAAACACTTTCATCTTCATGATGATGATGAAAAATGCTCGAGGTGATAATATCCATGTGTGTATTTGTGTTTGTTATATAAATAATATCACAAAGAATCAGATTAATGGCCTTAAGGTAAAAGTAAACATTGACAGGTCTCCAAAAAGATATTGACCAAAAGTATGATAATAATAATAATATTGAGATATATTTATAATAATCATTGATGCTGATGATGAGTGATGAAGTAGATATGATGACCAGAATGACCAAAAGTTATGAAGCCTTTTTAATTTGTTGATTATGATGAAAAAGTAAAGGTTAAGTTTTATTTATATGTGAACAAGTTAAATATGATGAGGATGAGGATGATTATCAACATCATCTTGATGATGATTTGTTGACTTTGATCAAAATAAAACTGATGAGGATGAAGATGAGGATAAGGATGATGTGAACACTTAAGTACACATAATTTTTGGTAAGTAAACTTTGCAAATAATAACAATCAAAATAATCAATAATTTCATCAAGTAAACTGTGTTAACCATAAAACTAAAATTTTCTTACACATCATGATGATCATAATCGATTGGCTATTGATTAAAATTATCATTTGATATTCAAGGTGTGACAAACAAAAAATAAGCTTCATTTTTGGTTTGTTTGTCTATCAGGGTGAGAAAATTTCAGAAATCATCATGAAAATAACGATATTGGCTTGAAGATGAAGATGAAGGTGTATGAGGAAGTCTGAATGTTATTTTTTTCTCCACCTTTACAAATGGATAGAATTTCAAATAATCAATTTATTCTGGATTGTTTATCATGGAATTGGCTGGAGAATGGGAAATGAGAAAGAGAGTTGTGAGTGAGAATGATGATTTAGTTCAGTGGAATCTGAATTTGAGAATTGAATTCAATTGAATTGAAATCTTATTATTATTTTTTTTTCCTTCTTTCTTATTTTTCTGCTGTTGTTATTTTATCTTCCGCTGAACTTTTTTTTTCTTGGTGTAAGATTTGTTATAACAACAACATGATACAGTTTAGTATTTTTCTTTTTCAATTCGTTTTTTCATTCCCACTGTTGATTCAGAATTGAAGATTATCATCATCATCATGGAGAAGATAAAGATGAGAGGAAAGAAAATCGTGTGGCGAAAGGAAAAAGAACTGATAAGAATTGAATAGATTCTGAAGATGAAAAAAGATGAACATTGAGAGAGAAATCTCTCTCTCTCTATCTCTCTCCTTTTCTTCATCATCTTGACTATTAAAATTTACTTGCATAGTTGATTATTTATACAAAATAAAGATGCGGATGAAGGAGAGGAAAAGGAAACTTTCATCTTTGGAATCAATGAAAAGATTGAGAAAAAAAATAGATGAAGATGAATAAAAATTTTCAACTGTAAAGATTTTCTTGTAATCATCTTCATCTTCACAGTGATGCTAAAAAGATGATGTATATTTATATCTATCAAAGAATGAGTATATACTTGAAGATGATGAAAAGAAAAGTGAAATCATCAATATCTTCAGGGGAGGAAATAAGACCAACACACATAAAGAAAGAAAAAGTTAATCGAAATGAAAATTTTCATCATCAGAAACTTATGGTCAATATGATTATGGAATCAATTGTTATCCTATGAAAAGAAAAATAATAATAATAATTCATAAGATCAATCACTTTTTTTTCATCCTTAGAACTGAATCATCTTAATTTTATCATCACCTGAGAAATAATTCCGCTAAATGTTTAACTTATCATGAGATTTTTCACCACCAAAGTTGAGCTGAACTCTACGAGATGGCGCCACCCAACAGAAGGCACAAAAAGTTCCAGAATTTTTGATTTTTGCACAATCTTTTTGACAAAGTTTTCGCCTGATGATAAATAATAATTACGATTGAACATGGAAACATTTTTCTTATTTTTTCTGTACGAAAACTTTTTACTTCTTCTTCATTTTGATTGAATTTCTCATACAACATAACTTTCAGGTAGATTGAAAGTTCAAGAGTAATAACTTTTTCTGCTGAGAAATTGAGTTTCTGTTGAAAAGATGAAGTAATTTTTTTCTTCTCTTCTTTTGGAAATAAAAAAAAGAGATGAAAATGATAAAGCATTGATAACTTGTACTTACGATTGAGCAGCAAAGACTTTCGTGCTCAGTATATATCTACACAATCATCTTCCTTTAATCATCATCATGAAGATAATCATCATGATCATTTTTGATGAGAAATGAAAAAAAAGAAAGAAAAAAACTGAAAAATCGAATCGATAAGAATCAAGAATTGAAGTGAGAAGATGTACCTTTATATATATTACAATCTAAAGATGAAGATGATGATAAGCATGATGAAGATTCAAAAGATAACTTGAGTTATCTTTTCAATTTCATCATGAAAATAGAGGAGGAGAAGGAAAAAAAATGAATGAGCTGAAAACTATCCTGGGTCATTCAAATTGTCTGATATTACATTTACTAGATAATAAAAGACTTTAACTCATAATCTCCAGGAAGAAGATGATAAAAAACTATTCCGAACATGTTATCATCATCATCATCTTCTTATCCACCTTCACCTCCACCTCTTCACCACCATCATGATTCTGTAAGAGGGTCACTTCAATTTTTCACCTCTTCATTTCTTCATCTTTAAAAATTTTTTTCTTTCCAATCTCTTTCTATCAACTCGAGTTTTTTTTTCTTCTCCTCATCGTCATCATAATCATCACAAGTTCCATGATGATGGTGATACCATCATCATCATCATCACCATCATTTCTCAATTGTCCTTCCGCCCTTGACTGATTCTTTGTTAATCTTTCGATTGTTTGTCAATCGATTCATCATCATGTGAGCTTTACTTTCTCATCATCATCATTGAAAGATGAAAAAAGAAGAAAAATAAAGGAGAGAAAGGAAAAGAAAGAAAGAAAGAGAGAGAGATAGAGAATGTCACAAATCGATTTCTACTTTCACCTCATCATTCAAGAACATCATCATGATGGAAAATAACGAAAGGACAAAAATCGATAATTTTACCTGCTTATTGTTCAAACTTCTTTTTTTACCGTTACTTTTTCTCTTCATCATCATCATCTTCTCCCTTTATCTTTTCAACCATCAACTTACAATTGTCTAAATTTGAAAGGCTTACACAGGTAAAACCTTCCAAGTGCTCAGTCCAGTTTCTATCATGACTATCATGTTACTCTTTCATCTTTATCTTGACAAAATTTTCGCCTCTTTTCCTACTAACTTCTCTCCTTCTCTCTCTCTCTCTCTCTTTCTATTCAAAATTCAATTTTCTCACCAAAGAAATTTCCACCCTCAGTGTATAATATTGTATCATCATCGCACCATCACCCTTTCAAATAACAACATTTACAATATATACATTTGGTAAACCCGAAAACCAAATAATCAGATGATGATGTTACTCGTTTTTGCATAAATCTTGTTATTTTTACATTTGATTTATGCAGTAACATTGTTTATGTTTTTCTTTGGCAGAAAATAAGTTTTTCTCTGGTTATTTTCTCGGTGTAAATATGCAAAGTTTACCATGAAAAGTGAGAGAGAGAGAGAGAAGTGAATGTTTCTATTAAGGATCGGAGATTCAATATGTACTTCCTTGATAGAAACAAACATATAAGCAAAATAATCGGAGTAAAAATTTTCATTTCTTTTTGCAAAAGATAAAAAAAAACAGGATAGAGAAAAGGGGAAGAGAGAAATTTCCAGGATATCATGAATTTTACAGGTAAAACTTGCATCATGTCAACTTGTCAACAATCAGGGGTGAAAATACTTAGTTTAAGCTTGAAGGGAAAGTGTCAACTCTCTGTTAGTTATAATACAAAGTTAGACGAAGTTGAAGTTCCAAGTAGAGGATGAAGATGAGGATAAAGGTGAGGAAAAAAATGAAATAATAATATAACAGTTATTACATGTTCTCCTTTTGCAAGAGAATTACTTTTTCTTGTGAAAATCAAACATTTATCTCTTTATATGATTTCTTTATAACATAGATCTCTATTTACCTTGTATCTTCATTCATTTTAGTGGGTCCTCAGTGTCACCTTTCACCTCTCTCTCTCTCTCTCACTCTTCTCTTCCAAGTCATCTTTTAGTTCATCCATTTTGTTGTTTATATTCAATATCCAGGTAACTGATGAAAACTTATTTTGTCAAAGGTTTACCATCAAAACCAACCAACGTTACTAACCTGGTAAATGAAAAATAAACAAAGAGAGAGAGAGATAAACATAAATAATCACTCAATGAACATGGTCAACAATCAGTTGTAACAAATAATTTTCATGATGAATGAAAAACTTGTTCAAATGTTTACAATTGTTAAGAGACAGAAACAAAAAGAAAGGTCCTTTCAGATAAACAAACTATTATCAGTTCAAAGATCATCTTACCAATGATTAAACTTGCATCTTATTCATAACCAATAAATTCAGCATTTTCTATCAATCGAGTCACAATTTTCTTTATATTTTATGGTCATTGTACACTATACCTTTAGATAGATATAATATTCAATGTCATTTATTGAACATGATCAATTTAGGTAAAAAGGTAAAGGTTTCTTCCCAGGTGAATAGTGGGTGTGGGTGGTAACACCTAAAGTAATTCACCTTCATACAGATAACCTACAACCTTACAGAAAAGGTAACTTAGTTGAGCCAATTCTTTGAGAATTGGACATAAAAGAAAAGGAAGAGAGTGAGAGAGAGAGGAAGAGTGGGAGACTCTGTAGATGAACAATGTATTGCTGGTGAAAAAAAGGTTACACCATTAATTTGCCATTTTTCATCAATTCTATCACATAATAATAATAATTCTGGTCTCATAATCCAACCTCCTTTTCAACTCACTCTCTGTCTCTATCAGAAACACACACACCTTATGAGCCTACCTCCCATTTGCCTTTATCTTCATCTTCATCATCATCATCTTTCATCTTGATATTGTTTTTCTCTTTCTTTTTTCCACCTTCATCATCCATCAACACATCACATCCACTTTCTAAATGTTTGGCTTCCATTCCCTTGACTAACTGGGAGTGAGAACCATAGAATGAAAGAAAGAGAAAATGATGATAATAATGATGATAAACAAGAAGATGGAGATGGAGAAAAAACCTTCTGAAATATTGTATTCTCTTTTTATTTTATCTTCTATTTTTTTCTCATCATCATTATCTTCATCTCTCTTTCTCTCTTCAATCATCCTGATAATTGTCACTATCTTTTTCCACACTATCATCTTTTCAATCATCTTCCCTTCAAGAAGATAAGCACTCACTCTCAATTGAAACTATTTTCATTATTACTATTTCATGATAGTGATCATCATCACCACTATCTTATTGATGATGAAGAAGAGAAAAGTTAGTAAGATGAAATCTTATCACATTTATTGATTCTTTATATTGACTTACCTTTATGATCATCATGAAGATAAGGTAGAAAAAAAGTTCTAAAGTGATAAAGTTTTCATTTCATTTACTATTGAGAAAGAAAAAAAAAGAGATGAAGAAGAGATGGAACAATCTTCATTTTATCATCATCATCACATTTCATACTCAATTTCAATAATGATGATGATCCTCATCATTTTCAATCACTTCCTCTTCTCTCACCCTCCCTTCAACTCTCTCACCTACTTTTGTCCCATCAACCATTGAATCTCAATTCAAATAGTATAATAAAATTTTCCACCAATTCAGTAAATAATGATTCTCATGATGAATATAAAATTCAATTGAAATTTGAACAAAAGGATAGAAACACTCTCTCTCTCTCTCTCTCTCTCTCTCTCTCTCTCATTCTGTGTTCCAATTCATCTGTCAACTGATTCTATTTGATTTAAGCAAACTGATCTTTCATTCAATATCATCCTGATGATGAAAAGAGAGAGAAACAGAAAGATATTATTGAAACCATAAACTTGGAGTTTAAGTTTGAAAAATGATCTGTATTTGAACCAGAACCGGAAGTGTAATGATATTATTTCATTATTCACATTCATTATTGAGATGATTACATGAGAAATGAACCGATAAATTTGTCTCAAATATTTTCCCTCCTCTAACTCAATCTTTATATTTAGATAATAACAAGATGATAAGAGATGATGATAATAGTTTATATTGTTGTTGAGTAAAATTCCTATGGGAATATTTTCATCTTATCAGCTCATCATCATCTTTATACCATGAAAACTGGATGAACCAGAAAAGGATAAAGTTATAATTTCCATCAGTTTAACTAATACAACAATCAGCGTACACATGAAATGTATTAATAGATAATCATAAGTATTTAGTAAAAAGTGACAAGGAAAATGTTATTAGAATTGAAGAAGATGAAGAAAAAAGTTTATCATGATTCTTATAAATAAAGTCCAAATAAATTTACTCGATATTTGGTCTAAGAAAATGGATGATAATAAGTAAGAAAATTGAAGATTATAATGATGAGAGGATGAAGATAAAAGTACAATTGATGATCTTGTTCTTACTATCAAAATGCTGAGTCCTGAAGAATAAAAAAAAATTGTTCCAACAGAAATTCATAGTAATAGTTTTTAATATCATGGAAACGTAGATTATGTGTATTAATAGACATTGGTGTTGGTAAGAGAAAATGAGAGAGAAAAAGTTCCAAAACTCAGAAAATTGTTGGTTGACTGAATTTTTATACTTCGCTGCAAGATGATAACTCAAAATCTACTTAATAATAATAATCATCATCATTTTTATCATGGAGAGAGAGAAAAGAATAAGAAAAAAGCGAAAACTGGGAGTGGAAAAAAATTCATTCTAAAGATATTAAATGGGAAAATAGCGCTGGGAACTCATGAGATACTGTTAAGGTTATTATCATGTTGATGATTCTGCCGGTGATTGAAAAGGATCATGAAATTATGAGACTGAAACTGATGAGAAAATTGTTTCCATGATAATGATGATGATAAAAGGTAAGACATCAGACTCATTAGACTGAATTCCGATATATATTTGCCTTCATCATCATTGAATAATTTTTCAGGATTAGCAAAAAGATGAACTTTTTTTCTTCTCATTCTTAATCTTCCTTATCATGAATAATGAAATCGAATCAGTTTTGCACTCAGATTATCTCCTCTCTCTCTCCCTCTCTCTCATCAAATGAAGAAAAAGATGAAAATTCATCTATAATGATAATTGGAACTCATTCATCATGGGCTTGGCATTTATCCTTAAACTCACCTAAGAAAATAACAAGTGAAGAGAAAAAATTTTTTCTTATCCGAACAAAAAAAAAGTGTTTTCATCATGATGAATATTCAATTTTCATCTTCCATCATCACCCAGGTAGTATGATAATCTCTCTCTCTCTCTCTCTCTCTTTAACTTACTTTTATCATAATATTAAATCATCATCTTCTCATATGTTTCCACGTATATTATTCAAAGTGTAATCATGGTGGTGTAAAAAAAAATATAACTGAAAAGACCATGAAAGTAAAGTGAAACTTTTTTTTTTGTTCTCTGTTCAGAAAATCTTGAATTGAAATACATTCTGATTATAAGGTGAGCCTATGAGTGTGTAACTGTCGGTGGAGTGGATGAAGATGCAAAGTATAACAATAGACAAACCCTTTGATTATCACCTATGATTATATTGTATTTATTGGGTTCCCATGAGATTCAATAGTAACAGTATATTGGAGGATTTATGGTGAATAATATGAAGAATAAAAAAGAAGGTGAAAAAAAGAGATGAAGATGATGGAAGATGAAGATAAATGTGGTAAGAGAATGAGAGAGAGAAAGAGAGAAATATGAACATTCTATTTGGTTTCTCTCTCTCTCTCTCTATTTCTTGTAGTTCTAATATTATTTTCCATAAATAGAAGTTCTTAAATTCTCCCTTTGAATATTCACATTGAATTTCCTTCCAGAATTTTTATTCTCTTTTTTTTTGTTCATTTTCTTTTCTCTTTTACCATTCTCTTACATTCTCCCTGTAAGAAGAAGAAGAAGATGATGATAATATAACTAAGTATTCATTTTGTTTTCTCACAGTTAAATATCTTGTTTCAATTACTTATCATCAGAATAATCAGTTCTATTCTCATGTCAATTAAATTGTTTTCAAATATTGATTTTCGGTGAAAAAAAAGGAACAGAAATCTTGAAACTGAATATTATTCCCTGAACTTGTCACTATTATTATCATGATTTTTCATTTCCAAACCAGAAAAAAGTCTATACATGATTAGCTACTATTATTCATGATAATTAGCTTGAATCAACATCATGTTCATGGTTTTCCATCAACTTTTTTTCCCTTTCCTCTTATTATTATTGTCAACTTTTAAATTCTGTCAACCAATAAAAGGATAACAATAATGGTACAACCATTATTTACCAATATCAAGTACTAATCATTATCAAATGTAAATCAATTTGATTGAATTACATAAAAAACCTCAATATTCAGATACACTCATGGTAATCAGATGAAGTAAAAAAAAATCACTGAACATTTTTTTTTGTCTCCATCAACATAAACTCAATGGTGAAAAAAAATTAAAGTTCAACTTTGATTCAACAAACATCATGATGATCATTAAATACTCAGATAAAATCTGATGATAATATACTGGCAACGCCTAAAGATACAGTTAAACAAAATACACAGATGATAATGATAATATTAGTATGATGATGATGATGATGATGATGATAGTAATCATTTTGCACTTTTACATGGATACTCATTTGAACACAGGGAGTGAAAAGTTGGGAGTGAAAAAAGTGCTCAGGTAAAAATAACCGAAGAGGATAAAGATGAAGATAATATTGTACACTTGATGAGAATGATTAAAATCGATAAAATAAATTAGTTCTAGATCCTTAGGGTGAACCAATTTATGGTAATTCGAAATAAATTTCCTCCTAGTCAACCAATTATCTAGTTGGAGAAAACGAGGAAAAAACTTTTTTTTTTGTTCTAATAACAAAAGATCAGTACAAGTCACGCGATTTTCGGATACATTGTCTTTTCGTTTTCAATTCTATTCCGATAATAGTAATAATAATATTCATAACTAGATAATTATCATGATGATTCTGAAATAAGTTGGATGAGGGGAAAAAAATACAAGAGGAAACCTTTTTGTTATCATGAACATCAGTCAACATGATTACCTGTAAGTCTCTGTGTGTATATTTATTGATTGACAAAAAGAGTTACTATCTAATTGCTTGATAATAGATTAACATTTAGTTATTTTCATTCACCGGTTTCAATAATCATTAGGAGATTGAAGGACAATCATGGTGATGTTTTTTTTTGAAAGGTGAGTGGGCAAGCAAGATGATTGCATATGAGAAAGAAATTATTATTATTATTATTCCTCTTCCGGTTATCATTTGGCACGAAAACTCAACCAATTTCATATATAAAGTTATTACTATGATTATCTTTTTGTACATTTGATAATTATCATTGATGAGACATTTTCTTTCCCACCCTCCATCTAGAATCCACTTTCCACCTTCCATATGAAACTTTGATATTGAACTTTTATATTGTTAGTCTGTAGTTTTTGGTCTTTTGTTATTGACATGATTATATTGATTCGCCATGATCTTCAATTCTCTCTCTCTCTCTCCCTCTCTGAGGCAAGTGAATGAAAAGATACATCATCATGAAGACGATGTAAAGAAGAGGAAGATAAGAGTTGCAATGAGGAAAAGGTCGTGGGTGGATAAACGAAGGAGTTTTTTTTGTTTTCTTGTCTTATTTACTCTCAATCAGATGAGGTACAGAAAAAAAAGATATGGAGATAATCGGGATCAGAATAATCTGGATGAAGATAAATCTACTCTCTCGGTGTTGATGATGATAAACTTTCACTCTTCTTCCTACTTGTCCATCTTCATTTAATTCTTTCTGTCATTCTACTAGTTGAATTAAGGAAGAAAAATAGAGAGAAAGAGAGATCATCATCATCATCATCCTTCTTCATCATTATCATCTTTGTCTTTCACTTTGACAGAAAACGAACCTAAAATTCTGGTACATTGTAAATTCTGATGAACCATGAAAAGTGAAAGATATAAAAAAAATATCAAAATGTAAACTTGAGATCTCATGAAATCTTTGTACCTGCGTAATTACTGATTCACTCAGTTTACTCCGTTTCATTATTATTCAATCCTTAATACTAACTAATCTTTACCATGAGCAAGTCACTCAATTTGACTGAATTTTTCTTCTTCACTCTTGAAATTCAGAAAAGTTCATGTTGTCTTTTTTCACTGTTTTCTCACTAAACAAAAGCTTCACGTGATTTTAAAATCGTGAATCCAAAACCTCAAAGATAATTCACCAAGTTAGTATAATAGTATTACGATCAGAATATATATAAAGGTAAACAGAAGAAGATGATTAGGATGATGAGGAAGAAGAAGAAGATGAGGATGAGCAGGAAGAAGGAAGAAAAAAATCAGGAACTAGAATTTGAATCGTGATACTTATATAATCTTACACTGAATCTAATTCAATTTGAGAAGGTAAAAGTTTCTCCCTTTTTTTTTTACTTAAGCCAATCAATCTCACTGTTATTACCCTGGATTGAATCTGGGATATAATAGGATCTAAACATTGTGCTTGTCAGAATCCATTCAATCTTAAATTGTTATATATCCAGGGGAGTTTAACATGAAGATGGTGAAGGAAAGTGAGAGGAAAAATGATGATGATGTTGAAATGATGATGAAATTGTCCCTAAAAGTCAATATGAGTAATGATGATTTAAAGCATTTCTCATCTTATCATCATCGTCATTACCACCTTAATATGAACTCCTGATGATGATCATTGTCACCATCATCATTTCAATTCAATATATATTTATCACCATGATGGTGATGATAATTTTTCTAAGCACTTTGATCAATTATTTAACCTAAAGGTAAATTATCAGTTTATTTTCAAGCATTTATCACATGTGATTATATTGATTATCTTTTTTTTTCATTTCATTTTCCATGGAAAATGAGTTATTTCAAACTATCAATGTTCATGAGGTAAACTTAATCACCGGTGAAATTTATTTGGTTCACTTGTACTCTGAATGGTTATTGTTGTTTCTCTGTTATTTTATTATCACAAATTATCATGAGAATTGAGATTTCAGGTTAAAAAAACTGAGATAAAAGAAAATGAATCGATGAGTTTACCTGAAGGTTACTGAATGAATAACAATTTCATCTCAATGACGATCATTCTCAATTCATTGAAATTACTAGCGGAAGCATCATGAAATTTCATGGTAATGAGAAGGTAAGAAAAAAAGTTATTCAACAATCTCTCTGGTGGGAATGGAGAGAAAAGTGAAAAGTGAGAGCGAGTGGATGAATAAGGAAAAGTTCATAAAGGTCAGAGTTTCATGATAAGATTCAGAGGTTCCTTTATTTATTTAGCTTATTCAACATATATGTATATCTTGGTAAAGAGTGGGAGGAAAACATATGAAGATGGTGGAAAATAACTCAGGGAGTAAAAATGATAAAGAATAGAGATCAAGAAAGAGAACCACTGAGATGAAAAGTTCTGATTGAATTTTGTTTCTCTCTTTTTCCATGATGATAGCATAGTAGTGAAGATAAAGGAAGAGAAAGTGAGAGAGAGAGAAGAAGAAGTGAAAATGCAGATGATAATAACAATTTCTTTATCTTTTTCTCATTCTTTTCATCCATCTCATCATACTCATCATCTTCAAGGTTGACTTCAATATCTTCATCTTTATCTCTATTCAATTTTCATTTATCATTTCCTTTTCTCATCATTTCGCCATCAAGATGACTATCATCCTCATCATCACCATGAAGAGACAGATAAGATGAGAAGGAAGATTTTTTTCTTCCCTGATCATCATAACTGCTCCCATATCTCTCTCTCTCTCTCTCTCTCTCTTTCTTTCTCTCTCTCTATTGGTTACTAATATCATCAGTTATTATTGTTCAAATGAATGATTAACTGAACATCCAGATAAATTCAGATAGACTTTCAGACTTAATGATATTATTATTTATTCAGATGAATTTTTGTTTTTTCATTCTCCATGTAATATATTACCATAGGTATACAGGGAGATTACTTGATTATGCATATATACATTTATACCTTGTTTCAAAGTTTACATGAGACAAGTAGCAAGACAAAAGTTATTCAAATGAACATGATGCTAGACATGATTATCAAATGCATCGTCATCATCATCAGGAAAAAAAAATATTCTGATTCTCATTCATTCAGCATAATGTAAATCTTGGAATTTTCATCTTTACATTCCATCATCATCTTTTTTACCATGTGATACATAAAAGTTCATTATCATGAGGAGAAAGTAAGAAAAAAAAGGTCAACAATCAAAGTGCACAGAGAATAAAAAACTAAAGAGATAGAAAGTGAAAATATAAGTTCTAATGAAATATTCATGTGTATTAGAACAAAACTTTGGAGAGAAAAAAAAATTTTCTTCTAGGATCGATTCGATTGTCCAAAATCAACCTTCGAGTGCATATTTATGAATGCTGACCTATTGAACTCCCTGATAAACATCATGATAGAGAAAAAAATAATATCGATCTTCATATTGGACATACCTGTTGATTAGTTTTCACCCTTCTGAGATTGAAACAATTAGTTAATCCAATTGTCTGAATGGTCCAAATCACTTATCCTTTTCATGATGATTAAAATTTATACAGAAATATCTAAATGGTGATAATTTATAAATAGTAAAATCAACAATTAAATTAGCATAAATTGTGATGTTGATGAGAAAACAATTAAAGATGATGATTAAACACTTACTTGATTGATTAATTGTTCCTATCAAGTTATGGTTGATTATCACGCTAATCACCATAATGATTAAGTGTATTTACCTTTGGAGAAAATAAAACAAATAAATTACAACAATTAGTAAATCATCAAGAAGAAGATAAAAAAAGTAATCAATAAGAAAACAATACAAATATAAATAAGTTATTGAAATCAATCAGAATCTCAAAGTAATTAAGTTAATGAACATAAGACAATTAAGGAGAGAAACAAATTGTTCTGATTAATAAATACAAATATTTAGCAATTTAATTGTTTCACTTAAAAGGAGGGAAACAGTTGATTATGATCATCATGACAATTTCATGATCATTATCATGGAAAAATTGAAGATATTTTCCATCTCTTTCCTTCGTTGAAACTGTTAAATTATATTTTTCAATGAATGAATCAACTGAAATGATTTTACCCTAAGGGCATAATACAGATTGTTGTATATACGTTTTTTTTTGTTTGCAGATTGGTTGATAATGATGATAATAGTCATTCTTGATAATGATTATCATGATAAAACAAACAGATAATTTATTGAATACACTGGAATCACATTATAATATGTAACCTGATTAACCTTGATGGTTAATAATATATATCATGATAGTAATATAATCATTTCATGATAACTTTATTTGATTGGTAACAAGTAACAAGGAATAAAAAAATGGCTCATAAGTTATCATTCAATAATCATGATGATCCCAAAGATTTATTTAGGAAAGTGATTAGTTTTATCTGATTTCTTCTGATTGGAACTTTTTTATCTTCTCTTTCCATGGTTACCATGAGTTTTTTTACTTGTTGTCTTCATGATGCTTCACCTTTCAGTTGTTTTCTCATCTTCCAAGCATCTTTACCTCCATCTTTTCCTTGTAATTCTTGAGTATTTTTCTTTTTACTTCTTTTTACTTCTTTTCTTCTTCGTCTCTCATTCTCTACTTCTTGAAGAGATGATGAAATAACCCTGAGGGTAATTTCTTAATATTTCTTTTCGATTGTTGAACATTTTTCTAGGAGAGTCAAAACTAATATAATAATACTAGTTCATCAATTTCTCCTCTTTATCATCAACCATTCTGATACCGTTGATAATCAAACTCAAATTATTTATTCTCATCTCATATACAGAACCATTTTTATAATTTTGTCATGAAGACTGAAAATCAGTGATGACCAGGATGTTGGTCTTAACCCTCGTGATAATCAGCAAATGATAAATAAGATGTTAAGACACCAATTCACGCAAAACGAAGCAAATAGAATTACAAATTAATCCTTGATCGTGGTAAATAAGGATTAACAATCACAAGTGTTCAAATTCGGTCGTTACTATGCAATTAAGATAATATTATGTAAGAAATTTGTCCATTAATATTTCACGGCATTTTAATCCAGTACGGCTATTTTACTCAATTATTCAAGAAATAAAAGTCATGAATGTTAGTAGGGGAAAGCTAAGAGTATTCCCACCGCCTCCCTCAGGTCGAGGTAGCTAGGCTATAAGCCCATGACCTGACCATACTCTTCTCTGCTATTAGTCTACAATGTTATTGTGTTAATTAGTCTTGTTATCAAGTTGAACTCTCTCTATGTGTTATTGCACTACGTTCTTAGTGAATAAGATATATGATAGGTATGATAGAATGAGTTAATAAGATTTAAAAGGCAACAAAAGTTGCGCTGCGAAGTAAAACAAATAAAAGTCATGAATGTCAAACTTGAACAGAGGAGTGAACAGAATTGAAGCGCCCAAACCTACTATTTTCAAGGTCATTACGGTCATTTACTGAGAGACGCCTTGAAAGGTCATTTCAAAGTCATGTGAAAGAGCAAATCAAATTATCCCTCAAATGATAGAAAATTTCTTCCAAGGGTCTTTCGAATTAAGGGTATTAGTTATTACTGAAATGGCGAGTCTTATTTGCGTCTCATACTTGATTGGAAATATCCCAATATTGTAATCTGATTGCAGTTTGATCCAACCAAGATGAAATTCAAGAACCCTAGTGAACCAGGTAGAGACCTGCATCATACGACTATTGTAAATGGATAAGGCATTTCCTTCTTTAACTTTATAAGGTCAATTGAATTTACGAAGACTGTTGAGGAAATATGACCAGAGTAAAGATTGGAACAAAATTCATAAACCATTGCTACAAAAATTTAATGTTTTCCTTTAAATATTAAATAATAAAGTAATAAATGTTATGTCAAAATTTCTTATTTTCTTCCAAGGGTCTTTCGAATTAGAGGTTATTAATTATTACTTCTATCAAGTGTCAATTATTAGAAAATGATGACGGAGGAATTTGAGTCAATGAGAAATCTCTTAGATAGTAATAATATATCATATTCTTAAGCAAGTGCATTTGATATGCTTCTGGTAGAAGGACCGGCAAATGACCTTGAAATTCACAAGGGAAACTTTTTTCCAGTTATTCTCATTATTAACAGACAAATAAAAATCCTGAATATTACCCTCAAGATGGTGAATCAACTTTGCATGAATTATAAACTAAAACCATTACCTGAATGGAAGATCAAGAATCTATCAACATGAACTCCAGAGGGCTACAGCCCACTTGATCAACTTAATCTCACCATTAGTAAAGTTATTAGGCATCTTCTTCCTCCTCATTATTATCATCATCAAAGAGGATAATGATAATGATGAAATTATCTTGCATTTATATCAATAAAAATCGATTGATATAATACCGGCCATTATTCTCATGATATTTATTATTAGTTTCACCAGAGCTCAGGTTTTATTCATATATTATATTTATCTCTGTTATCCAAAGTATTTTACTCCACACAACCACCACCTCCAACTCTCAACTTGCTCTTATTCCTCTTGATCATTATTATTTTTATCATTCCTTTCCAATGGTAAACGATGATTCCCACTGAATTTAGTTCGATATCAACTGAACAGTTCAGAACTTCTGATAATAATATTCAACTTATATCCTAAATTGTCATGGTCATTAGTTTTTATCTTCTCTTTCTTTCTCTCTTTTATATATTGAATTACATTCCCTTATTTAAATAACATTTCACTCCCTTGTAATGATGATAATAATATATCATCATCATGATACCAATCTGAATAATGCTCAGAACTTTTTTCTCGTCTCCTTCATTCTGATTGAAAATAAATGATGGACTCTCTCTCTCTCTCTCTCTCTCTCTCTCTCTCTCTTCCTCTCTCTTTCTCCCTCTTTGATATCTTATTCAGAACTTTTTTTACAATTCTATTCACGATAATCAAATAAATTTCTCACATCATCATCGTACTACAATTTAATTTCCTGATTTAAATGTTTCTAATTGTTCCCATGAAACGAACGATTCCCTTGATTTGCTCACAATAATTTCCATTCACCATCTTAACCAACAGTCTTTACATGTATCGATATTAATTTGCTTCATCATTATCATTTGATTGTTTCATTAAACTAAATCAGATTAACAACCTTGAAGATTATTATTATCATCCTGTTAACATTGAGTTCTGCCTCATTATCATGATTCTGGTTCCTATTCAGTAACCAAACTGATTAATTGTAAATTATACTTTCTCTTCTTTCTCTCTCTTTCTATTTCTACCTTATAACTAAACTTTAATTGTTAAAGTAAAACTAGAAATGATTAAATAATTACCTTCCCATTGCCAACTAATCGTATTAAAAGTAATTGTGATTACATCTGATTAAATACAATCATTGTAGTTAATCAATGGATGTAAAAGCAATTTGAAAAAACTCATTTTCTTATTATAATTATCATCTTGTCTGATTGCTTGTTTTAATCATTTAATTATTAGGATGATCAGAAAGTTTTGCACGAAAAATCAATCGAAAATTAAACAAGTAATACATCTCGAACTATTTAATAACAAAGATTTAATTTTTTTGAAATAATGAATTTAGAGTTTTTTATTTCTTAATCATTAAATTAATCAAAATTTGAAATTTCCTTCATTTTAACAATTTACTAATTTCTCGTCGATCTTGAACTTTAAATAATTTTTCAATATTTTGATCATTGACTAAATTATAATTTATCTTTATCTGTTGAAATTTCAACAATTAAGTAATCATAATTAGAGAATAATGAATATCGATTTTCGAAAATTCATAATTAAAAATGTCATTGACTCAATGGTAAAACGATTCATTATCATGAACTTTGAAACTCGATTAATTCTCTTGATATGATTATTGATTTCATGATAAAGATAAGTACTAATTGTCAATGAAAATATTGAAAATTCCGTTAAAATCATTCATCTAATTCATGATTAATGATTGAAATCTCATTAAATTAAAACATTTAATTCTCTCAAATCAGTGAATTTTGCGTAATTCAATGTTTAATATGGAAGTAATTTTTCGTGCAAAACTTTCTGATCATCCTAATAGATTGTGATTTAGATGAAGATGAGATTGATGAAAATGTTCATTACCATTATCATCCTCATCCTGATTATTATTATCATTATCTTGACCATCATCACTATGGTGACCATCAACAGTAATCAAAAGCTGATTTAGATATTTGGTCAAATTGACAATAGACTTTGATTGTGTGAGCTAAATGATAGAAGGAGTAAAAAAAAGTAATGGAAGATAAAAAAAGATGAGGATGAAAAACAACAAGGAGCAAAAGGAAAAACGATCAGAGATACAAAAGTGAAACTTTAAATTGATGCTGACCAGTACAACAACCTGATAATCTCAAGATGACCAATCAAATGTATTTAACTTGAAGAAAATGACCATCATTATCAACATAACATTGTGACACTACAAGGAAAAGATCAGTGATAAAACTAATAGCCATTAGCCTCTTCCTTTTCCTGATCATCATGAACACCACCACCAACAACATAACCCAAACCTGCATCATCTTCATCAGTGATCAATTTCATTCTTTAGGCTTTTTTTTTGTTCGTTTGTTTGTTTATTTGTTGGATAAGAAAATGAAGATCATCTTCATGATGATATTTTCAACTCATTCATCCTCGTCTTTATCACACAAAGTATCTCCTCATCTCACTTATTCTCTCTCTATCTCTCTCTCTCTCTCTGGTTGAACAAACAAAACGTTTTCATCTTGTCTCTTGCATTTGATATTCACGTTGTGATGAGGATAAGGTTTTTTTGTCTCTTCTTTTTTTTCAGATCTCAACATCGTCTCTATTAGTATGACAACCGATGGAACCAGGAAGAAGAAGAGAAGATGAGAAGGAGGAGATGAAAAGAAGATGAAAATATTACAGGGAAGAAAAAAGAGAGAAAAAAACTGACAGAAAAAACGAAGTAAAAAGAAAATGAGAGAAAAAATTCGATTCTTCTCATCTCTCTCTCTCTCTCTCTCTCGTCTAATTAGGTATCTCGTACAATTACAGTTACACTCAGGGTGGAGTAAAGAGGGTGGGTGATGATAATCAAGAATAGGAAACTAGTATAACATACAAACTTCTTTTGTGTGTTTAGACTTTCCGAATAGTGAAGGCAAAACCAAATAAAAGAATTTCAGAAAAGCCATGAAACAAGATTTCGAATTGATATCGGAATAGATTATTTAAGACAGAAGGAAAAAAGTTCTAAGGATAATTTTCTTAGAGTTGATGATGGAAAAGACAATCAAATGTAGCAGAGAACAAAAAAGTTCTAAAAGGTAAAGAATTTTATCATCAAAAAGAATAAAGAAAATATCAGAATTAAGAGTATTTGGAATCTTTACAGGCGCAAGAATAAGTTGGAAGGTGAAGAGAGAGAGAGAGAGAGAGAGAGAGAGAAAATGACGAGAAAGAAAATAAGAAAAGAAAAAAATAGAACTTTTTCTTTCTCTTATCATCATCATCGAGAGATGAAGATGCGACAAAGAGGTAAAAACAAAGAAAAGAAGTAAAAAAACATCACAAAGAACGATCATGATGATGAAAGAATGTTGAACTATTGTGACATTAAGATATTAAGAGAAAATTGTGCTCGAAAAAAAAAGAGAAAAAAAAGTTCGAGATAACATTTCGAAAATTATTATCAGTAGAACAATCAAAACAACAGATTCTCTCTATTACTAAGATCAAATGTCGTCTCTCTCTTTCTCTCTCTCTCATAATTATCGTCATTATCTTTGCTAATCATCTTAGACCAGAATAATTCAGAATCACTCAGAACTAAAACAGAAACAGATTATAATAAATGTTACACAGTTTTTTTTTGCTTTTGTTTTTCTCTTTACTCTCCATCCTCATCATCTAGTACTTAAGATGTTTTATCATCTTTTCTCACCCCTCTCCCTTATCATAGACACATGGATGCTAATAATGTTCAGAAATTCTGGAGACAATGATGATGATAATAGTAGAATCACTTTCCATGGATACTACTCATGGAGCAAAAAGAATATGAAAAGATGAAGACAGAGAACAAAAAGCAAAAAGAGGTTCTTTTTCTTGAGTAAGTGATAATCATGATAATAACAAGAACCATCTTGATAATGATATACATTAATGCATTTGTTTTGTTCCTCATGAGAGAGACTCAGAAGAGGAAGTGGGTGGTGGAAGTGGATAAGCTTGAGGTGCATGATAATATCAAGGATCAAATGTTTACCATTCAAGTGACACACATACAGAGAGCTTCATCTTATCGGTATGATTTTTTTTTCCTACAAAAATTGAACAAGTAAAAAAATCCCTTTTCCTTAATTCAGTCATTAATCATATGTAATTTTAAATTGTACTCATTTGGTAACAATTAACATTCACGTTGATTATTAATCATCTTCTTCACAATTATTAGATTGCTGTTCAATCCTATTATCTTTTGATGATTTAACACTGAGATTTTTTTTTCTCTTCCTTTTAATAGTCGAGGAAAAAAGGATGAAGAAGAAAATTATTTTCTGTATTAAAAGTAAACAAGAAGATTTTTCATCTTTTCAAATGTACCATGATGATAGTTCAGGGTGATTATCGTGATGAACATGATGGTGTAAATGACTGATGAGGATAAAAATGTAATTGGTAACAAGAATTTACTTTAGAACATTTCTCTTTCTCTCTCTCTCCATCTTTCATCATCTTCTCATCATCATTTTTACCTCTTTTTCTGTTCCTTTAAAAACTCATTCAAATGACTTACATTTTATACTTTGCAACATCAATCACAAATTATCATCATCATCATCATTTCCATGTTCATTTTAAGATGATAAAGCATCTTGTTCATCTCTCCCTCTCTCATCATTATCTTCATTATCATCTTTTGCCTTTCCATCAACAACACTGTTTAGTTTATTTAGTTTGTCATCATTTATGCTTCTGATATTATTAATTAACTTTCATTGAGATTTCATCTTCATCATCATCTTCACCACTGCTCTTGACGGATGAATAGGAGCTTACATAATATGATGATAATAATAAGGATTCCAAATTGTTAATGATTAACCTAAATATAATTGGTATGGAATGAGTTCAATTATCAAGGATAAATTGTGTTTTCTTTTCACGTTGATTTAATTACAACCCTTAAGGTAAAACTAAACATATACTAACACATAGGGTAAAGTTAATCATTTTTTTTCTCTCTCTCTTTACATCATCTCATGTAATATAATCCAAATTGTTGCGAAAATTTCAACAATCAAGAATAATCAAGAGATAGAGAGAGAGAGAAAGATGATTAACTTATTATCATGTTGTCAATAGAAAAATAATTTCATGATAAACTGAGTTAACTTTAAGATTCTGATGATATGACCTGAGGTTTAGATTTGATTGGTTGAGCAATTTGGAATTCACTTACTTTGGATTATTATTAATTGATGATGAAAGTGTTACACAGCTAGAGAGAAATGAGAAAGATGAAGATGACAAGGAAGGTGGAAGATGAGGTGACATCCTTTAGGCACATTCTTTTTCTCACTTTCTATGTTCCCTGTAGAAGAGATTGAATTGGAAAGATGAGAATTTCCTCTTATGGGTTGAGGTGGACATTGAATCAGATATTGAAATAAAAATCCTCATGATGATGATAATGATGGAAAACAGGAGCTGCTTCTGATGGTAATGAAGATAAAGATGACAATGAATAGTAAGTAATAGTAGAAATATTAGTTGACAAGATAACAAGAAATGATAACCAGTCTGTTGGAAGAAATTTGATATTTGGAAAAATAGAAAAATAAGATGATGAGAATGATGGAAAAGAAGAAGAAAAAAGAATAAACTTTAGATAGCTTATCATCTCTCATGGATGATAAGGCAAAAAGAGAAAAGACAGAGAGAGAGAGAGAGAGAGAGAGAGAGAGAGAGGATGAGGATGAGAAGTGGGAGGATGAAGCTAAACTTTTGCGATTCTTTAATAAGTTTCAAAAAGAAGAGAAAAAAGTAAGAAAAAGACTTGATAGAAACAACAGAAGAAAAGAAAACAAAAATTGGAAGATAAAAGAGAGCAAAAAGGTAAGAAGTGAGTAGAGAGAGAAAGAGAGAGAGAGAGAGATGATGAAAAGGATGATTTTTTTGATGAATCCATGAATTCATCTTTCAACGCTTATTTTACAAGTCATTTTCTCGCTCTTAATCATAATCATGATGAGATCTAAATATAGCATCGATATAACAAGAGGAAGATTCAGTAACTGAGAAAAAAAGTGAGAATAATGATGAAAAGAAAGATAAAGAGAGAGAAATTGAGAGAGAGAGCATGGGCGATGACCGGCAGTTTATGGCTAAAGTCATGAAAATGATGAGATGAAGATGTAACATGTAAATAGATCAATGAAAAGTATTCTAAAAACATGGAAACTGTTTGGGTAACAAAGTTTATTTGTTTTTAAAAAGCATCTTTTTTAGTCTCAAAAACACAGTCACTTTAGTTTCGCAAATTGTATTGCATTAAAGTATAAAGTTGCTTTGGTAAACATAAGATGATGATCATCATTATGATCATCAGGATGATGAAGATGGGAGTTGAGAAAGGATGAAAAAGAGAGAGAGAGAGAAGAAAAGGGAGAGGGAGAGTAAGTGAATTGTAAACATTAACAAGAAGAAAACGATTTAAGATGAAAATAAAATGTGCAAGAAGAATGAGTGATGAATGATGATGATGAAAAGATCATGGAGAACCTGATTCTGGTGTTTAACATGAAAGGGATGAAAATACTACATTGGAATTGGAGATGATACAAATAAAGAATCATGAAAATGAAAGTTGATTGTGAGTTATTTTATATGTTCAATATAAGTTCATAAGATGAGAAAATATCAATAATATTGACATGATGATAATAATGATGAAAAACGATGAGAGAGTGAGAATGAGCTACGATAAGTCTGAGAAAAGTATAATCTTTTTTATTTGCTTCTGTTTTTTCAGTAACAATAATGCCTTCCAGGTATGGAATGATAGTGATAATGATAGAAAGAAATCATGAGAGAGAGAGAGAGAGAGAGAGAGAGAGAGAGAGAGAGAGAGAGAGATAGTTTAGTTCATTTATATTCAATGAAATAAAGTTGATATGGATTGAAAGATGAGTGACTTTCTCTCTCTCTCTCTCTCTCTCTCGTTATATTTGCCACTTCTCTCCCTGATTCTCATTTCTTTGTCATTGTCACCCAAATATCTGCACCTTTAAGATGAAATTGATGTCTAAAAAAAAGATTCACTGAAATACCATTTTTTCATATCATCTTCTCATCCTTCATCTTATCCTCAATCATTTAAATATCCCCTGAAGGTATTGAAACATATCAGACAAAAAGGATAAATCCTTTTCTGTCAAGGTGCATGCTAAATATAAGAATTATATTCTCAAGGATGATTCGGGAGAAATTGAAAAAAAAACAAATATCTTCATTTTCTGTGTTATAAAAGGGATGATGATGCTAAAGAAAGTTCGTAATAAATTAATTCTATTTTCATTTAAATGACCGCCATTTAAAATCTGAAGATTCAAATAAAGTTCATTTTTTATTATTCATCATTAAAGTGATGCGGATGGAAAGGAAAATTTTTTCTTTCCACTTTGACAACTTCCTCCATCCAATCAACTCTCATCTTTTCCTCTTTTTTTGTTTGATAAGCTACATTTTCACCCTGATATGATGATAATCATGAAGATAAATGATGAAAATTTCATATTCATACATAAACTTGACACTCATCTTCAATCACCTCAAGGGATTTACCTGATCATCTTCATCACTTTAAGCTTACAGTTTGAGTATTTACCACTGTTATTATGTAGTAGAAGAAAAGTTTCACCCTGAAATATTATTCTCATGAAATCTCATCTTGAACACACACATTTCTCAGAAGTATCTAATGTTTACCATGAAAATCCATTTTTCTCTTTCCATGTAAAAAAAATGCTTGAAAAATGAATATTGAAAAGAAATTCCCTCTCATAGCTTTTCAATCATAATCCTGAATGGTAACCAAATAAATACGATCGAAATCTTGAATAATCGTAATGAAACTGAACCCATGGTGGCAACAATTAGCACAGTTATTGAGACCTTTATAACTTTATCAAATTTGCTTCTCATCTTTTTCATCATCTCATGAAATAAAAGTGAAATGCCCTGAAGATTAGTCAGGGAGTCGAAAAAAAAAAGTTCTGGGAAAATGTTCCGGTTGATAAAAAAATATCACTTTACACTTTTTCATGATAAATCATCATTACCAATGTATCAAAATTTTTCATGCAAACGATTTGAAACAATCATTAGATTGAGATAATGATTGAGACTTCATGATGATGATGAATTTAGTTTTGAATACGAGGCGAGAGAAACTTGAAACAAAATGTTTACTGTACAAGTTTATTGTGGTAAAGTGTTAATTTAGATTCATGATTAAATTAACAACAATCAGTTAACTTAATTATCATGTAGAGAGATAAAGAGAAAGAAAATTTATTAAATTATAAATTAACCTGAGTAACAACATGATCATCATGAAATAAGATGATGTTACTCAATGAGAGATGCTAAAGATTGTTGATTGTAAAATTGGATTTGATGCTTTGGATGAAGATGAATGAACTGAAAAACAAGAGTGGGAGTGGGAAAACAAAAAGTTTACCCTGTTAGTCAAATTAGTTAGTAAGAGAGAGAGAGAGAGAGAGAGAGAGAAAAGTTCTGACAAAGTTCTGAATACAAGATGAATGGAAGAAGGAAAAAAAGAAACAAGTAAACATGATAAGTACTAACATGGAGGGTGGGAGTGGGAAGATAAGATATCACATTGAATTGTAGAGCATTCAGACTTGTGAGATACAAAGAGAGAGAGAGAGAGAGAGAGAGACGAGGCAACTGAATAAGTTCTGGAATCATGGAAACAGCATGTTCCCTGAAAAAAAAGTTAATCAATAATCGTGATGATAGTTAACTACAATTCTTTGATCATTAAAAGGAATCAGGAATCAAGAATAAAAAAGGAAAGTGATGATGATGATGATGAGGACGATAATAATGAAGAGGTTATATGAGAAGTGGAATACAAGAAGATGATGATGATAAGGATGATAAAAGAATGATAAGAAAAATCATTGAGAATGATATAAATGTTCACAATTAATCAGACTAATTAAGCTGTGAATGGGTGTTGATTATCATTTCATTATCAGCCATTGTGATATAATTGTAATCAATTGATCAGCTGTGTCGCCATTTTAATTTTCTTCCTATTAATCATTTAAATAAATCCAAATAATATCAACAGTAATCACCATTTTCATGGTGATTCAGATCGGAATAATTTTGACCATTCTTGTCATCTCACTTTCCCCCTGAATTATACTCAATCTGATTCTAATCGGATGTAACTTCAGGATCAATATTGATTTGTTCATATTGAATTGGTCAGTTTCCTTTGGTCAGTCTAATACATGAGTCTTAATGTGTATTTATATTTTTTCATGGTCAAAGAATCAGAACATTTATCATGAAATTTATCATGATTGGTTATCCTTATTCTGGATATGCAATATTATGAATATCGTTAAATAAGGGTTAATTTAATTGTAATTTCTTTTAATTGAGATTGACATTTATCTTTGCATAAATATTGTATATTGTTAAGTGTCATGATTAATTATCGTCTTAATCATTCATCACCATCCGGATGATTAAGATTAAGTTATTTACAATGAACCAGAATGAATCAATTACCATCATTAACATTGTTTCAAAAGCAAAAACAACAACAACAATTAACTTGAGATACAATAAAGTTAATCATGTTATATTTATCAACATGATGTTCAACAATTTAAATCAATTGCTGTGAACACAATTAACTCTTATCATGAAACTTTGAATACATTTAATTTTCTTGTAATATTAATGAATGGGAAATTCAAATATTCAATTAAGAGGTAGAAACCTTTTTATTTTTGCTTAGACTCTAAATCTCAATGGTCAAGATGAGCTAGAAAATAAATAATCACTTTTAATTATCTCTTAAATTGAGGAAAGACATTGAGATTCTGAAAGTAAATACCCTGATGGTTAATGAAATTCATGGTAATCTGATGAAGATAAAAGGATGCCAAAGATAATGGGAACATCTCTCAGGGTGGGAAATTGGAATTTTAGTTTTTTTCCTTCTCCTCCCTGTCCTTTTATTCAATTATTCAGATTAGATGATCTGAATGAAGAGAATGACGAGAGGAAGATAGAAAGGGAGAGAGAGAGAGAGAAAAGACAATAGATTTGAAGGTAATAATAATGGAGGACAATGAGGAGGAAGCTGAAGGTGGGAGTTTAAATTGGATAAAAATTGTGATTATCTTAAGGTTGATCAGTCAAGTTTTACCTTTTATGTCTTCATCCTCATCATCCTCATCATCATCATCCTTGTGTAGTCATTATGTAAAGTCCACTTGTATTATTTTCGTTAAGATGATGATGATGATAAAGAGTGGAAGGAGGTTGAGATGATGATGAAGCCCACTTAAGGTAATGTTCAATGTACGAAAGAAAACATTTTCATCTTCTTCCATCATCATCAGAGAAAAAGCATCTTCATCCTCCATCTCTTCATCAACTATTACAAAGGTTTTACCTTTTCTTTTTTTTTCTCTCTCCCTTTCTAATGATAATGATCAGGCAAGAGAAGAGGATGAGAGAGGGAAAAAGAA